TGTCCCGAGTTTTGCAGGAAGTCTGGCTGTGTCCAGCTGTCCATGGCGCGCGTGTTCAGCTGGGTCCTGCGAGAGCTGGAGAGGGAGACGCGCGGTAGAGCCGCTCACCTCAGCGAGTCGTGGGAAGGGGAACGCGACAGGAGGCCACAGCAACCTCGTCCATCTCTCCCGCAAAAGCTGCTGGCTAATCGGAAAATACGGCAGTAATTACACAGGCTATTGAACACTTACGAGCACTCTGTCTGCCAGCCTTTCACAACGCACGCAGCAGAGGCGGTGTTTCCCCCCGCGTTCTCGTCGACGCCCGCCTCCTCCTGGCTCGACTCGCACACGACCACAGCTGGGACTCGTGTGCTTCACGCTCGCACACGCTGCGATAGTCTCGACGAAGCAATGCGACTGCCACGGCAGGCTACCGCTTCAACCCCCTCCACCACCGACCCCTCCGCCTCCGCCTCCGCAGCCCTCTCGCACCTCCCACAGCTCCTGCGCGACTCGCGCCCATCGGACATGCTCGACGCACTCGTCAAGTACGACAACAAAGACGCGCGGGGGACGGTGAGGCCCGTCGGCGAGTGGGAGGACGAGTGGCCGATCTCGCCGCCGACGCGGGGAGGAGGGGGCGTCTTTGATGGCGACAACGGGGGCGTAGGGCTGCCTGGTCCTGGGACAGGCACTACTCCCTCGCACCACCGATCCGATCCCGTGCGTTCCCCTCCCCTTCCCTCCTGCGATCCTACCTCGGGCTGACTCTCGCTCCTCGGACATCCCCTCTCGAACGAACCGAAACGCAAACAGACCCTCGCCGTCCTGATCCCGCTCCTCGTACTCCTCACTCTCCTCCTCTTCCTCATCTTCATCCTCACCATCGTCCTCCTCCGGCGCCGTCGCGGGATCGAATTGACAGACGACGGGTCGGGTCCGACGAACCTAGAGCGCGAGGATGAGGTCGATGGGGAGGGGGGACTGGAGGGCGTCGAGCAGAGGTGGTTGATGACCGTTGACGAGCCGACGCGCGTGGGGTACATGCGGGCGAAGGGTGCGTTCGGGCGACATTTCCAGGAGATTCACCAGAATTGACCCTGAGTTCACTCGCGCAGTCTGGCAAACGCAATACCCACCCAACTCGCAACCGACCGAAATCACCCTCACCCAATTCCTCTCGATCCAAGAAAAAGGCGTCTCAGCCTGGTCCTTCGAGCCAGACTACGAATCCAACTCGTCCGTCTTTGTCCAATCGCGCACCGAAATCTCGTTCCTCGCGGACGGGTACGGGATGGCGCCTGAGGAAGGAGGAGGATCGTGCGTCCAGAGCAACCTCCCGATCCCGAAACTGAACGACGTGTATTACTTCGAGTGCAAGATGTTTGAAAAGCCGGAGACGACCAACGTCTCGGTGGGATTGGCGACGAAGCCGTACCCGTCGTTTCGACTGCCAGGTGCGTGGGCGTGCGTGCCCGGTGGCATGACTTCGAAGCTGACCTTTCTTCTCGCGGACAGGCCTCAGCCGGTACTCGGTCGGCTATCACTCTGCGGACGGCTTCAAGTCGCACTCGTTCCCCTTCACCTCGACCTCCTACGGCCCTCCCCTCCTCGAAGGCGACGTCCTAGGCGTCGGCTACCGCCCCCGAAGCGGGTTGATCTTCTTCACCCGCAACGGCAAGAAACTCGAAGACGCCTTTGTCGGATTCAACAAGCACAACGTCTTTCCCACCATCGGCGCGGACGGACCTTGCTCCGTGCATGTGAATCTCGGACAGGCGGGATTCGTCTTTATCGAAGCGAATGTCAAGAAGTGGGGGTTGGCGCCGCAGATGGGGACCTTGGCGCCTCCTCCGGCGTACGGTTCGGAGGGGGGAAGTATCCTCCTCGAATCTGCGACCGCCGCCGCCGCTCACGCACCTGCATCGTCCTCGACCCCGCCAATCTCCCACCACCGCCGCACCTCCTCGCTCGTCGCCTCCGCCTCCTCAGCCGCCGCCGCCCTCTCATCCCCCACACAGCCCATCCGTCCCTCTCCACTCCGCCACTCCCACTCACGTCACACCTCGTCCGCCTCGTCCCGCTCGAATTCGAACGGGTCGGAAGGCGGCGAACGAGGAGAAGAGGAGGACGTCCATAACCCCCCTACGCCGGGGTTGTTGGATATCTCGTTGCATTCTATGCATCGGTTTCCGGATCCGGTGTATGAGTCGGATGAGGAGGAGCGGCGGGATGAGGTGGCGAGCGACGCGGAGGGGGAGGAGGAGGAGGAGCGAGAGGAGGGGGAGACGGTGGCGCTTGTGAGCCCCAGGCAGCAGGTGGCGGCGGATGGAGCGAGCGCGAGGAGCGTCAGTCCGCCCGCTTACAACCCTGTCGACCCCTACGTGCGTTGTCCCTCCCTTCCCTCCGCTCGCTCGCCTTTCTCGAGCTGACGAATCGGTCTGTCGCACACAGATGTACGCCCCCGGAGTTGCCGAAACGATCCTCGAAGACGCCTTCGCGGCCGCCGCAAACCAACAAGGTTCCTCCGCCTCACCAATCACTCCCTCCACCGTCGCAGGCTACCCCGGTTCCTCCTCCGCCCGTCCTCCCCTCCCCGGTCTGTCACCTCAACAAGTCGCTGTCGTCGCGCAGTTCGCACAACAGAGGAGGCTGATGCAGCAGCAGCTACAAGCGGGCGGAGGGGCGTCAGCGAGCGGGGCGAGTAGTCCGGGCTACGAGGCGCGGACTGCGGGCGCGGGTGATGCAGGTGGAGCGGGAGGAACGGGATCAGGAGGACTGGGAGGGCTGTTGGGTTGGTTGACGGGTCGGGCGCGGGCGGGCGCGACGCCTGAATCGCGCGCTGAGCAGGGTCAGGCCTGAGGCGCGCGCTCGCTTTCGACTCTCTTTCGCATGTTGTGTGTCGTTCTTGTGTGACTCTGGTTCTGTGATTTTCCCTCTTCCTCCTCCTCCTCGCTTGTTTCTCGCCGCACCATGGTAGATTCCCGATTCGCCTCCGCTCTTGCGGAGCAATGTAGCCCTTCCAGCTTGCGCTTGCGATCTCTGTCAGCTCGAGCTGCGAAGAGTGCTTGAGCGAGATGCCAAGGACCCGACCGAGGAAACGGTTGTCTTCGTCTCCTCCACCTCGCTTCATCTTCTCCTTGCTCCTTCAGCTGCTTTACGCTAGACAGAGAGTCTGAGACGCACGTCCGATGCGACTGTGGCAAGCCCCGAGCGCGTCGCTCGTCCTCACGACCCTCGCACTCACCGCCTCCCTCGCCAAGGCCGCCAGTCACCGCCCGCCACCGCTTCACGCGCGCGCCCTTTCGCATCCACAAGACCTCTCGATCTACATCATCCCCCGTGCGCAACTACCTGCCTCACGATCGCCTTTCGAGCGGAGAAGCGGCGAGTCCGTCGAGCGAGGGGGAGGGCGAGGGGTCGTGCGATTGACAGCCGGAGGGAATCCAGCGTGGGATGATCGTTTCCTGCTTTCGTTCATCGCGCACGACGGAGAACCCGTCACGCTCTCGCTCCGGCCGACGGCGGACCTTGTCCCGACAAATGGGGTCAAGAGTGTTGAGCGATGGTCGGACGACGAGACGGGCGAATGGAAGGAGCATGTGACGGTCCTTGCGAGGGAGAGTGTCAAGGCCTACGAGGGATGGGTGCTAGATGAGGAGGCGGACGTGCACAAGTGGGTCAAGGAGGAGCAGGCGGGTCTCGTGCGAGGCGCGGACGCAGGTTCAGGTTGGGCTAGGATCGTCGTCCTATCGACGCCAGACGAGGAGCAGAACCTGAGATTCCAGGGTACCTACTCGAAGGGCGGCGAGATGTTCACGATTCACTCGACCGAGCAGTACCTCCGCACGAAGGACGACCTCGACCCCGAGCCGCCGCTCGTGACGCCGTCCAGACGATCTCGCCGGGCGATCGGAGGCGCAGACGATGCTGTGCTCGCGCCGAGACACCCAGCGATGGTTATCGTCCGCGAAAGCGCGACGCTCAGCCCGGTCGAGCACATCTCCGCCTTGCGCAAACGAGGGCTTCCTCTTCCCGATCCGGCGACCCTCTCTACCGCCTCGTCTTGCTCGCACGACTCTCTGCCGTTCAACGTCGACCCCGCACACCCCGTCTACGCCAACTCGCATCACCTTCTCGAAACCTATTCCAACTCGTCCTCCCTTTCCTCGCCCTGGCTCTCGTTCCTCTCGTCGCCCTCGATCCAGCCATTCACTCCAGCCGACCACTCGACGCCCTTCAACTCGTACCGCTACGTCCCTTCCGACCGCCATCGGAAACGTCAAGGCGACGACATCAGCGGAGGGAGCGGATCGTCGTCCAACTTCATCAACTCGATTGGCTCGACGACCGGCTGCCCGAAGCAGAACGTCGTCCTGTTCGTCGGTGTTGCGGCAGACTGCACCTACGTGAGTTTGGCGGAGCCCGGCTTCGTAACCCGCCGCTCGCTCACCTTTGCCTTGTTCTCGTAGACGACTGCACAGCGGTCTAGCGACGCTGCTCGCCAGCAGATCTTGACCGACTTCAACAGCGTCTCGGCGTTGTACCAGCGCTCCTTTAACGTTTCGATCGGTGCGCCAAGCGCTTCCTCTCGCATTCGCTCAGAGACTCACTGCTTCTCCTTATGCAGGCATCGTCGAACTCGCCGTCATGAACTCGACCTGCCCGTCATCGTCCAGCCAGGTCGACCGCTCCAACCCGTGGAATCTGCCGTGCCAGTCCGGCTCAACCGGCGGGACTGGCAGCAGCATCGGCGTCGACCTCAACACGCGCCTCAGTATCTTCTCGCAGTGGCGTGGCGACAAGGGCGCGCACGACGGCGCAGGATTGTGGCATCTGCTTACGACCTGCCAAACCGGCAGCGAAGTCGGCGTCGCTTGGCTCGGCCAGCTCTGCCGGACCGCCTCTTCGAGCCAAGGTGGTCAGACGACGAGCGGTACAGGCGTGACGGCAGCAACTCGCAGCGAGTGGCAGGTCATCGCGCATGAGATCGGACACAACTTTGGAGCCATCCACGACTGCGCGAGCGGGTGCTCTCTGAGCGGCAACTGCTGTCCGCTCTCGTCGTCGACTTGCGACGCCAACGCCAACTATATAATGTCGCCCGTCTCGGAGAAGAACGTTTCCGCCTTCTCGCCCTGCTCGGTCGGCAACATCTGCACGACCCTCTCAAGCTCGCTGAACACGACCTGCCTCGCGACGCCCGGCGCCTCCGGCAACCCCAGCATCATCTCCCTTCGGAGCTGCGGCAACGGCATTGTAGAGAGCGGGGAAGAGTGCGACCCCGGCAGCGATACGAACGACCCTTGTTGCGACGCTTCAACCTGCAAGTTCCGCTCCGGCGCCGTCTGCGACCCGAAGAACTCGCTCTGTTGCACGACCCAGTGCCAGATCGCGAACAACGGCACCGTCTGTCGTCCTTCGGTCGATTCACAGTGCGACATCGCCGAGGTCTGCGACGGCTCGAGCGCTAGTTGTCCGGCCGACTCGTACAAGAAGGACGGTGGGTCCATTCGTTGCTCTTCCAGGTTTGGGCGGAACTGACGAGGATTGCCGCGCAGGCACTGGATGTGGCGGCGGTCTTTCGTGCGCATCGGGCGTTTGCACCAGCCGCGACCAGCAGTGCCGCAACGCCGGAGCGTCGATGGGTCTCACGAGGGCGTGCCCGACTTCTGCGGTGCGTTCACGCGCTCTTTGCCTCGCTCTTCGCCGCTGACGAGTCCCCATCTCGCAGTCCTCATCCTGCAGCATCATCTGCCAAGACCCATCGTCATCCTCAAGCTGCATCATCCTCGACCAAAGCTTCCGCGATGGTACCGCCTGCCAGAACGGTGGACGCTGCAAGAGCGGGTCGTGCAACAGCGGCTCGGCGCTCGACACGGCGAAAGGCTGGTATCGCGACCACCTCCAGATCGCGATTCCCGTCACCATCGTCGTCGGCTTGATCGTTCTTGCCATCTTGTGGGCGATTCTTCGCTGCCTGTGCTGCCGAGGCGGTCGCGCCAAACCCGCCAAGGGGCAGTCGTACTCGTCGGCGTACGCGACCGGTCCGCCGCAAATGGCGCAGAACGCCCCGTATGGCTACTACCCTTCGAATGCGCCGCAGCAGCAAGGAGGATACTACGCTCCTCCGCCCGGTCCCCCTCCAGCTCGCCTACGTCGATAGACAGACAAGCCTAGACGGCGCTTTTCTCACCAGACAGACACTTCTCGCGTCTCGCCTACACGGTCCTTTCGTCCCTTCCTCTCCTCTCGTTGTAAGACTACGCAGCGCAGCTATACCACCTTGTAGCAACTCCTCGAGCTTCTTCTCCTCGCTTGCATCGATCGGTGAATCGTGACAACAAGGCACTGCTTGCAAAGCTAGAGATGCGGGACGTCTAGGAGGAAGGGATGTAGGCGAGAGTACCGAGGGAGGACAGTCGCCTTAGGCCTTTCTGCGCCGTCTGGGGGATGCTTGAGGCGGTAGACGAGCCGAAGAGAGGGAGGCGAGAGGCGCTCGGTCGAGGAAGCGCTGAAGTCGTGGCTGGCAGCGGAAGATTTGGTGGCCTCTTCGCAAGAAGCGATGGGCGAGGAGCTGTGCGAGTAGGAAGAGTAGGCGAGGTGTTCGCGCGTACAGTCGGAGGGCGGAGCATCGAACGATTCGTCGAGGTAAGGAGCGGGCGAGTCTTGACAGGCGAGATGGATGGTGTCCGCGTGTCTTTCGTCGGTGCGGTAGGCAAGCGAGTCCGCCCGGTCGTTGGCGACGGGAGACGACTTGGCGACGTCGCAGCCGACGCCGTAAAGAGCGGTCGGAGGCCCTTTGACTTGTCCTCGACCTGCGCGGTTTGCGCGTCCTCCTTGATGATAGGCTTCTGCCCCTCCTCGTTGATGCGGTCGATGTCCCAGTCCGAATGACGGCGGACCATCGAAGGCGGGCGGAGAGTCGAGGGGCGTCGAAGGGAGGGAGTCGACTTGGCGGTGTGAAGCGTACGGAGACGAGTGGGCGGGATAGGCGAAACGTCGAGCGCTGCGTCTTGCGGGTTTGCCAATTCGAGACTCTGTCGCAAGACCTCCTTCTCATCCTCCACATCTCCCTCACTCGCCTTCTTCGTCCTCGTCCCGACTCTCCCGCCCACTCCCGCTCCAATCCCTGAACCGAGACTTCCATCCGTCTCAACACTAGTAGCCGAACTCTTCCTCCTCGCCGCCGAGACCCAACTCCACCCTCTCTCCCTCTCGCGTTCGAGTGGGGGCGAATCAAGACTGAGGTCGAAGAGTTCTTCCGAGTCGGAGGAGGCGGATGAGGAGGTGGAGGAGGCGAGGGATGAGGATGAGTGTGTGCGATTCAGGCGAGAGGAGGAGAGGGAGGGGAGGAGGGTGGTCGAGGGTTCGCGGGCGAGTTTGTAGGCCTGTTGGCAGGGAAGCATTTCGTCAATTCGTCATCTCGCTTCGCGCTCCGCGCTCACGGCAACGAGCGAGTGCAGCGAAACGGGATCATCGAGAAGACGGAATTGCGGGAACGCACCCTGTACCCGCCCGTCGTGTTCTCCTGCTGTCCGGCCCTCGACCCACCCGAGCTACTCCACGCACTACTCGCCCTACTCCCCCTACTAATTCGACTGACCACACTACTCGCCAGACTGGCCTTCCTCTCACCTTGTGCCTTCTCCCTCGCGCGAGCAGGCGAAGTTGATGCCGGTCGAGAAGTTTCCGGCGTCTGCTCGGCGGAAGGACGGAAAGAGTCGATAAGTGAGGAGAGTTCGGCCGTGATGTTCTCCATCCTGAGACTCTCGTCCGAATCCGATTCTGAATCGTCGGTCGAAATGGAAGTCGTCCTGCTCGTCCCACGTCCGAACCGCGCATCAACAGCCGACTCGTCCGACTCTTCTGAACCAGCTGTCCGCCCCACCCCCCGAACGCGAGAAGGCGACTCAGGCCAAGCGAATCGCTCCAACAGATGCTGCACATCTCGTTCTCGCTCTCGCTCTTCGCGGGAAGGTATAGGAGGGAGGGCGAGGGGTGGTGGTGGGAGAGGAGGGAGGGGTTTGTTTGTTGAGGGCTTGCGAGGGGAGGGGGAGGAGGAGGAGGAGGCGGTAGGAGCAGGGGAGAGCGGAGGTGTAAGTGAGGAGGCGATGGAGGATGAGCGTGGTGGGCGGAGAGAAGGTGATGGAGAGGGTGGGATAGGCTGCGAGCGGACGACGTACTCGTGAGCGCAAATGGAGAGGTGACGGGGAAAAGAGTAAAAACCTACGGGAAGAGGAATTGTCGGTGGTCCAGGACGTCGCGCGGGCTCCTGCTTCTCCCGCAACTCGAAAGCCTGCCCAAGGCGCTCCTTCCTCGGCCTTGGCGCCTCCATCCCGCGCGAGAAGCCATCCCCGCCCTTGACCGTACTCGCCGCCGACAAAGGCGGACTCGGCAAGGGCGACTCCGCCAGCGCGCCCAGCCCTAGCTTCGTCACTTTCTCCTTCGCTGCTTCGACACGTATGGCTGGAGGACGCGGGAACGCCGCCACGAGCGTCGAGAAGACCGCGGCGTCTTCTGCCGTCTCGGATTCGGCGTCGGAGGTGATAGAGGCGAGGGAGGTGGTTGTTGAGGTCGAAATGGAGCGCGGGCGGGTTAGAGAGGTGCGGATTGAGCGGACGGTGCGTGGCTGGGCGACGGAGGAGACTGGGAGCGGAGAGACGGCGAGCGGTGAGAGATTTGAGGCAGGTCCGCTCGTCCTGCTGGCGTATCCCTCCGCCTTTCCCCCTCGTTCGAGCACCTCTTGTACCCGAGAAGTCCTTTCGTGACTGCCATCTGCACCTGCGGCCGCTTTCCCGCCCTTGCGCGACCCAAGGACCCACTCTGCCTTCTCCCTGAGCCGCTCGCGCGCCCTCTTGTGCGGACTCGTCGCCTGGTCCACGAGTCCCGTCCGCTGGAGGTGCTCCATCTATCGTTGTCGTTCCGTCTGGACGAGTGGAAGAAGGCGGACGAGGGACGAGGTGGGGCGGGGTCGAGATGAGATTGGGCAAGGGACGGGAGGAGCGCAGCGGGAGTCTCAGGCGCCTGAGACGGCGGCGAGAGCTGGTCACGAGGAGGCGCAGGCGAGTACGCTGAGTGAGCGGGAGGACCTGTGCGGTCGAGCTAGCGCTGGTGTGCGGCTGGCTCGTGCGCGGACAGCGGGCCGAGATGAGAAGAAAGCGAGCAGAGGAGGGCTCGAGCGAGGAGCTTCGGCGACGTGGGGCGGGGACGGCGCGCGCGAGGAGTCGTGCAAGGTGAGTGGCAGGAGCATGCTGGGTGTTGTTTGGGCGCGGGTTCGGGCGAAGGAGAAGCGCAGTCGAGAAGACCCACGCGAGGAGAACCACGCCGCACCTCGACATCGCACGCATCGCAGGCCAGTCTGACAGGTCAAGGCGTGTACCCACACTGTTTGAACACTGTTGCGCATGGTCCTGCGTCCGTACGAGTGGTGTGAGGCGTGCGCAGAGTGGACGCATCTCGTCGACGAGACGCGACGCGAAGACAAACGCGAGTCGCGAGGGTCGGCTCGCTCTCTCCTTCTTCCACTCTCTCCTCCTCCTCTCTTGAGACTCGCAAGCTCTGCCACACTCGCTCGCAGACGCCCCGACACCCGGCCCACCCAGCGCAGGCCGCTCCACCCTCCCCCGCCCGCTCCTCCTCGACCTCCTCTCCACGCCCTTGTCACTCCCTCACACTCACCATGCTCGGCAAACGCACCCGCCAAGACGCGCCACTCGTCCTCTCCAAGCGCTCGCTCACCGCCTACATCCCCTCGACCAAGCCACACGCCGCGGCGGGAGATGTGAAGGCAGGCGCATCGGTCGCGATGGGACGGATAGAGTCGCAGAAGGAGAACCGCGCGGTGCAGGTGGGCGCAGAGGATACAATGATGGAGGTTGAGCGGGACAAACGCGCGCTGGACGAGCTGTTCAGTGAGTCGTTGCCGTTCCAAGTTCGCGAGCGTACTCAGGCTAATCCTCCTTGCAGCCCTCCCTACGCCTCCTCCGTCCTTCGAGCTGCCCGAGCCTTCCTTGAACGACGCGTCGCACGCACCCTCTCCCGCGCCCGAACCCTCTACGTCCCGCGGCATCCCCAACATCTACACTCACGCCTCCTCGCTCCTCACTCCCTCCTGCTCACTCGCCTCATCCCTCCCCCTCACAGGCCGCACAGACCAACACGAGACCCTCCTCGCTTTCCTCACTCGACGCTTTCCCTCCGTCTATGGATCTACCTCGAGTCGACCGGGCCCGGCGGCGATGTACGTCTCTGGCCCGCCGGGAATTGGGAAGACTGCGCTTTTGGCGTCGACAATCGCGGCTTTCCGTAGGCTTGTGGAGGACAGGGAGTGCGAGGAGGAGGTCGGCGTGTTGGTGGAGAACTGCGCAACGATTGCGGGTCAGGGGAGCGTGTGGGAACGATTAGGGCGGGGGTTGGGGATGGATATGGACTTGGGAAGCGAGAGGAGCGCGAGGAGGGCGAAGGAGGCATTCGAAGAGGGACTGAAGGACGGGAGGAAGTAGTAAGTCGCTTCGTCTCTTGCGTTTCTCGAGACCAGAGCTAACGACCGCCCGCTCTCGCTCAGCCTCCTCGTTCTCGACGAGATCGACCACCTCGTCTCGCCGTCCTCGTCAACCGCCTCCTCGTCGTCGTACCAGCCCGACCTCCTCTCCTCCCTCTTCGCCCTCGCCTCCACTCCCGCCTCGCCCCTCACACTCATTGGCATCGCCAACGACCTGACGCTCAAAGCGCTCGCTCTCCCTACCCTCGCGACGAACGTCACAGGCAAGGGCAAAGCGAAGGCCGACCCGCTCAACACGCCGACCAAGCCGATCAGGGTTCACTTCAAGCCGTACAGCTGGCAGGAACTCGTCGCTATCGTCGCGCAGCGTCTCTCGCTTCTCGCGCCTCAGTACCCGCTCGATCTCAACGACGCGTCCGTCTCGACTGTCACAACCGAGCAACCCGCAGCGGGCAAGAAGGCGACCTACCCCCTCATCGACAAGCCCGCGCTCGAGCGGTGCGCGAAGAAAGTCGCAGCGGGCACAGGCGACGTCCGTACGATGCTCGACGTCGTTCGTCGCGCGATCGCCCTTGTCGCAGCCGACCAATCCTCTAACCCGACCGTCTCGTCCCTCTCGACTTTCACGCCCTCAACCGCACCCAAAGCCTCGATGAAGCACGTCTCGGCTGCACTGGCGGCTTCGGCCGGTCTGACGGCTGCGCCAACGCTCGCGGCGAGGTTGGCGGCGCTGCAAGGAGGGCCGCACCAGCGCGTTGCACTCGTCTCCGTCGTCGTCGCCATCTCGCGCATCGACCCCTCTCAGCCCGGGCTCGACCGTCCCTCGACACCCGAAGGCCTCCGAGTCGTCCTCGACGAAGCCTACAAAGCGTACCGCGAGATCGTCGCTCGCGAAGACGTTCTCCGCGCTCAGGCGCTCGATGCGTCGGCGTACGCAGAGACGGTCGGGATGGTCGAAGATCTCGGTGGATTCGTCATTGTGCGTGGTCGACCCGGCTCGTCGCCTTCCTCGTCGCCCTCGTCTTCAAACGGGCGGGTCAAGCGGACTCCGACGCCGACCAAGACGAAGAAGCACGAGCGGGGAAAGATGACCGTCGAGCTCTCGCCTACTTCTCCGCTCGGCGAACTCGTCACCATCCTCACCTCTCCGCCGGCGGAGGGCAACGAAGCCGACGAGGACGAGACGAGTCGGTTGATGCGGCGCGTTATCGAGCGCGAGCGGGCTGACCAGCGATGGGCTGTCAAGCGCCGTTCGCTCGGTCGGGACGAGGACAGGCGGGCGGAGGAGATGCTCGAGGGCAGGGAGTGGGAGAAGAAGGTACTGGCTGGCGGGAGGAAGACGGGCGAGGCGGACGAGTGAAGGGGCGCTTATTTTCGATGAGGTTGCGGTCGTCGACACTATTCCACGCATATCGTATACCCTCTACGCATCTTACTGCATTCGCAGTGGTTCATTCGCAGGCGGGGGTGGTTGTCGAGGCGAGGTGGTTTGCGCACGACGGAGTGATGGCTAGCAGGGGGCTTCTTCGGCTAACACACCTATCTCGTCGACGTTCGCACTTGCTCGCCTCCTCCTATCATCCTTGTTTTGCGATAGGAGGGTCGCGAGGGACTCGCTTGATCCGTGGATGATCCGAGACTGCCGGAAGGTGAAGCAACGGCCCTCCTCCTCTCTCTTCTCGGCTCGGGAACGAGCGGCCGTGTATTGCGTCTCCTCTTGCGGACAGTCCGCGGACCTTGCTATCTCGCCATCCGCGCATCCGCTTTTCCTCCCTCCAATCATCCACTGTTGGCTCCGCTTCACCATCATCGACCATATGGCTACTCTCATTCCTCTCAATGCCGACATGGTCGCTTGGGTTCGTGGCGTCCTCGACGAGCTTCGATCCGACGTCGGTGAACAGCAATTCAACGCTTGGCTCGTGGCCGGCAACCGCGACAAAGTGATGGAGATTGCCCGGATGCTCCAGAGCAGAGGGGACCCACGCTCAGCGACAGCTCAGCACGCCAAAGACCTCACCAAGACAATCAAGGCCTTACTCACCTCCGTCTTCTACCTCAAGTTGTCGCTGGCTAACTTGAGGGCATCGAGTCCCGTGAGTTTGCCGTGGTCACACTCTCCTGCCTCGTAACGCAAAGCTGATGCTCTCGTACTGCAGGCCGCTTACCTGGTGCATTCGGCGGATATTCACACCTTCGTCTCCTGCATCCGACAAGCTGTCCGTGTTTGCACCGCCTGGCCAAGAAGCACAACTGACACTTCACTGCCCGAGCAGAAGGCCAACAAGTTTGCCACCACCGAGGAAGAGAGGGAAGGAGCCGCACTCGAGCTTTCTGAGTTCATTACGAGGCGACAGCAACAGCTTCTCACGATCTGGTATGCCATCATCGATGGCCACTCCCTCCTCAAGCCGACGATCGGTCGCCGGGTTGCCCGGATGCATGGCACGACGAAGGGGAGGTGGGAGAGGGAGGCGAGGGCGTCCTGAGGAGGGACTTCGGTGGGCCTCTCTGTCTTTCTCCATCTCGTTCCGTTTGCTTACGCCTTCATCCCGGAATCATCCTGCGAAGTCAATTCCTGGGATACACATCTGGTCATTGTGCGCCCGCTGTGCCGTATTTCGTTGTCCTTGTTCTCTATTGGGTCCTCCGCTTGCCTCCGCTCCTTTTTCCTCCGGTTCTCGCGTCCCTCCTCATGCAGATCGAGCTAGGCAAGCATGAACTCGCATTCATCAATGTCTGTTTGCGCTTCTGGCACGCTCCAGCGCAAGACCTCGATTGTGAGACGGCAATTCAGCAACTTGCGAAGGTTGCCCATTGCTCGCCTGGCTCGGCCGCGTTGAATGTCGTCCAAGTCCAGCTATTGCGCACGAGAGCCCGTGTGTGACTCCAGCCATGTTGCGACGAGGCCATCGAGCGGTGCGAGCGTCGGATGTTCCGCGGACTCGGGCGGCCAGCAAGATGTGCGACGCCTCACCCTCCTCTGCCTCCTTCCCCCTCCATCGGCTTTGCTAAAGTTCCTCTCCATTGCTCTACTCCAACGCGATGGCGAAACCCCCACGCCTCCAGAACTGGGTCCGCGGCTTGCTGGGAGAACTTGCGCTTGCGCACGGCGAACTGGACGCGTGGATTGCGCGGGAAGAGAAGGCGACCAAGCTTGCCAACATGCTGTGGTGGTTTCACACCACGCACCCGGAGGAGAACCAGCGCACCGGCGTTCCCTTCGAGCAGCGGGTCCGGGCCCTCATAGAAACCGTCTACTGGCTTCACACCAGCCTCGCGCATAACCACAAGGTGAGTACCAGCGCACGTGTCAGTGAGTGTGCTGCCTCAGGCTGACGATGCTTTCCGCAGACACTCGACCATGTTGGGCTGCTCTCGTTCACGATGGCAATTCAATCGGGAGTGCGTAACTCTGCTTGCGCTGCCAGTACAACACTGACACTGTCGGCATCTCTAGAAAGCTGGTACTTGGGATGTTCAGTCGCACCTAGCTGGGCTGTACAGGAGCGCCTGCGAAGCATTCGTCGGGGAATGGGAGGAGAAATGGCGGAACTGGGTTGGCCTCTATGTGCACTTGCTCCTCAAGCCGACCATTGCTCGCCGGGTCGCCCGGATGCACGGTACGACGAAGGAGAGGTGGGAGAGGGAGGTAAGGGCGTTCTGAGTGAGGAGCGAGATGAGGCCCCTTCTGCAGCTTCCATCCCGGGGCTGTCTACTTCAACCCCTGCAAGATAGCTCTGTTTCTCTGTCGATACACCAGCACAAAGCCTGCCTTCGTGTCGGGAGGACCGTCGCACATTCAGCTTTTGGGAAGGTCAGCTTCGCTCCTCTCCCTCGCTCCCGCTTTGCTCGCCCCAAGCTCGCCCGCTCGAGTGGCGCCTTCGCCAGTGGTGCACGTGCTTGCTGTGCCTCCTCTCGCGGGCAGTCCGCGGACCCACCGAGCGACGCAGCCGTCGGCTCTTTCTCTCTTCCTCTCTTCCTCTCGTGGCCACTCTCCCGCTTGTCGCTGCATCAGAAGCTGCATCGCTGGCTTCTGGGCTCAGCATGACCAGTTTCACGACTATGGAGGACGCCGTACATGCCATCTTGGAGGAACTCAAGGTCGAGGGTATCGACGAGCAGAACTTCAACGCCTGGCTCGCAGTGAACCAGCAGAACAAGGTGGAAATGATTGCCCAAGCTTTGCGAAGACTGAAGGACTTGGACACCCGTACACGAACGAAGAAGACGGACGCATTTTTGAGCTCCGTCTTCTGGTTGAAGGAGACGCTTCTCCTGGAGCCGACCTCCCTTCGTGTCAGTCGCGGTTCATAGCCATTCGAGGAGCACTCGCTGACAGTAGCTTGCTCCTCACAGATGGCTTACCTACGCACTGCGCATGTCGATTCTTTCCTCTCCACCATTCGAAACGCTGTATGTCGGAACTTCTTTTCCCTGTCTCCTGTCCTTGACACTAGTCCCGTCCAGACGGTCAGCCATTACAACTTCACTCACGCCATGAGGCAAGATGAGGAGGCAAAGGCAAAATTACTCAGGTTCCTGGCGGACTGGAAGAAGAAGATGCTGCGCGCCTGGTATGCCGTCTTCGAAGAGCGCTCCCTCGTCAAGCCGTCGATTGGCCGCCGGGTCGCCCTGATGCACGGTACGACGAAGCAGAGGTGGGAGAGGCAGGCGAGGGCGTTCTGATCTCGCGAAACCTGGTTGTAGAGGTTCCCCGACACACTCGTTCGCTGTCCTTACCGCCCTCTCTCCCGAGCGTCGTCCCGCGGTCCGTAACTCATCGAGACTGCCAAGCTTCTGCGAGAAGATCTCCCTGTTGCGACGAGAAGTTGCGAAGGGGCTAATCGCTGCTCTTGCTCCTCAGCTGCTGCCATTGCGAGACGACACATACAGCTTGATTGACAGCTATGCACAGATACGACGCACAGACAGACTCGTTGGTGCAACTCAGCAGAAGATGTCGGGATCTTCGAAGGCCTTTTTGTCGCGCGCCTCGACTGCGGTTGCGACAGATGGGTCAGCCACGCTCTCGATTCGGAGAGAAAAGGAAACAAAGGACGCACAGTACTTCCCCGTGTACTCCCACCCCTCGCCGCCCGCCGCCTTTGTGAACCACCTCGGCTCGCCCACCTTTCCCTCCTTGCGCTTCGCGCGCTGCTTCTCCTCGACCTGCGCCTTGAGCCGCTCCGCCTCGTCGACTTCGCCGCGCTCGAACGCGAGCTGGTCGGGCCGGAGACGCGAATCGGTCGGCGCGACGAGGCCTTCTTCGAGCGAGGTCGTTTCGTTGAGCGTGACGGCGAACGACGAGAAGCCGTAGTACCGCTCGGGGTCTGCGCGAGCGCGAGCGTCAGCAAGAGCAAGCACGAGGGGAGGAGTAGACCGGGCACGTACTCGGCGGGAACTCGGCGATTTGCCAGAGGCGGGTGAAATTGTTCTTGCCCTCCTTCTTGTCCACCGCGTCGTCCCACCTACCGACGAGCTCCACAGCGGTCTTGCCATCCGCATCGACGACCTTGCCGTCAATCTTGTTCCTCGTCAAGCTTCCGCCCCACGCCGAGCCCTCCTTGAACGAGATGGTGGCCTGCGCCGAGGACGAGTCGGTCGTGACGACGAGGTCGCCGACGACTTCGAGGTACTTGGTGCCGGCGACGAGGTTGCGAACGAAAGACGAGGGTTTGCGGATGTGGAACGTCTCCGAGTTGTCCGAGAAGCGGATGCAGTAGTCGCCGTGGACGAAGACCTTTTCCGCGCTTCCTCGTCAGCTTCGGAAGCCTTGTGAGCGAGCAGGAGACGCGACGCACCTCCATCGAGCGACCCCAGAACTTCTGACTCGGCGCGATGTGGCCGAATACCTGCCAGCCTCGCTGCGGCGCGTCGCTGTGGAAGGCAAGGACGGGCGGATGGTGCGAAACCTTTTCCGAGACGAACTGGAAGCCCTTGTCGGGGCGGATGCACTCGTACGTCTCGCCGAGGAGAGGGTTGCTGCGCGTGGCGGTGCGAGTCTTAGCGATCATACTCGAATGCGCAGCGCAAGAAACGTCTCGGCGTTTTCGCTGCGCCTCGAACGCCTTAAGCGATGAAACGAAGCACGTCGCGACTCACAAAGGCTTCCTCGAGCTCCTAAACTTGTTGCCCGCCGTCCCGCTGATCGCAAACACCGCAACAAGCGTAAGTCGCTCGACAGGGTCCTTGGTCGCCGCCGCGCGGTCGAGCAACTCCGAGTACTCGAGTTCCTCAGCGAGGCGCTGGAGAGCCGAGAGAGGCTCGTTCATCGTCACGGGGAAGGAGATGGTCGAGAGGTCCTGCGCGCCCAAGTCCGAGAAGAGTCAGCGTCGCTGGCCAGTGAGAAGGGAGAGAAGGGAGGCGACGGCGCACCTTTCCGACATTCTTCCTCAGCATGCTCAGCATCGAGAACTCGTCTCCCGCAACCGGACTCGGCAGCTGTTTCCTACGCTGGACCTGCGTTCCCTCCTGCAAGCCCTTTGCGACGCTTGATCCAACGCCAGCCCCAGCGGGTGACGACGCCCTCGTCGTCTCGGCGTCGTCCTCCTCCTCATCGGCAGACTCGTCGTCCTCCTCGTCCTCGACGATAGTCGACGCCTCACCGCCACTCGACCCACTCCTCTCCTCCATCTTCTCCTCTCCCTCCTCCCCATCCTCCTCCTCCTCCTCCTCATCATCATCACGAGCAACCCCCCTCCTCCCCTCCTCCTCCTCCAGCACAAACTCCCCAGGCACCGCATCAAACCAATCCTCACTCGCGTTTTCGACCGAAAAGAAGCTCGAGAAACTCGCGCGGCTTGAGGCACGGGTTGGGTGAGAGCGCGAGGCGTAGACGGGCGAGCCGGCGCGCGGAGGAGGAGAGGAGAGGGAGGAGATGGCGGTCGAGAGGTCTGCGTGTGATTGGCGCAAAGCTGAGACGGCGGATTGCAGTTGGCGGAGGAGGAGGTCTTGGGTCGGTGTGGGAGTCGCCTTGTCATCGAAGTAAGACGGCTCTTCCGAGACGGGCGACTTGGGTCCCGGCTGAGAGGTACTGTTTGACCGTTTCCCGAGGAATCGGAATTTGCTCCCACTCCCACTTCCGCTGTTGTTGGTAGGGGCAGGCGAGAGCGAACCAGGCGAGACCGACAACTGCGAGTTGGTCACTTGCTGCTGAGTCGGCTGGGGAGTGGGCGAGGAAGACTGCCTAAGTTCGCGCGCGAGCGACTCGATATCTGTCATAGGCTGCGCATGTCGCATCCATCCATCCATCCGTCAGTACCATTCCCTACCTCGGCGGGAGAAGCCAAGAAGAGGAAGACGCACCTGCGCCATCGCCCCAAGCGCCCTCTTGACCCTCTCCACCTCTCCGCTCTCCATCCCTCCCGACCCTGTTCCGCCACCAGTCGGAGGCTGAGGAGGAAGTACCACAGCACCCTTCTTGCCCCCCTGAACAGCCGCAACGTTCCCACCCTTGAATCCACCATCTTCCAGTTCCTGCGGCGGGACGGGGAGAGAAGCTTGTTGTTGGTGCTGGTGGTGGTGGTGATCTTGTTGCGCGAGGTTGATGAACCGTTTGAGCGCGTCGGCCCAGCGATCAAAGTCTTCCAACTATTCCCGCGCCACCCTCCCTCAGCGCTCGTCCTTGTTCGCGAGAAGGAGAGGGAGGGGACGTACAGTCAAGGCCTTGCAATGGTACACCGTGTTCCCGCCATCGATATGCAACGTCCTCTGCTTCCTCGACGCCGAGATGAATGCGAGTGAAACAAAGATCGAGTCGCGCAATGGAGAAGAGGGGTTGAACGAGTACGACAATGCGCCTGCAACACCAACCCTCCAGTCTCGTCAGGCTGGCAAGCAGATGGGAGAGGAAGAGGAGGAAAGAATGGACGGACCGGACGAAGAGAGTCGGAAGTACCTCCTCCCGAACCCCTGCAACGCCTTTCGTTTCTTCTTGAGCATGTAGCCTTCAATCACTACTTCCTCTCCCGCTGCGCCCGTTGCTCCTGCTTCGTCGGAGTTGGGTGAGGGAGAGGCGGAGGAAGAGGGAGGGGCGAGGGAGGACCGTCGAGGGCGGAGTTGGGAGCCTGCCATGCTCTCCTACCAATTCGTTCGACTGCTCGGGCGGCGGGAAGAGAGGAACGGAAGGAGGGAGCGGGATCCGGCGACGAGGTGGATTGAGTGATGAAGACGCGTCGAGCGTCTCGAGCGGGGAACGAGGCGAGGTTGATCTCAGACCGGCAGGGACAAGCGTAGATTCAGAGTCTTGTAGCGTATGGGCCACGAGCAAAGCGAGGAGAAGAGAGCGGAGGTCGTGTGCAAGAGAGCGAGGACGCCGACCGGCGAAGTGGTCGCTGCGACTTGGCGGTGGGGCTCGCCGACGTCCTCCAATCCTCCTGTCCCTCCCTCTCACGCCCTTCTCTCGCAATCACACGCACAGGACGAACGAAGGGATTACTGCAGAACGGAGAGAAGAGAGGAGGGTAACTACGAGGAGACAGCCAAAAACCACAGACGCAGAATCTCGGAGGAGGGGGCATGGTGTGAATGGGCGAACCGGGCGAATATAGATGGATAGTTGGGTGTGATAGGACAGAGAGTGTGGGAGCGAGTGTGAGTGATGGGAGGAGGAGAGAAAGGGAAAGGGTCTGTTGGCAGGCGAGGGAGGGAGAAGGGGAGTAGGGGACACGTGGCTGTACGCGAAAGGCCGAGTTGGGATGGGTATACGTGTCGCCACTACTGGCGCCGGGACATGCGACCGACTAGCGCGAGAAGCCGAAAGCGAGCGAAGGAGAAAAGGGGTAGGAGGTGGAGTGAAGTCGAGGGGGTATATAGCGCTTCTTCTGCCTTTCCACCGCCTTCTGACCGCTGCATCGCCTCATCGAGACCGACAACAAGGCGCAGAGAAGGCGAAGGGCGAGGAAAGTGCGGGAAGAAGCCGAGATCGAAAATGGGGGTATGAAAGGGCGTTGGCGAGAGATCGGGCGCGAATGAAGGCGAGAAGCCGTGTCGACGAAAGCTGGCGAGTCGAGTCGTGTGTAGTGGCGGGACTATTGAACCGTGCAGCACTGCGCGCACATCCCCCAACTCAAGGCGTCAGTACCCGTCTCCCTCAAGGCTTCCCTCCCCCATCGCTCGCTCGCCCGCCCGCTCGCGCAAAAGTTAAGGACTTCAAACTTACCCCACCACTAGCCTGAGGCGCATACGGATCCTCACCCTTCTGCACCGGTCCCCACACGCTCGGGACGAGATAATCCCTCGTCGTCTTGCAGTACCTTATCAATCTGTCCTCGCTCCCTCTGACTCAGTACGAGCTTGAGAGGGGTTGGAGGGAAGGGAGGGTGGGACGCACGAGGCACTGGCTTCCGAGACTCGGACCCGTTGGCGCTCGAGGTCTTCGCGCAGGCGCTGGTTGTGCTCTGTCAGTCGTCGGAGCTTGAGCTCGCTACGCGCACGTTGACCCATACACAAAGTCAGTTGAACGTCTGCCGATTCCTTTAGAGACCTAAGCGAGAGGATAGGCGCGGAACAGGGAGACGACGGGGGACAATAGCACCCCCTCCGCCTCCTCGCCCAGAGTGCAGAGAGCGGCGACGCACCTCATGGACGGTTTCCCAGCGTTCTTTCCCGACATGCCTGCTTGTCCCTAGTCGGTGTGCGCGAGAGAGGAGGGTGAGAGTGCGGGTGGGCGGGTCGACGAGGGATGTACGATGTGAAGGGGAGCGGGGGGTCGAGCGGGCGGGGTGGGTGCGAGGCAGGGTGGTTGGGTGTGGGTGAGTGAGGACAGCAAGCAGTCCCGTTGGTCGGTTGTCTGTTGCCCAGTGAGCGAGTGAGCGAGAGTTGAGAGGAAGCGGGCCTCGACCCATTCGCACGGCAGCGGGGAGCAGGACCAACTCGCTCTCTCTCTCTCTGCCACTCTGTGTGCTGAGGAGAGTGTTCGCTGCTGGCACTGTGTGTGGTGTGGCTCAGCTCACTTGAAGGCGGACTCACCCTCACTCGCTCAACTCGCTCACCCACCTCGAACGCCCCCCGCTCTCCCCGCCTCGCTCATCTCGCCTCGCCTCCTCAACCGTCCCCCACCTCCTCTCCCCTCCTCGCCACCGCAACGACACACAGAGCATGGACCCCTACAACCCCTACGCCCACCCACTCCACCCCTCGCATCCCTCCTCGATCCCCGCTCATCGTCCGAGTCCGGCACAGTCTCACACGAGCGGGAACGCGAGTTACGGAGACGAAGGGAGTCGGTCTCCTCCTCCTCCGTCTCTTTCGCTACCAGGACAAGGGGGAGTGGGAGGAGGAGGGGGAAGGAAGAGACCTGCTTCCGACTCGCTCGCCCCCGAGAACGCCTCCTTTGACGCGGGAGGGCGCGAAGAATCAGTCGGTTCGTCTTCCGCTGGCGGAGGAGGAGGAGCGGGTACAGCTGCGAAACGCGGAAAGACTGCTGCCCCGCCTTTGAAACGCGGGAGCGCTTGTACGTTGTGTCGCAAACGAAAGTTGGTGTGTCCCCATTCCCTCTGCCCTCCCTCCCTCGAACGCGTAGGCTGATGCGCTGGGTGTGTATTGGCGAGTGAAGAGGTGCGATGGAGTCCGACCCAAGTGCGGGACTTGTTTGAGGTTGAATCACGAGTGCCAGTACGGCGGTGCGTTTCCGCGCGGTCTTCCCTTGCTTCACTTTCTCGCGAGCTGACGAGCGATGGTGAGCAGACCCGACGCAGGAACGGATCGCGGAGAAGCACCGCGAGTTGGAGGAACGGATTCGTGCGTCCAGCCTCCCCTATCCACTCCCTTCCCCGACCGCGACTGACGAATATGTATGTTGGCGCAGGTTCGCTCGAAGCGGAACTGGACTACTACCGGCGCGGCGGGCCCGCCTCGACGTCTGCCTACCCCACCGCGAACGGGAACGGGAACGGCGCTACGAACGGCCTCTTCCCTCCTCCTCCTCCTCCACCGGGCTCGTCCACCTCGCCCGCTACGCACGCCCTCCCGCTCCCCGGACGCGAAGACCCGCATGCGTCGCTGCAGCCGCAGCACTACGCGGCTTACAACGGCGGTTCGAGCGACCCGTACGGCGGATTCCACGATCCCTCATCAACCTCGGCGCAACGCGATTCGGAAGCGTTCCCCCTCCCTCCTCCTCACCTGCACCCACTCCCCTCTTCCTCCGCGGGAATCGGACTCGCCACGCCCGCTGCCAATACCTCTCCCTCTCTCACAGCTCCCGCCGCGCACTTGCAGAGTTTCCCGTTCCCGATCAATCCGACACCGCCGAATCTGAGCGACTTGATCAATCCGCCTTTGTCGGCTGGTCCGACCAGTGCCGGTGGTGGGACGGGCGCGGGAGGAGGAGCGGGAGCGCAGTTTTCCCCCGAGTCGCCTGTGAGCCCGGCATTGAACGGGGGCACGCTCGCGCCGAGTTGGGGTACCGAGCTCCCCTCGCTCGAAGTGATGCTCGACCTCTCGGACCTGTACTTCTCGACTCTGCACCAACACTTGCCGTTCCTCCACCGCCGCCGATTCCTCTACACGCTGCACCACCCCTCGTCGCTCGCGTCTCCCCCCTCTCAATCACTCATCTTCTCCGTCCTAGCCGTCGCAGCAGCCTACCACGACTCTCCCCTGATCCGCGCCCAAGGCCCGATCTGGTACGCCCTCGCGCGGGAAAAAGTCGACGTGGCCATCAGCGCGGGTGTGAATCCGCACAGTGGGAACAGGGTCGCGACGTTGACGGTCGAGATGGTCCAGGCTTTGTGTTTGTTGAGTCTGGTCGAGATGGGTCAGAGCGATCACCAGCGCGCGTTCCTCTCGATGGGTCAGGCGGTACGGATCGCTGCGATGCTCGGACTGCACAGGATGGACGAAGACCGCGTCGCCCTCCGTACCGGCTCGATGTCGTCGAAGCGCCTCCGACCCCCAGCCCTCCACCCACTCCCACGCGACCCAGTCCTACTCGAAGAATGCCGTCGCACAATGTGCACAGTCTACATCCTCGACCGATTCGAATCCGCGACCGTCGGGTGGCCCTCTGCGATCGCCGAATCGGACGTCCGGATCCTCCTCCCTTGCGCGGACGAGCTGTTCGAGAGTGGGTTGTGTGACGCGGATGGGAGGGATAACCCGCTTTTTTGGCCGGCGGACGATCTCGGAACGAGTGCGGAGAAAGGATGGAAAGGGATTCGGGAGGAGGAGGAGGCGGAGAAGCGCGAGTCGATGATGATGAACGGCGCAGGTGGGGTCAAGAGCGAAGTCGCGACCGAAGGAGTCGAGGCGAGCGCGGGTGAACGAGCCAGTCCGCATGTGCCCAAGGTTGGGACGTTCGCGTGGTTGTGCAGGGTCGTTTGGCTCGGCGGGCGTATCCAGGCAGAGACGTATCGCGATTCGGGTTCGTCTCACGTCTCGCTTCTCTTCTCTCGCTCCTCGACGACTCGCTCACGCTCCCCCGCCCCCGCCTGTACGCGCAGGCCCACCCGCCGGCGGACCCTGGAACAAGCACGTGAACCTCGACCCGCTCGAATCGGCCGCCGAGTGCCTCGAGATGGACCAAGTCCTCGACTACATCCGGAACAAGTTTTCGGCCATCGCGGCGAAGAAGGCGCAGATGCAGAAGGGCGTTGATGGACCGGTGCTGATGATCCTCATGTTTGTCAATTGGTGCGCCCGCAGTCGTTCTTGCTTCGTGTCGATGTGAGGTGGCTGACGGGTCGAGTGCGTGACGCAGCATGTTCACCAACCTCTTCCACCTGCGCGCCGCATCCGGTCTCTCCCGCCTGCCGTGGGACCCCTCGGCGCCGATCTACGTCGGCTCGAGCGAGTACGCGATGCAGCGCTGCTGGGAGGCCATCCACTCGCTGCACGAGATCCTCTCCCAGCTTGCGGCGTACGAGAACTCGAGGACTACGCTGCATAGGTCGAGGGCGAACGTGTTCACTTCGTTCGTGCCCTGTGAGTCGCGCGCTTCCTCCGACTAGTCTTCTTGCGTACTGACGAGCCCCGCTCTCGCACAGACACCCTCTTCGCCGCCGCCTTCCCATCCAAGCTCGCCATCGGGGACTGGTCCGTCCTCGTCGCCGCACGGGACCGGACCGAAAACGTCCCCGCCTCAGTCGCGCGCGACGACCTCCCCTCGGGCGACGACGCCTTCCCGCCGCACTACCTCGAGCGCAGGCTCGCATTTGTGGATGTTGCATGCGACGCGATGGACCGGATGGGGGTCGTCTGGCCTGTTGGCAAGAAGGTGAGTCCCGCCTCGCTCCTTCCATTTCGTCGATCTCCTCGGCCAGGCCTTCCTGACGCGCCTTCGTTCCGCACAGTTCGCCGCCATGATCCGAGGCGACAGGATGCGCCTCGCCGCCCGAGCATACGAACGCTCGACCGCTGCCTCAGCCCCCGGCCAGCCGATCGTCTCAAGCTCGCCTCACCAGCCGACCGCACCGATCTACCACTCTCCCCCGCTTGGCGCGATCCAACACTTGAACGGCTCAGCCTCCGCCGGCGCGGGTTACTGAGCGCTCCGCGACAAGATTCGCGTCCACCACTCCGCCTCTTCAGTCCAGTCTCGAGCAGTACCAATCATCCGTTCTAAGCAGTCTCTTGGGTCTCAAGGTCTCTCCGTTGTCTCCCCTTCTCTCTCTTGTCGTGTCGCGCTCAGCAACCAAAATCACCCGTAGTTTGTCGTGTCGCTTGGCAGTCCTGCATCAACGCATCGTTCTGCAGCTTCTCCCACTCTCTTCGAAATGTCTGGACAGGCTCGCGGCTCGCAAGCAACGCACAGAACAGCGTAGCAAAGAGTAGCGAGGATTGGGAAGGTCGCCTTGAGGAGGTTCGTTCCGCCGTCTCGTTCGTCGCTCATCCTCTTCGCACAGGCTGGTTCTCTGCAGAGCGACACGAACAGCCTGAGGCGCATCGCAGGGACACCCAGCGGCTGAGCCAATACCAGCAACTGCTTCCTCCTGGTCGACATCCATCCCCCTTCCCTCATTCATCAAGCGATCCCTCCACTCGAGCGACTGCAGATCATCTCGCGCGTGTCAGCGGGAAACGACGAGCGAGCCGATGCCGAGTGCTCATCGGACGAGGACGGACGGAGAAAGAGAAAGTCGGCCTCCGCTGGTTCTCCCTCTCTCGGTGAGGAGCGAGGTGCTGCTCGTCGGCCTCCAGGGCTTGGAGGTTGTTCGGTCGGCTGAAAGCGAGCAGCAGTGGAAGGACGCCAGTGAACCGATCCATGGGCGCGCAAGGAGCGCTAGCAGGAGTCGCAGAGTCCTGCTCGAAGAACCCGTCCTGGTCGCAATGCTCGAAGGCTAAGCAGGGAATAGAAACTGCTGCTTTGTTTGTAAGCCAGCAGCAAATCAAGCGTTTTAGCCGCGCCTTGCCCCGCCGCTTGGCCGTCCCCGGAGACCCTCGCCATCGAGGCGGTCGCTTTTCGCGTGACGGGGGGAGCGGAAAGCGAGTGATGCTGTCGTCCAGGTCTCGTCCTCCGCCAAAGTCCCTGCGCACCCATACACTGCCCAGCTACGAAGACGAGCAAGCGAAAGATGCTTGACCAAGCGGAACAAGCGAGAGAAGCGAAGAGGAGAGATGGGATCTGCCCGGCGACTACCGCGATCAGATGAAAGAGACATGGATCTGCGACAGGGTCCCAGGCTGATTCGCAGAACAAAGGAGTGCTTTGTTCGAGGAGGAGGCAGGGACTCGTCGACGGCGACCTCGCTTCTCCTCCTGATTCGCACGGGCGGGTCGATCCAGCAGCGTGTGTTCGTGGCAAGCGAAGGAGCATCCGAGTTTCATCAAGCAATAAGGAACGAGCTGCAGGTCCGCCGTTCAACGTTGTCTGAGCAGCAGAAGAGCAACGTCATGCGGTGCCGGCTCGGGTCAGTCTAGCGCGGAAAGGAGCCAGCGAACGCGAGCGGATCCGCAGCAGCTCGATACGATCTCGTTCTCTCTGCAGCCGCGAGCGCAGAGCGAGTTCGGCAACTGGCTCGTCCTCGTCCTCCTCCTCCTCCTCACATCCTCGTCGCCTGCTGGTCCTCGTTCATTCGCACCAGCTGCACACCTGCTCACGTTCAGACCCTCTCGACGAGCCCGCCTTCCGAGCCCCACCCTCCCCACCTCGCGCGCCTCGAAGAACCCGTCTCCCGCGACCTCACGAGTCCTCACTCGCTTGGCTCGCCTCTCGCCCCTGCACAGCTCTCTCCGCCTTGCAAGAGCGCACACAGGATGCAGACGACGTTTGACTCGACAGGTGAGCTCAAGTCCTGCACCCCTTCGGCTGAATCGCGCGAGGAATCGACGCGCGAGAGTGGGCGAGGTAGCGAGGGGTCCTCCGTCCAAGGGCCGCTGGGCGGCGCGGGCGAGCTGGCTAGGGTCTGCGCAACGTGAAAAGACGACGAATGCAGCGGCAAGCGGAACTTTGGGCTGTGCGCACGGCGATTTGCGGCTTCGGACGGACTGGGAGTGGAGTTGGCGCCCTTCGATCCACTGCCAACACGTTGTTGTCGCCGGCTTGACTGACCAGACTCGTTGTACTCGTCGCAGGCGACATGCCGTCCTTCGGGTTCAATCTCGATACGCCGTCCAAATACCTCGGTTCCGGCTCGCCCAATCCTTGGTCCTTCGGAACAGGCCTCACCCCGTCCCTCTTCAGCTCGCTCAACTCGCGCGGCTTCACACCCTCAATCACCGAGTCGCACGACGAGCCGAACCCGTTCGAGCTCACGCTCAGCGGTCCGTCAAGCAAGCGGCATTCGGTCGCGAGCGGGATGCTCGGCGGAGCCAAGGACGGCGACGCAGAGATGGACTTTGGCGGTTCGTCGCTGGCGTCGACGCTGATGGGCGGACGGAAACGCGCCATGTCGTCTCCTGCGATCGGGACGCCCGGGGGAACCAACTCGTTCTTCGCGATGCACCAGCCTTCTCAACTCGCGCCCGGCGCTTTCGCCGACCTCGCCATCAAGCCGAGCAAGCGTCCTCGTATCGACTCGACCACCTCGTCCGGCATCGAGTCGAGCGACCGCATCTTCTCCAGCAACGACCGCGACAGCGACGAGTCGCCCGCCTCGTCTGTCGTCCTCAGTCCGCCCGAAATCAAGTCGATGCTCCCCTCCATCCGCGAAGACAAGACGCCCCTCTCGACTCCCGCCGACATCCCCGTCTCGATGGGCCTCAACGTCGCCGGTTCTTCAAACATCGGCATCGGTCCCCCCACGACCGCTTCTCTCCTCTCGCAGCTCGAGAAGCAGCGCTCCGCCATGATTGCCGCCGGCACCGCCTACTCCCAGAGCAACCCCCTCCCGATCAAGCCGCTCGACATTGCCGTCAAGTCCGAGACAATCGACGACTTTGACGTTCGTCCGCCTGTCACGCGTGGTCAGAGCAAGAAGGGCAAGGCGCCTGTCGCTTCCGGCTCTACGACGGTGGCGATGTCTGAAGACGGGACGCCTGCGCCTGCGCCGAAGCGCAAGGGCGGGAGGAAGAAGAGCGCGGCTGCGGCGGCCAAGACGGCGGCGGAGAAGAAGGAGGGACAGGAGGCCGCGGAGGACGACGACGAGGACTCGGTCAAGCGCAAGCAGTTCCTCGAGCGCAACCGGATTGCGGCGTGCAAGAGCCGGCAGAAGAAGAAGGAGAAGACGCGGCAGCTCGAGCAGTGTGCGTCTCGTTTCCTCCGTCTCGCTGCGGATCGTCTCGGCTGACTTTCGCTTTTGTCGCGCAGTCGCCGCCGAGCTCTGCAACCGCAACCACGTCCTCCAGCAGACCGCGCTCGCACTTCGCAACGAAGCGGTCGCGCTTCGCCAGCTCATGCAGGCGCACAACGGCTGTTCTTGCGAGCATGGTGCGTCGCGGCGAGTTCCCCTCATCCGGTGTCACAAGCTGACTTGCTTTCTCGCCCCGCAGCGCAAGGCTACATCGCCCGCGATGCTGCTGGCGGCGGCATCGCCACGATCGACCAGCTCGCCGGCCACACGCTCCACCTCGACTACACCGCACCTCCCGCGATGGGCACCGAGGACGACTGCTACTCGTTCCTCGAACGCGGCGAGCCCCCTCCCGGCCCCAACTTCCAGACCAGCAAGGGAGCGTACGCCGCGCCCGCCAATGCAGGACCGGCTATCCCTGTCGTCTTTAAGCCCGGACCGTCGCCGAAACAGTCGCCTGTGAGGCAGTCGTCGACCCGCTCGAACGGCATGTCGACGCGCAGCTCGGGAGTCGTCGCGTCTGTCGCGCCTGAAGCGACGAACGACGTCCTCGCTGCTGATGTCGACGTTGCGGCGCTTCAGGCCTCGAGTTACCTCGGCATGGGCATTCCTCCGACCGCCGAAGCCGCCGCACAAGCAGGCTTCGTAGACGACGCCGCCTTGCAGCGCATGAGGGCGAACAGCGCTCCTCCCACGACGCCCGGGTGGGACGGCGCCGCACCCGATGGCGACTACTTCAACCCGAAGACGAGACCGTCGCGCGTTGTCGTCGCCTGATCGTCGCCCTCTCACACCGCACCTTACGACCCTCTCGCATCTCACGCCTTACCGCATCCTTTCGCCCACACACGATCTCCTACCTACCGTCGTTCGCGCTTAGTCCAGTACATCGCATTACCCGTCTTTTCCCCCATCGGTACATATCTCCGTCGTTCCATCAAATCCGTCCTCGTTACCCTCGCATCCTTGCCCTCCGTTTCCCGCTGTACATACCCTCTGTTGCATGACTTGATCCCGCCGCCTTCTCTCTTCCTGTAGCCATCAGTGCCCTTCTCCTCACCGTGAAAACACGAGCATGCGTCCAGGAGCTCACGCGTACAGCAGGAGAGGAGGAGTAACAGGAAGTCTATTCGTTGGCAACAACAAGCGCGTCTACCTTGTAAGGGTAGTTGGGTCTGCTCGTCGAACGAGCGATTAAGGATAGTTTGGCGAGCATGAAGCGGCATCAGCCTTCGCGAAAATGGGCCGACTTGGGCCTGACAACCCTCTCCATCTCGGTGTTCAAGGCTGGCGGCGCCTCCTCCATCTCGCGGATATTGCGGTCGTGCACTTCTCGGCGGTGGTCGCGGACGGAGTCTTCAGAGCCGAGGGCGATCATGGCGCAGATCGGGTTCTGCAAGAGGCCGAGGAGGAAGCCTGTGCAGCACGAGCTTGTTAAGCCTTGCGCTAACATCAGCGCGAGGAGGTCAGCAACGCACCAAAAACGAGTTTGATTGCCTCGGGAGCCCAGGTGTGAGCCATATTGCGTCCGCCCCATATCGCTGGAAAGGAGAGGTGTGAGCGAGATGCATCTAGGCGGAGTAGAGTGGGCGGTACGTACGTGCGATGATGGCGATTGTGATCGGCCACAAGACGAGGAAGTACAGTGCCGAAAGGACGGAGCCTGCGATGGGAAGCTAATCAGCTCAGCCGTGCGCCAAGCAGAACGAGCACAACTCACCCTTCCATACGCTCCAGAACAGCCGGACGGCGAACTGCTGGGGTGTCAAGCTGAAGTTGAAGATGTCGTTGACGTGGCTGCCGGAAAAGAAGTGAAGTCCTCGCCCAAGGCCGTGCCGCTGGTGGAAAGTGCGCCAAAGGTAAGAGCGCCGCGAGCTTGCGGCGTCGGGATCGGCGCCTTCGACGACGGCGAATTGTGTGTCGGGCTGAGAGGAGCGATGTGTCAGCCCGATCCACGTCACCAGCGCAAGGAGCGGGACGAACCCAAGGATACGGGAACGCAGCGATTCCTCCGTGCCGCATGTCGACGTGCACCATCCCTGACGCGATGACGAAGGTGAGGATGCCCTGTTGGACGATGGCGAGCATGTCAGTTATTAGCTGCGAAGTGGCAGAAAGAAGGAGTAGGATCTCGCCAAGGCGGACTGACCTGGATGAACACTGTCACTGCGCAATCTCCCGCTACTGTGTTATGCCGAATGTCCCACATGGTGATCGAGACGCCCGGCTTGATCGTTCTGTACATTGCGCACCTGTACCGAGGGAAGACGGACGAGGTGAGCAGCAGTCCGTCGGGTGCGGAAGAGTCGCTACGCACGCCACGCCAAAGTTCGCCGCTCCGTCAATCACTGCCGCGCCAATCATCTGCGGCCCCACGATGTACATGACCTGACCACGCTCGAAAGCGATGAGATCAAGTTGAGGGAGGAGGAGCAAGCGATGTCATTACGGCTCCGCACGCTCGAGCAGCGAGCGCAAGACGCACCTGCTTCCATGTCAGCGGTGCTGGCAAGCCGAGCGGGTTCCTCCACGAGATGGGCCGGCTGTACCCTTCGATGCACTCGTGCGAGACGGGTCGTCGCGGGACTGGCGGTTCCGGCACGATCGTTGGCCGCCGTGGTCGTGGCATCGTTCGCGCTGACCGAGTGAAGCAGTCCAAGCCAGTCGAGCAGCGAGTCCAGCGAGAGAGTGTGCGGGCGAAGCGAGGGAGAGCAAGCCGAAGTTCGTCTTTCCTCGGACAAGGGCAGAGTGGCATCTCTCGCGCCTCGTGGGGCTTTCTGGGTACGTTACGAGGCTTGCGAGGTCGGAAGATGCGTCTGAAGCGCAGTTGCAGCGAAAAAGGAGCGAGAGACGAGCGAGCAAGCGGCTTTCGGGCGACTCCCTCCTCGCAGCCGACGCCCCCGAGCTTCTTTGCGCCGCCCAATCCGCCAAACAGACAGTCAGTGCGCCGAGAAGCGAAGGAGTCTCACTGGGAACGCGCCCGATTGGAGCAAACAGCCAGGATTGCCATTTCTCCCGACGACGCAACCCAGACGCCTGCGACGGCCGCAACGACAACACAAACGCGCCTCCGGCCGCACCGACGCCTCGAACGACGCCCGCTTAGGCCGACTTGACCTTGAGCTGGCCGATGAAAGCGTCCTTCTCCTCCTTGGTCTGGAAGCGGCCTGCGCGGGTCGGGAAAAGCGGTACAAGTCAGCGACAGGCTCGCCAGAAATCAATAGAGGCAATATAGACGGACCGTGGCCGAATTTCGAGCTGTAGGAGAAGAATTAGCAGTAGCAGGCGGGCGGGTGTGCGGAGACGCGGGCGAAGGCGAAGAGGCGCAGCAGAGAGGGGTGCGAGTTTCGTCAGCAGGCGCTCCTTGGACGCATCTAGTCAGCGACATGTGTACGTACGAGGTCTGTTGAATGCGTAGCGAGACGAAAGGGAGACGACGGAGGGAAAGGAGGAGCGCGAGGGAGAGGTAGTCGTCAGTATCTGTCTGCAACAAGTCTGGGTGAGGATTCTCGCAACTCACGTCGATGAGCTTGAGCGAGATCTTCTCGAGCGAGGCGCGCGACGTGTGCGGGACGAGCGACTTGCGGAGCGTGAGCACACGCTTGACGACGCCCGGGCACGAGCCCTTGATCATGACCCAGTCGTTCTTGACGACGCCGTAGCGGACGAAACCGCCAAGAGGGGTGATGGCCTTCTTGGTGATGTCGAACTCGGTCGAGGCCGAGCCCTCGTCGTCGGCCTTGCCGATGCGGTAGACCTTCTTGTTGAGCTCGGTACGGTGGTGGTAGCCGTCCTGACCGGCGCGGGCGACCGAGTACATGACCTTGGACGGGTGCCACGCTCCGATACAAGCGACCTTGCGGAGACCCTTGTGGGTCTTGCGAGGAAGCTTCTTGGTGCCCCAACGGTGGGTGACACCCTCGAATCCGTGTCCCTGCGTGACGCCGATGACGTCGATGTTCTCGTCCTGCTCAAAGACGGACGAGACGTCGACCGTCTTCTCAAAGTGCGACTTGGCGAACTCGACCTTGTCCGCAACCGAGCCGCCGTTGACCTGGAGACGAGCGTGTCAGCGCGCGTGCACTACTCGAGCAGACAACTGCACCGACCTGGATCTCCATCAAGTGGGCCTTCTTCTGGGCGAGGCCGGTCTTGCGGATCTGGGTGTGAGCGAGGACGCGAACGACGGTGCAGTACTTGGTGATGCGCTCGAGCTCGCGGGCGACCGACGAAGCCGAACCCTGCTCGGCGTGCTTCTTGGCGTACTTGGTAAAGGCCTTCTTCTTGGACCTGTACCAGTTCTTGTAAAAGCGACGCTTGACCTCGTCCGAGAGGTGCTCGGCCCAGACGGTCGTGAGCGAGCGGAGGCCGCGGGGAGTCTCGACGTAGCCGACGACACCGACGACGACCATGGGAGGGGTCTCGATGACGGTGACGGCCTCGACGACCTCCTTCTTGTGCATCTCTGCGGAAGCGAACGAAGGGTCAGTTCCTCCGATCTCAGCGAGAGCGAAGCGGGCGAACGCACTCGATCCCGGGCGGTCAAGGTCACGGACGACGTGGGTCATGCCAGCCTTGTAACCAAGGAAGGCGGTGAGGTGAACCGGCGCCTTGGCGTCGTCCTGCGTGAACCAAATCGAGGTCAGCATTCCGCCCCCTTGTCACGCAGACCAGTCGAACGCACCTTGGGGAAGCTCTTTGCCTTTCCGCGGTGGCGGGCAGCCCGCTTGCGGGGCAAGAACCCGAGGGAACCGCAACTGTGAGCCGGAAGCGAGGGGTCAGCTCGAGGGGGACAAGGGCAGGCGAGAATGGCGAGCGCAAACGTACCGGGGGTGCTCGTACTTCCTGTGAGACATCCTGACCGAGCTGGGGAGAGAGCGAGAAAGCAAGCGCGGGTCAGCAAGCGAGGTTCGAGGAGAGCGCGAGATTGCGGTGTGTGGTGGGTCGTGCGCAAGTCGCCCCGACAGCAATCCGCCTCGCTCCCGCCTCGCAAGGCTCCCTTGATCCTCCGTTCCACCTGTCCATCCGTCCAGCATGCTCACGAATCCTATAGGCAGCCCACGCGTGTCGGTTCGAGGCGGGGTGAAAAGGTGGTCGGATGGATGGCGGATTGGCGACGGCGCAAGCTCGCGCGGCGGTTCGAGTTGGGCGTGGGTGGTCGGAGAGCGTGTGTGCAGTCTGCACAAAAAGCAAGCGTGCCTCACCTTTTGGCGAAGAGGACCAGCGGAAACAAGCCAGCCGGCTGGCGAAAGCGAGCGACGAGCGCAGCCAAGGGGGAACCGCTCAACCCGCTCCTCTCTCGCTCGTTTGTGGCTGCATTTTGGCTGGATTCCACGGTAGTCTACCCAGCTGGATCCAGGCATCCAGCGCGTCCAACAGCGACATTGCGACGACTCGAGGCGGGACGACCTCTCGCGGGCGAGCGCAACAGCTCTCTTTCTCCTTTGTCAACTAACGCAGACCCAACCGCGGGCGTCGAGTTGCTTGCTCGTCCACCGGTCCACCGCACACCAGTGTGTCGGGCCTGGCGAGCGGGCGCTACACGCCGGGCTGCTTCGCGCCAGATCCACCCACCCCCCTTCGTCGTCGATTTCTTCGCTCGACTCGCTCTTCGGGCTTGCTTGGGCGGGGGTTTTGGCGATCGGGGGTGGCTCTCTTCCCGCTGAGGATCAAGTGCTTCCATCCTCCAGGTCACACGAGGAGGGGCTTCAGCGTGGGGGAGGGACATTGCTTTCGACTGGACGGCGTTTTGAGGGTGCGGGCGCGAGCGGGCGGGCGGCGCTCGAGCGGCGGATGGATTGCGTAGACGTGGGACTGCAACGTACCTTGCACAGGGACGATCGGGCGCGGTGGACGCTGCTGCGAGGGAGACGATGCTGCTTCGCTCTCTCTTCCAGGCTCGTATCGCGGCACCCGAGCGTGACTCTCGGAGGGGGCCGGCACCCGGGAAGCGCACAGTTCGCTCTCTGGCGGATGTTCCGTGGACCTGGCTGGCGGGCGCTGGCGAACGCTTCTCGACCTCTTCCTCCTTCCTTCCTCCTTCTCTGCTCCACTCGTCCTCGCTCCGTCGTCAGCAGGATGGCGTCCAACTCACAGATTGTGGCGGCGTTTAGCCAAGTCCCTCTGCTCGTCAAGAAACACGGAGCGTCCTACTTCGACCATCTGCTAGAGTGGAGGAGAATGACGGAACTGTATCTACTCGAGCAATGCGCACACCTCGTGCAGATTGGGTACAAGTGCGGGCTTCACTTCGAACTGCTCAGGACGACGCTCGGCGAGTGCGGGAACCTCGTCAGGAATCGAGAGATTACTGAGGCGCACCAGCTTGTGCGTTCTCAGCTTCTCGGGCTGCGATCCGTCTGCCTTCGTCTTATCTACCTGACGCTCCTTTTCTCGCAGCCAACTCAAGAGCAGCTCTGGGATGTGCTCAAGAATAACGTTCGTCGGCCGTTCGCTTCCATCTCCTCGCCCCCCGCTCGCCCGCCGCCACTCCTGCACGAGCAGCGCCCCTTCCCGAGCTAATACCGTCTTCGCACACCCAGCGGGCCTACGTGTACAGCCCGAACCGCAAAGCCTGGTACCCCGAGTCTCCTCATGCAGCCGAGGTGAGTCTAATTGCGCTCACTCGCTGCTGCGATGCTCGTGACGAATCTACCACATTATTCCCTCGCAGTACGCTGTTCCTGGGAACCTGTTCGCGAACATCACCGGCCAACACTCGCTCCTCAAGCCCGAGATAGGTCGTCGGGTTGCGGGTATGTATGGGACGACGAAGGGGAGATGGGAGAGGGATGCGAGGGCTTTCTAAGGACGACAAGGTAGAGGGAGAGTAGAAGGCAGGGAGAGTTTGGCGGACGATCTTCGCGCAAGACGGCACGAACCCTCGTCCTCCTGTCTCGCCTCTTCTCGACCTTCCCGGTACAGCGCTCGTCCAAGACAATTCGACCCCTCGCTTCCACCCTCTCTGCGCTCACTTCGACGCTCTCGCTCGCCGACGCTCTCGTGATTCAAACTTGAGCAGGCTCATCTCACTCTTCCGCCTCTCGCCTCGCTCAACGCTCGTACCGACATTTTCCTCGCCACCGCGTATTCTTGAGCAGCTTCGTCTTCTGAGAGTCTCAACTCGAGGAGGACGTCTCACCTAACATTGCTTCCCGCGGACCTTGCGACGAGACGACGGACAATCCACGGCAGATCCTCGGTTTTCCCGCCTTCTCCTTTTCTCCTTCCTCCTCGCTCTTACTTCTGGTTCCGTCTCCGCTCTTCCCCTCGACAGTCCACGATGCCACCCACAGGGTCGCTGTTCTGGCCCATCTTCCAAAAAGTCCCCATCAAACCGACTTCTCGCGGCCCACCGTACTTCAACGGACTCGAGGCATGGCGTCGTAGCATGGTCAGCTACCTTGACCAGCATTTCAGGAATCTTGCGCCAGGACATTCAGGCGCCATTCACCTCGAGGCGTTAAAGACGACCCTCGAAGAGTGCGGTAGGCTCGTCCAGAACGGGACAATCACCTGGACGACACATCTCGTGTGTACTACTCGTGCTTCTTTCTCTCCGTGCGAGGCTTCTGACGCGCAGCGCTTGCAGCCCACCGCAGAGCAGCTCTGGGACATGGTCGTGCACAATGTGCGTTCGGGTTTCGCTTCCTCTCTCACCACCCAGCCGCACACGATTTCCACTCTCGCATCGTGGGGTGCTGACTGAGGTCTCTCCTTCTGCGCGTACAGCGGATCTACGCATTCGACACGGCGCACCAACACTGGTACCCCGACCCTCGGCTGTCCGACGTACGCCTCAATCCCTCTTGCATGCTCCTCAAGTCCTCGCGTTGTGCTCACTGCTACACGCTCGCAGTACACTGTCGCAGGAAACCTCCTGCCTCGTTTCCCGGGCCAGCACTCGCTCCTCAAGCCCGAGATCGGTCGCCGCGTCGCGAGGATGCACGGGACGACCAAGGCGAGGTGGGAAAGGGATGCGGCGGCGTTCTGAGGGTGCAGAAAGAAGGGATTGGGGGTAGAAGGCGATGAGTGACGGAGGATGGGTTGCGCAAGACACTGCTCATCCGTGGCTCTTTGTCTCGCAAATGGACGACCGGCGTCGAGACACTGCTTGTACAGCGCAACTCGCATCGTCCCCACTTTGCTTCCAAAGCTACACTCTGGAACCTCTGCGCGCAAACGCTTCTGCTCCTCGTGCTTGAGAAGGCCATCGTTGTGAGCGTCCTCTCGCCGCCTCCTCGAGCTCGCCTGGCTCTTGCTTGACACGAGCAGGCAGGTGAGACGTTGAGCATGGTTTAGCGGGTTCCGCGGGACACGCGCGGACCATCCTCGGACAAGCCGTCGCGAGCGCTCGCTTTTCCTCCTCTCTCGTCGTCCTTCTGCTTTCTGCTCGACGGGCTCCCGAACGCAATGGCTACGTCGAGTGCTACCGTTCCTGCCACGCATGCTCTGCTAGGGTGGGTACACTGCGTCCTCAACGAGCTGCGGCCCTTCGTCGAGGCGCCGGTCTTCGACCGCTGGCTACATCACGACAAGGAGGGAAACGCCGAAGACAAAGTCACGGTTATCGCAAACGCACTGCAGAACCTCTGGGACATCCGGTCGCCGACTCATCTGATCACGAAGGACTTTGGGCGACGGGTGGACGCCTTCCTCGACTCCGTCTTCTTTCGCCGGACGGGGCTTGCGGGCGACATGGGTCCGGATGACAGCGATTTTTGGCGAATGGTTCGAGTACGTCCAGCACCTGCTTGCGGCTCCCCTTCGTCCGCTTAGCTGATTGAGCCCGACCTTGCAGCATCGGAGCTTGCTAGCGACCCCCCTAGCCAACTTCATGTCGGCAGTGAACCGCGGAGTGCGTGAACCTGCCATGAGCATCGAGGCTGCATCTGACCCGCTATGCTTTAACAGGCGATACACCGCTATGGCCAGCCGACGAACCTTTCGGACGAGGTGGACCTTGAACGCCGCAACTTCCGCATGCATTGGAAGGGCGAACTCCTGCGTGTGTTGAACTCTTCCAGCACCACTGCCTCAAGCACCGCGGCCCACTCCCTTTTGAAGCCTGAGATCGGTCGTCGGGTTGCGATGATGTACGGAACGTCGAAGGCGAGGTGGGAGAGGAACGCGAGAGCGTTCTGAGTGGTGGCAAGGGTGGTGGGGCGGCAGCCGGAAAACATGGTGGAGCAGTCGAGTCGCGGTCCAGCGTCTTGCAAGACTAGAGTAAAGCGTCGACCGCCTCGATCCCCGACCTGCCTGGCCCGTCGATGCGCGACCGGCGCTTTGATAAGCTTGTTAGTTGAAGGAGCAGGATGATTGATTCAGTCGCGGGAAAGAGAGAAGACGAGGTTCGGCAAAGCGGGAGCGTAACGTGTGAAGTTCGCAAGCGGGTGTCAAAGCGAGCTTGTCGGAGCCAGTCGTCTGAATCCACGTGGAGGGGAACGGAATGGCACAACAACAGTTCGTGTACATGGATCGAGCGTAGTCGGGAGCTCAATCGTCGAGCGACCATTTGTTGTCCTGCGGAACGAGCGTCGGCGCCGAGCAGGTTCAGCGAGCAGAGGAGTCACCGCACCTTGTATATCTTGCTCTACTCGTCACGCGAAAGTAGCAGAACGCCGTCAGTTTCGGGAGCAAGAGCAGGACCGCGAGCTGCGAGGGGTAGGGAAGAGAGCGAGGAAGACCGGGCTCACCTTCTCGAGGATGCACTTGCCCTCCTTGTACTTCTGCGACGAGTCTGGCGAGACAAACTGTCCGGAACGTATCTGGGTCAGCGCGAGCGCTCATACGAAAGAAAGGCGCAGGGCCAGCCCAAACTCACATACTTCCACCCTAGCTCCGTCGAGCACCCGCTGCAGTGTATGGCTGTAAATTGAGGGCGGCAGCGTCAGCTCAAGTCATCGTGCGAGTCCGCGAGGGGTGGGAGGGAGACCAACGCACGCGAGATGACATGCTTGCCCGAGAGCAGCTGTTTCGACGTCTTGGTCCCGATATCGACGTTCACGGCCGTCCTGAAGAGGTATGCGGGCCCACTCGTGCCCTGGAACGAGCGTGAGACGAGCTCGTCTTGGAGAGCAACCTCGAGGCTGCAAGTGCCGCAGGCGTAGGCGGGGACGTGTGGAGGGAGGAAAGTGTGGGCGTCCGAGTGATTGTGGTCTGCTGGCATCCGTTGCTGTACCCAGCAAGCCCAGAAAGCGTGCGAGCGAGATGGGAGGAGCTGAAAGAGATGAACTCGCGAAGTGGGGCCGGGCGAGGTGAGCGACGGCGAGACTGGGACAACATTGCATGAGCCGTGCGAAAGATGCGATTGACGAGTCCGACAAACAAACAACAATACGGCGCCTAGTCGTAGAAACCGAAGTCACAGCTCCTCCTCCTCTTCGCCGAGCGACATCCGCCCCATCGCGCCTGGCTCGACCTTCATAGCCTGGCTTCGCCGGTCCCTTTCCTCAGTGACGCTGATGGGCTTGTGACGGTCGCTGAGCGCGAAGCTCATGAAGCCGCGACCGAGTCCACCGCCGGTCGAGCTGCTGAGAGAGCTGGCGGTCGCAGCCGAGGGACTCGCTGCTGCAGATCGTGTGCCGGCTGGTGCGCCAGAGACGGAGGAGAAGAAAGAATGATGAGGTGCTGAGCCGGTTGGCGAGGGAATCGTGACGGGCTGTGTGGACGAGTTCGACATGGTTGAGAGGGTCGACGGCATGAGCGGAGGAGGCGTAGGGCGTGATGTGGTGCCGCTGGGGAACCCGCCACTCCCCGACGAGGAGGCTTGTTGGATGAAGCCGGGCGAGAGCGTGAGCGAGGCGGCGGGAGAGACGGCACGTCGCTTGAAGGCCTGATGCGCGTACGGCTCAAAGCGGTCCTCGTGCACTGCGAGACGATTCACAACATTGAGGAACGCACGACGAGCGGATGTGAGACGCGGACGCACTCTTTCGTTTGCCAGGACGAGCGGCGAGGGATGTTGTCGGAGTGCCAGGCGTCGCGAACGGACTCTGCGGGAGCGAGTGTCAGCACCGGCCCGCCAGCCGGACAAGGAACGACACACACCTCGAGCTCCATACCCGCTCTACCACCACTGCCCGGACTGCGACCCGTCCCATTCGGTGTCGCGACCGTGACAGCCGATCCGCCTGGACCGCTCCTGATCCCGTTCCAGACGACATTTGAGCGCCTCTCCTCATCTTCCTCCGTCGCGTACCCTCCTACGCTCATGCCTCCCCAGTCACTCCCCACCTCTGCCGCCTCGTCCGCCTCGTCATTCGAGCTGCTCGAGCTCGCGTTGTGCGAGGAGATCGGATCGTCGTCCTCGACTTGCTCGGGGAATCGATTGGGCGTTGGTCGAGGGGCTGTCGAAGTTGGACGAGGCCCGGATTGAGCTGGAGGAAGATTGGAGGAGACTTTGGCGTCGAGAGCGGGTGGACAAGATGAGCGGAGCGTGGGGACAGCTGAGGCACCTGCGCGCGATAGTCGATGCAGCGTTGCTTCGCTGGCGATCTCGGCCATGTCGCCTGATGCTTCGGTCTTGAGTTCGGAGAGGATGCGGAGGTGCGATTTTGGCTTTGGCTGCGAACGCAGAGTCAGCGGAGAGCGATGCCTAACAGAAGTCGGGCGTACCAAGAGGTTTGGTTTGCGGCTGACTGGCCGGCGGACGACTCGGTCGAATGGTTCTTCGGGTCCAGCACTTGCGCTCCGACTCAACACCGCGCTCAGCTCCTCAATCTCTTCGTCTTCGTCCGCCGCGAAAGCGCTCGACAAGGTCGCTGCCCGGATCGGTCTTGGCCGAGTCCCGCCCATGGCGACATCGCTCGAGCTGCCGCTACGACTGCTTCGACCGCTCGCCGACGCTCCCTCGTCCTGGTTGACGCTGCTCCCGCTGCCCGTGTCGTCCTTGAACAGTCGCCGTTGGAGGAACGGCGGTGGCGTCTTCTGACCCGCTTGAAGCGCTCGAGCAATGGTGACTGGCGAAGGCGGTACCGAGGGGAAGGGAAAGACGGAAGGGGGAAGAGAGGTGGATCCGGCGTTGTTGAGTAGCATCGGTGCGCTGCCGCTCCCGCTGCGGCTCCGTGTTCTGCGAGAAACGCTGCTGACAGCTGGCGGGGCAAGACTCATCTCGAAGCCCGGCGACATGCTCATCATCTCCTCGTCCCGAGCGACGAGGTCCGCATCGCCGTCCTCGTCCCAGTTCATCGCGTCTGCTGCTAGCGTAGACATCCTACGCGCTCCAAAGGGCGCTCCCGCAAAGCCTCCTCCGCCTGCGCCTGGAGAGCCCGATGAAGCAGCAACCCCACTCCCCCCGCTCCCGCTCGAGACCGGCCCTGCGCCGAACCCGCGCGTCTCCAGCTGCAGCGAGAGGTTGCTAGGCGTTGCTGCACGTGGCCGAAGGTTGAAGGCGTTGAGGGTTGACGAGAATTGAGGCGGTGCGTTCGGTTGTGATGAGGTATCGGGAGGCGCGGGACTCGCTTGGGGCACGCTCCACGGCAGCGAGCCTGAGCCAGACGACATTGTGAGCAGAACAGGAGATCTCGGAAGCGCTCAGTCAGCCATGAGGAGCGCAGGCGTGGATGGTTTGCAGGAGAGAGGCGTCTCGGAAGTACACAGCAACGTCGCTGGGCTCGTTCGTTGCTGTGAACATTGAGAACGCCTGACAAGATGTCACATACGTGCGGGAAAAGCTACAAGGTTGTCGAGCCAAGAGAGGGAATGTGGAGATGCGGCAGGCAACATGCGAAAGGACTGCAGCTGGAGGAGCGATAAAGAGGCTAAAGGACACGGGTTTGAGATAGAGTAGGCGCGAGAGGAAGTGCTGGCGATAGGGCAATTGGCGGCGAGCGCGAAAGGAACGATCATTTGTAGCGACGACGGGACCCTCCAGTTGGGTCTTGCGAGTAGTGCGTGATGCTCTGCCATGATGAGCGGATTAGCGACAACCGTTGAACACTCCATATGCGGAGACACACCTGCTCGTCGAGACACCGCATCAGGGCTGCCTTGGCAATCTTGACACCATTGTCGGCAGCGAGACGGATGAACTCGGAGAGGTGGACGGGCTGGAGGCGAGTACATCAGCCGATGACGGGCTCTAAGAGTGAGCAAGCGGAACACACCTCGTAGCGAAGGATGCGGAGATAGAGCTGCTCGTCCGCCATGATGAGCTGGCGGATCTTCTCGGCGAGCGAAATGCCTCCTTCGTCGGTTGCGTCAGGGTCGTGTGCCTCGTCGCCATCGAGGTCGACTTGCTTCTTCCGCCTGCCTTTCGTAGCCGTCTTTGCAGGCGGCGACGCGGTAGACACACCCTTCTTCCCCTTCCCGATGACCTTCGATTTCTTCGGCGAGGCTGCGTCCGTCTCGACCGCAGACGCTGCACCTTCGCCCGAGCCGGCATGCGTCGCCTTCCAGATCTCCTGCATCTGCCGGACGAGGACCGCCTTCTCCTTCGCCTTGCGGAAGCCGAACTTAGCGACTTCACGCTGCAAGGCGGCGACGGTCATCTTGTCGTAGTCCGGCATGTCGGCGGTGGCCGCAGTCTTGACGGGGAGAGGTGCAGCAGTCTTTGCGATAGAGGGCGAAGGCCGACGTCGCTTCGTCGGAGTCGTCGATTCGAACGCTTCGTCATCGGACGACGAAGGAGGAGCCACGCGACGTGCCCGTGCTTTGTTGCTCGATGCAGGCGAAGCCGGCGTCTTGCGGCGCCGAGGCGTAGCAGCCACGACCTTCGCCAACGGCTCCTCCTCGCTCGACGAGACCACCGCAGTCTGTCCGCCGTCTCCAGCACCGCCTTCCAGCATCACGTCACTTCCAACATCACTCACCACGCCCACAAGCAGCTCGTCCTCGCTCGTCCCGCTCGTCCTCCTCCTCCCCTTCTTCGCCAGGCTAGGGCTGGACAAACCAAGCGTTCTCATCGCCTCCGCCGCCTCGTCCGTTCCCTTCCTTCCCGGCGAGGGCGGCGAGCTGTGCAGGCTTCTTGAGCTGTGCGACGGCGGCGAAGGGGCGGCGAGAGCCGGGCGACGTAGAGGGGAAGGTGACAAGGAGGAGAGGGTGAGGGTCGAGAGGCGAGCGGATGAGGCGGGAGAGAGGGCGGGAGAGGTAGGCGAACGGCGTGAAGGCGAGCAGATGGGCGAAACAGAGCACTAGGACGAGTCAGCCGATGTTTTGGCTCAAAGTGAAGGGCAAAGGCGGAACTCACCACGACCTTGCCGAGCAACTCGTCATTCCTCCCTGCAGCAACGCTCCACAACGACTGCTTGCCGCTAGCAGACCGCCTCCGACCGTGGTGACCCTCTCCATCGTCGCTGTCGCTGAACGGGTCCGGCAACGACAGCGGTCGAAAGGGCGAGCGAGACCTCCGACGTGACGGGGTCCCGCTGATGGTGGTGCGATCCGAGTGCTCGACGAACGTCATGAGGGGGTCGATGGGGTTCGCCGGCATGTCGTAGCGTGAGGTCAGCCTGGATGGCTCGAAAGACTGGGTCGGGCGCGGCGGGTCGTCGCCGGACGTGTCGCTATCGAGAACGGAGTGAGGGACCGATGCGTCGAAGGCGAGCATCGCGTCTGCACGGGAAGCGACGGCGTTTCGGGCGGTCGAGGAATCGGGCTTGAGACGTCCCGTCGGTAGAGGCACGACTTCGTCCTCCTCCTCCTTCTCGACCCCGGCCGATTCGTTGACGACCTTCCAGCCGTCGTCGACGCTAGATGCGGCGACCTCGGCACGCTCCTTCTTGACCTGCTTGGCGAGCTTGACGACCCTGGCCACCTGAGCCTTCCTCCTCGCCTGATCAAACTCGTCCTGCGTTTCCTTGATCGCCCGATACCACTCCTTCGGGTCGTCGCCGGCATAGCCTTCCACTCCGACGACCTTGACCTCCTTGAACGCGTTCGCGCCCTCGCCCTTCCCGACAGCCATGTCGAACAGCGTCTTCGCCTCCTCGTCGGCTCGACGCTTGCCGTCCGCTTCTTCGGCGAGGCGGAGGATCTGGCTGTCGACGAGGTAGCGAACAGTCTCGGCGGAGTAGTCGTTCGCAGTGGAGCAGGTGCGAGTGTGCGTCTGGCGGGATGCGAGCGCTTTCGAGGCGGGCCAGGCGGCCTTGCAGATCACACAGGCAGTAAGGGCGCGGAGGCGATCGTCGGGAGGGAGCTCCATGGGTGGAGGGAGGAACGAGAGGGAAGAGGCGGTGACGCGGCGGACGACCGGTCGAGCCGAGGTGAAAGACGAGGTCACCGAGGTGAGCTTGAAGGATGAGATGACGAGACCGTCGGGATCGCTGTCAAGCTCATCCACTTCCTCCTCCGCCTCCTGCTTGGGCGCAGCAGGCTGCGCCGCCTTTCTCGCCGCCGTCTTGCGCTTCGCCTTCGGCGGCTTCGCCTCGAGCTCCTCCCAAGGCTTCTTCCGCTGCGGCTGCGAAGTCGGCTCGACAGACAACCTCTCGCTCTCCGTCACCGACTTCGAACCGGACCCGAAGCGCTCCTTCCAAGTGTCGGGCGGCGGAAGCGAGTCGCTTGTCGAGGACGAGCGAATTGAGCGAGCAACGTCGTCCGTCGAGGCCGCACCAAGTGTCTTCGACTTGCGAGCAGCATTTGACTTGGAAGGCGCGGTATCGAGTATCTCCACGGACGAGATGGACGCCGAGCGCGTTTTCTTGACAGTCGGGAGTAGGCGGCTCGAGACAGTGGCTTTCGCCTTGGCCTTCTCCTTGTAGCTGTTGCGGCGGACTTCGATGTCGAGAGGCTTGAGGTCGTCGTCGGAATCGCTAAGCTGAGGAGTGCTGGAGCGGAGGAGGTCGAGAGCGGATACGAAGGGTGCGGAGACGAAGGGTTGTTCGGCGCTGGTCGAGCGGGACGAGCGAGAGCCGGTTTCGCGACTCGTGCTCGAGACGGGAGCTGCTGCTGCCGTCCACTGGTCGGGCGCAGCCGTCGGCGACGGAACCCTCCTCCTCTTCCCAGCCGTCGAGGACAAGTAGCCCGACTTTGCCTTCCTTCTTGCCGGCTCCTCGCCCTCTGACGCAGACGAGAGGACAACCACGCGGTCCTTCTCGACTTCCCGCCCTTCCGCCTCACCCGTACTCAACCCAGGCCGTTCGTCCGAAGTCCTTCGCCGGCCAGATCGCGTTGTGTCCTCCTTCTTCGACGCAATGCGCTTGATCGCGCACTCCGGCTCCGAGTCAGAGATCACAGACTCCGAGTCGGACCGCATCGTAGCTGGCAGAACGCGTGGAAGCCCAGAACGAGGTGGCGGTCCTTGCACTGCTGGTGGGAGGCGAGTGAGCATCAGACATTGCGTTAAGGGATTGGGGAGGCCGGCACCAAATGGCCAGGATGTCCTGCTGGCCTTGTACACTGGCAGGAGCAAGCAGCGCTGAGCTGCGTGCCGGATGATGGGCGCGAGCGCCAGCGTTGTTGGGCGAGGGCCGCAGGGCGAACGGGGCGCGTCGGGAGTGTGGTGCGCGGCCGGCGGGTCAGAAGAGCAGTCAAGAAGCCAGACTAGCAGCAAGAAACGCCTCCTCGACGAGCGGGCGTCGCGAAGTGCGAGATGTCAAAGGGAAAGAGTTGCCTCGAGGTTTGTCCGCGCTTCAACTCCTCGGTTGGGCTTGACAGGGAAGCCCGGACTTCTGTATGCTCTCGTTGGCCCTGCTTGTGCAATCGTCGCAGACCTGCGAGTGTTTGTCGCCTCCTCGTGTCTCCCCTCTTCATCTCGGCTTCCTCCCCTTCGCCCCCTCGCGCTCAAACTGCCTGCTAGACCGCTAGACCGCTCCGATTGAGCGACAGCATTCGCTAGAACACGCGCACTCCATCCCGCACTTCCCCGTCTTTGAGAACTCGACCCTGCCCCCACCTTCGCCCGTTCAGCTCCCTCACGGCCTCGCAAGATGACTGTGCCCAAGACGATGAATGCGAACTTTGTGCGTATCATCTTAGCAGTCAGCAGGCGAGCGGAGCTGACCACCTAGCTTGTTCTGAGCAGCCCATGGACGGTTCGTCCCGCCTCCTCCCTCCCGTCTGCCTCTCCTCCCTCACTCAGCTCAACTCCCCGCAGAGCAAGGCCACGTCCATCACGTCGGCGTCCGAGCGGGCCAAGTCTCCAACCTAATCCTAACAGTCGGCGACCCCGCCCGCCTAAACCGAATCGCCTCTCTCCTCGACGCAGAGCCAAAACCGTTCGAGAATACCTCGAGCAGGGGGTTTACGGTTGTTACTGGACGGTATCAGGGAGTGGAGGTCAGCTTGGTTGCGATCGGGATGGGTAAGTGCGGTCCATGTCGTGAAGTGAAGGAGGGAGAGGCGCTGAGAGGGCTCGTGTTGTGCGCAGGAATTGCGATGGTCGACTTCTTCGTCCGCGAAATCCGCGCCGTCGTCTCAGGCGACATCACCATCATCCGGTGCGTCCCTTCTCCTCCTTCTCCCCTTCTTCCCCAGCTAAATCGTCCTCGACTTGAACGCAGCTTCGGATCCTGCGGCTCGCTCGACCCTACCCTCCGAGTAGGCTCGATTGGCGTCCCTGAACGAGCGGTACAGATCAGCACAAATTACGCGCATTGGCATGCGAAGAAGGGGGAAGAGGTGCCGGGGTACTTGGTTTCGCCGCCGGTGCGTCTCGCCCGTCTGTCGTCCCAGCGCGAGCTGTGCTGACACTGTGGAATGGTATAGATTACAGCAGATGCAGAACTACAAGCGCACGTACGTCCCTTCCCCTCCCCCTTTTCCCCTCCCAATGTCCACCGCTGACAAGCTCTCTCCTGAATCGCGCAGCTCTTCTCGACCCTCTCCACATCCGTCTCCTCCCCAACCTGCGAAGTCCGTTCGCTCCCCCTCCATGCCTCAGCAGACACTTTCTGTCCGTCCCCCCGCCCTCCCCCCCTGCCCTTCCCCTCGCTCACTTAACCTACTTGCTCGCGAACAGACTCGTCCCAAGGCCGACTAGACCCAAACTTCCAAGACGACAACACCAACTTGCTCGATTCCCTGCTCGCGAGGTATCCAGACTGCGCAAGTCTCGAGGTGCGTTCCCTTTCTCCCTCCGTCCCTTGCAGAAGCTGATTGGTCGGGTATGGTGAGAGGACAGATGGAAACAGCCCACCTATTCCACCTCTCCTCCATCTCCCACCCACCTCCAACCTCCTCCACCCCGACCGCGCCGAGGATAAAGTCCGCAGCATGCCATATGGTCTTCGCGGACCGTACAGGAGGAGAGTTCATTGAGCGTGAGGTGGTGGAAGGATTGGAGGGGGTGGTTGGGAGGGGGTGTTTGGAGGCGCTTGTGAGATGGGGGAGGGGGGAGCGAGGGAGGGGTTGAGGCGTTGCGGGTTGGGAAGGAGGAGTGAGGACGCAATGAGATGCTCGTGAGGAGTCGGAGCGTGCGCGGCTTTGAGCAGGAAAGGGAATTGAGCGGGTCTCTGCGCAGCGGCCTTCAGCGACGTTGAGCGCTTAGCAGTCAGGACCCAGCTGTAGCTTCGACCGCGAGTCGCTCCGTCTGAGATAGCAAAGACCGTGTATTTCTCCGCCCCGGGTACGGCGCCAACTCGCTCCGCAGGTTGCGCTCGAAAGCGAACCGACCATCTCTTGCAGAAGCGACTCCCTCCTCCTCCTCCAGTCCTCCTCACATGTCCGCTGCGTCCGTCCGTCCCCCCGCCCTCTTCCTCCCCGATCATCGCCCCATCTCGCACAGGTCTCGGGAGACCTCATCTCATCTCATCTCGTTCGGAGAATGAACCGGAGCACGAGGAGGAAGACGGAGGAGGGCTCGTAAGGGCTCGCTTCGGTGGGCGGGGAAAACGGAAGCGGCAGATTCGCCGTGTGCGTACTGAGGAGCGACGGTCTTCGTACCATAGCGAGCAGAAGGAAGGACCAGGATCAAGGTCGAGGAGAGCGAGGAGGAAGACCTTGCGCAAACTCGGTGAGAAGCCGACCCCTCCTCGCGCGTGTCCTCCTCCGAGCATCGAGAGACAAGCAGGAGACGACCGAAGCACACGAAGAATTACCAGCCAGCAGGATGCGGACGACCCACACGAATCTTTTCCTCCTCCTCCTCCTCCTCCTCGCCTCCTCTTCGCCTCGCTCTTGCTCCGCGCGCTCGATCGGACTACGGGCGTCTGAGGATCGCGCGCACGCTCGTTGGCGTGAAGGAGGAGACATTGAGATGGCTCCGGGTCATTGGCACAAATTGCAAGCGTTCGGCCTCGAAGGGGTCGGCGGGTCCGAGGGCGGCGAGGTGAGAGGACTGGGTGGATCGGCTGTGTAGCCTGCATCGAGGAGTCTCCAGTGTACTGTTGCAAAGCGAAGCGAAAGAGAGAGCGAGCGGGAGCTCGTCGTCGTCGTCGTCGAGTGAAATCACGCAGGCGGCAGCTCGTCTCGCACTCTCGCTCGCCGACTTGTGCTGCTGGACTTAGTGCTGTTACGATGGCTGCCACTCTCTGAGACTCGCCTCTCACACACACACACACCCAGCCAACGCCGCCTCCCTCTTCACCCGCACTCACTCTCGTCATCCCAATCTCGCTCACCTCGCAACTTCGCCGACCACGCCTCGCACGCACGCCACTAGCACAGGAGGACCACCGCCGCAGTGTATGCCAGGCCACACAGGCACGAAACCCGCTCACGCCATGCTCAACCGCCCGCGTCTCTCGCCCAAAAGCCCAAACGAGTTGCAGCAGCGCGAGGGGTACTTTGTCCCGCCCACTCCGGCTGCAGCCGACCGCGCTCAGCACGCTTGGAGTCCGTTCTTGGCGGTGCAGCACGGAGGAGACGCGGCGCTGGGACGGGTCGACGAGAATGGCGAGGTTGCGCGAGCGGGCTATGACGCTGGACATGGTGCGGGCGGCGCGAGTGGGCTGGGGGGAGCGGGTGCGGCAGGTCACTCGAGTGCGAGTGCAGGGACCGGACACGCGAACGACGCGCCGTCCAACTCGCCCTGGGGGACGACCGCCCCTCCGTCCTTCACGCTCTCACCAACCTCGACCGCCTTCAACGCCAAGTTCAGCCACGCCCTCCGCGTTCCCTCTAGCTCAAACATCCCCCAAACGCCGCTCTACCCTCCGCCTTCTTCGCCCTTCATTCCCGAGAACGCTTCGTCAACCCGTCCCGCAGCTGCGTCATCGTCCCATCCTGCGGGCGCTGTTCCCCCTACGCCAGGACCCAGCACGACTTCCGGCCTCTCGTTCCCTCCCTCTCTGTCCGCCAACTCGCCCTTCAAGATGCCCACCTCTCTCGCCTTTGCAGGCCGAAAACCATCAGGCGCCACCGCTCGTCCCAACTCGCTCTCCTCCGCCCAACGCACCGCCTCCGCCCTCCCCATCCCCATAACCTCCCAACGCTACACGCTCTACACGCCTCACCAAATCTTCTCCCTCATCCACGAAGCGCAGTCCAATCCCTCCTCTCAAGCGCCTCCGATCCTCGTACTCGATATCCGCACACACACGGCTTTCGTCTCCGAGCGCCTGGCAGGTTCGATAAACGTCTGCGTTCCATCGACTCTTCTCCGTCGTCCTGCGTTCGGGATCGACCGGGTGGCGGATAGCCTACCCCCGTCGGACCAAGAAGTCTTTGAGAGGTGGAACTCGTGCGGAGTCATCCTCGTCCTCGATCAGGAATCCACTTCGCTCGTAGAAGGCGGTGGACCGGCATCGCTACTCGCGAAATTCGACAAGGCGGGTTTCGAGGGAAAACTTGGGTGGGTCAAAGGAGGTTGGTATGCCGTTCGGACGCAGTTGAGGGGTTTGAAGGAAGAAGAACAGGACAAGTTGGTCGAGGTTGGGTCGGCTGCGGTCGCGCAGAGTCCGACGACTGCGTCTGCGCCGGTATCGGCTCATTCGACGCCGTTTGGTGCGCCCGGCCCAGCAGGCGCACAGACTTCCGCTCTCGACGCCCCTACGTCTCTCGGAGGCGACGACTCAGCGCACGGCTCGACCTATCCCCCCATCAACACCAAGAAACACGGTCGCCCGGTCTTGCAAGTTCGCGACCTCCCCGCCTCGGCATTCCAGCTCGCATCGACTTCGGCGTTCCGTCACTCGTCGAACGAGACGAGTCGGAGTACGAGTCGGGCCGGACCGGAGGTGATCAGTCCTTCGACGAGCGGGGGCAGTTTGTCTTCCAGCGGGTCTGCGAGGCCCAATATGGGCAAGCGGCGGAAGAGCGGCAACGAAGGGTTCTTGGGTGAGTTGACGCGCTCTGACTCGATGGGTGGACGACCGAGTTTTGATGCCCGGTTGCGAGGAGCGATAGCGACGTCGAGGGACAACAGCCAGGTTCGGACGAGCGCAAACCCGTTCTTTGACAACATCCGCCAGAACAGCGAGGTGCGTCACACTGTCCCCTCGTCCGCTCAACCGCGCGCTCGCTGACGCTCACGCGAATACAGGCCCTTTCGCTCGAACGCTCGCTCGCCAACCTCGTGCCCATCGACCTCCCTCCCGTCTCTCCCTCCTTGATCCCCTCCCTCCCCTCCTTCCTCCGCACCTATCTCTCCCTCTCGCCCATGTCGCGCGCAGACCGCCTCGCACGGCAATTCTACGAGCTCGAGTTCGCCGAACGCGAGAGGCTCGAAGGGACGTTCAAGTGGCATTCGAGGCAGAGTGTTGTCGGGGCGAGAGAGGCGGTGGAGGAGAGGGAGGGAGCGGGGAGGGAGGCGCAAAGTGAGGAGGATGAGGAGAAGAGGTGGGAGAAGTTTGGGATCTCGGCGGGAGTCGAGTTGGGCAACTTGAATCGGTTCAAGAACATCTTCCCGGTGCGTTCACGCCCTCTCCGCTCGCTTGTGGTGCGGCCGGGCTGACATCAATGTCTTCCCGAGCGCAGTACGAGCACGCCCGCGTCCGTCTGCAGTACCACTCGCCCTCCGCGACCGACTACGTCAACGCCTCGTACCTCTCGCTGCGCAACTCGTCAAAACGCTTCATCGCCTCGCAAGGACCGCTCCCGACGACCTTCCGCGACTTTTGGCAGATGTGCGACCAGGAAAACGTCGGCGTCATCATCATGTTGACCAACTTGCAGGAAGGTGGGAGGGACAAGTGTGGGCGGTATTGGGCATCTGAGCACGAGGGAGAGTGGGACATCCAGCTCGAGGGAGACTTGGAGCGCGAGGAGGTGGATCGGTTGAAGGCGTTGAAGGCGAAGGGCGGGATGGAGTCGACGGGCGGGTCGTTGGGGCAAGGAGGCGCGAAGAGTCCGGTAGCGGGAGGAGGCGGGTTCTTCAGCGTGTTCGACGCGAAGGAGGCGAAGAAGGAGGAGGAAAAGGCCAAACCCAAGAATTTCGAAGAGGCGACCTTGAGGAGCACGATCACCGTCCGGCGTCGCCGACAGTCCCGCAACTCGTCTTCCTCGTCGACGCCTCCACCACCTCGCAAGATCCGCCACATCCAGTACCGCGCTTGGCCCGACTTTGACATCCCCGCCGAACCCGCCGATGTCGTCTCGCTGGTCAACGAGGTCGACGCTGCACAGCGCGCGTACATGCAGGAGACGGGATGGGATCCCGAGGAGCACGGCGGGTTGGAGCCGCCGATCCTGGCGCACTGCTCGGCGGGAGTCGGTAGGACCGGCGTCTTCATCATGGTGAGCTCGCTCCTTGCCAAGCTGCGGCAGGACCACGAAGCCGCGATGCGTGACAGCGGCGCACGAACGGACGACGGCATGGACATTGACCCGCCTTCCGCCGCCGCACCGCCCTCTCGACCGCCCCTCGCCGAGCGACTGAGTGACCCCGAGACGTCGCTCCTCTCGACTGGTTTGTCACTCTCCTCTCTCAACGGTCCCGCCCACTCGCCCAGCCCCACGCCGATGCACCCCAGCCTCTCCCTCCCCCGCCTCGAGTGGCGCACCTCGTCGAACTCGACCTCGACGACCTCTTCCGCAACTCTCGCCCCGCCCATCCCGACTTCGGCGGGCAGCGCCACACCCGCTTCGCCGAGCCCTGTCCAGCTGTCGCTTCCTCCGCTCGACGTCCCCGCTCTCGCCCAACACGACCCGATCTTCGCGGGCGTCAACGAGCTCCGCGAGCAGCGCATGAGCATGGTCGCCAACTATCGCCAGTACGTCTCGGTGCTCGAGTGCGTTCTCGAGGGCGCCGTCAGGCTGTTCAGCCGAGACTCGGCCAAGTCGTCGTGAGGTTTGCCTTCCTCACCTTTATCCTCATCCTATCGTTCTGTCCCCTTCCCCTGCTCGTATATAGCCTTTGTTCTATACAGACGCTCCTCTCGCTTGCACGCTCGCACAGTACATTTCCTCTCTCTCTTCCTTGCCACCTTCTCTTTGGGTATCGACCCGCCTCGCAAAGCGCATGCCATACAGTCGTTGTTACAGCTTCATCCTCGCCCCGCAGCTCCTGTCCGCGTCCTCGTGTGCCGGCAGGCGATCCCGTCCCGACTCGTTCTCAGAAGATGTCGAGGAACATGTCGTGTTCCGCTGCGGAGATGTGCCATCTCTCGAGCTTGAAGTCGTCGTCGGGTCCAGCTCGTGTTGCTCGGATCTCTTGATCGTACCGACTTATGACGAGCGCGCGAAAGGGCGCCCTGTAGCGCAGGTACTGCAGGATGGCGGAGAGGACGGGAAAGTGTTCGGCGACGTACGGTGGAGTGAGTGCGGCGGGATTCACCATTCCTTGGAACGCAGGAAAAGAGTTGAAGGTTGATCTGGTGACCTCGAGGCGGATCAAGTTCGGGAAGAACGAAAGAAGGCGTGCCAGCTGGCTCCAATGGTCGACCTGCCGTTAACGAAGGGTCAGACGAGTCCAGACGGGCGAAAGTGAACGCGTACGTCTGAAAGGCCATCATTTGACGGACCGTCGAACCTTAGGCTCTGCACCGTCGCAATAACCACCCCAGCTTCCTTCAGCGACATCCAGCTGAAGTCCTTGCTCGTCGCCAAGTCGATGTGCTTGAGCGCGGTTTGATCGATGAGCGAGAACACCGCCGCAATGAAGACTATAGCCGTCGATTTGCCTGTGTCCGTCAAGTCGACAGCGAGCGTCGTAAGGCCAACCGATCCGAGTTTGCCCTGGATGTGTTCGAGCAAAGTCAGTCAAGTTTGACCAGGTGCAGTCGATGCAGGAAACACACCCTGCTGTGGAGCTCTTTCAAAGGAGCCAAAAGCCGCCACGCCGCCTGTTCGTTCGCAATGGACCCCGCCAGACAGAAGCTTGCAAGGCTCGCCCACGGGATGACGGGCACGGCCGAGTCGGAAAACAGGGTGACCCTCAGCTTGACGAGACCCATACCGCGGGCTTCCAGAATGCTCTGAGCGACCGATCCGCCAAATACGTCGAGACACCTTAGAGCGCGGAACGTTGAGCGGCGTGCTCGGACGACGATCTCCCCGTCGGCTTCGAAGCGGAAGCGCGCCAGAGACGGCATGTCGCCGATGATGTCGAGGTAGACGTCAACGGGATGTTCGAACACGTCTCCCATCATCTGGAGACAAAGGTCGGCGAGGTGCGGGAGTCGAGCCACAACTATCAGCCCAAGTCGGCGCGGGCCGTCGCTGTTCATAGACAAGGCAACTTGTCGAACGGAGTCGTGCAATCGCTCGTCTTGCGCAAGGATGGCGAGATTGCGGTCGGAGGATGCCACCGAATAGGATGCGATCCTCAAGAATCGCGTCCAGATAGGAAGTCCGATCCTCCAGATGCGCTTGTTGACACGGATGCGTCCGAACCGGTCATCCTCGTGGACTGGGGCGTTCTCGAGTGCCAGGACCTCGGCGAAAATGCGGTGGAGGAGTTCGTCGGACAAGTCGAGGAGGCTGGTCCGGTGCTGACCGCTCGCTATGGCTGTGAGACAGACCTGATAGTCAGCCACTCGTTACGTCTTTCGTAGCTCGACGGAGCGCACCTTCGTCGTGGTCGCCGCTCGTGCTCGCGCCTCCAGCACCAGGTTCCGGGGTGGGCAAATCAGGCGGCGCGTCGTGGGCCTGGCGAGCAGTCGCAGCGGCTGAAGAGGTATTCTCAGCAGTACTTCCGACCATCACAGCAGCGCTTCGAGCGGGAGTAGGCGAAGAAGAGCGAGCGGTTCAAGGCGAAGAAGCCAAGCGGCGGTTGGCGAGCTATACCTCACTCGCTCTCGCTCTGACGGCTTGTGAGCCTCACAAGCAGCTACGAAGACTCGATTCGAGCAGCTGGCCAACCCGTCAAGACGCCCGATGCGATACACCCGGTTCTGCGTTTCTCATCAGCTGGAGGAGGAGGAGTCGAGTACGGAGAAGAAAGGCCCGCCTAGCCTCGCAGACATGCTCGGTCAGCCTCATTTGCGCACACGGGCGTACTACCACGCCGGGAAGTCCTTGGAGAGGGCGGAGTACAGGCTTTGTAGTCGCGGTCGGCTCGAATCTTGCGGTGCCGCAGTCTGGTAGCTACAAATGAATTGCTGAGGCCAGCAAGCAGGTTGCTAGATTGTGCTACACCGAGCGCCATACCGCTGATCGGCTCGGCGGGACTTGACGGCTTGATGCGCAGGCTGCTGCCGCTCTCTCTTCGTCGCACGTCTCGCTCCTCAAGTAACATGCTCTGCGGCACCTCACTATACGGCGATCTTGACATCGACCGAGTGTACTTGAAAGGTCGTGTTGCGAGGGGGCTACCAGTACTCGTCCAAGTTCTGCTCCGCCTTTTCGACCGTCCACCGCTCGAGAGTGAAGTCCTCGCGCGTCGACGATCTTGTAGCCCACAGCTGCTTCATTCCGCCCGAGTACGAGAGACGAAGCTGCAGGACTTGGGTATGCTTGAAGTAGAGAAGGATCGCGGCGAGAGTCGGGTGCTGGACGGCAAGTTGCTGGAGATGCAGGAGGCTGGAGACATCGTCTGCTGGTGTCACAGAAAGATAGCAGAACTTGAAGTCGTTGAGTTCGAGGCGGCGGAGCGAAGGGAACAGAGGGAGTAAGCGGGCGAGTCGCGTCCATCGCTCCGTCTGAAGACGTGCTGCTGGTCAGTCGCGTCCTTCAGCATTGGAAGAGAGTGGCAAAAGACCAACATCGGGATCTCCTCGACTGCACGAGAACCACAAACTGGTGATTGATGGTGCCGGCGACGCGCTCGCTGCGCAAGCCCAATCCTCGCCCGCAGGTTCGTAAATCCTCAGACGCCCGATGCCGGTTTTGCTGAGCGAGCCGAGTAGCTCTTGGTGGACGGTTCTGGCTTCTTCCAGACCCTCTGAGGCGTACGAGTTGCCTAAGCGAATGCTCATCCCGCGAAGCCCGGCGGCAGCGAGTTCGTCCTGTCCAAGCGAGTTCAGCTGAATCATCTAGCAGGAAGTGGGAAGTTACGCACGTTCTCGTCGTAGGATTTCAGACCTTTCAAGAGAGCGCGAGCTTGAAGGACGCGTGGCAGTGGCAGTGCGAGGTACAAGTATCGGAGAGTCCGCCACGGAATGCACGGCACGGAATGCTCGTCGGCCACAGACAGATCAAGAGCACCAAGAGCTGGGTTGCTTCCTTGGAGGATCCATGTTGCGAGATGACCGCTGTCGGACCGGAGTCGGCGGAGGGCGGGGAAAGATGGCGGAGGGCGCGCGATTGGAGTGTCGATCTCGACGTTAAGTATCAACTCTTGTAGCGTAGAGATGCCGGAGATGTCTCGAAGGTATTCGTCGAACGGGCAAGGCGTCGGATCGCCGTTTCCTTGTAATACCAGCGTCCTGAGCTGCAAGAGGTGGCTCAGGCCGGCAAATATGGAGCGAACAGGAGGTTCACGACACTCAAGGTTGACAGCCAGGTAGCGTACGTGCTCCCGCTCGTGCGAGTGGCGAAACAACGCAGCGACGTCGCTGTCGAAGGTCGCTACGGCCTGGTGAAGATCGCACCGTCGGTACCAGGCCGGGATCGCGGCGCGACACATCCTTCGGATGACCAGGATGGTTGAGAAAGGCCAGGTTTGGTACGCATCGGCAAAAGCGAGTTCCCAGATGTGCTCGAGCAACTCGTCCGAAAGGCTCGAAAGGCCGGTCGGCGAACAAGCGGGTTCTGTGCGTGCGAGAGCGTCAGTAAACGTCGACGCAGGAGCTGGAACCGACAAACGCACCTGACGGGCCGTTCGCAGCCGCATCGACCGTCGCTCCTCCTTCCGAAGGTGTCGAGGACGAACCGTCGGCGGTTCCTCCATTGGCCGAGCGGAAAGTCGACGCCCCGCTTGGCGTGATGGAAGAACGAGTAGAGACCATCGCAGCAATGCTTCGAGCGAGAAAAGTGGACAAGCAGTGAGCGGTCGTGGGGAGAGGAGGGTCGGACCGCAACCATGTCCTCCTCATACGCCGCGCTGCAGGTGAGTGGGCCCAGTAACCTCGTCGAAAACCCATATTGACCGCTGAACCCACCCAGCTCGAGCACCCGTCGCTCCCGGCCTTCCAACCCTTCCTCTCCCCCTCATCACTCCAGCCGCTCTCGATCCTCTTCCTCGCCATCGCATTTGTGTTGACGTTCTATTTCTCGACGTGAGTGTATCCAGATATGCTCGATGTAGCGCTGAGCGCGCCCGTCGATCGATTGCTGACCTTGTCTGGGTGAACGGAACAGGCTGCGGAGCAAGTCGACTCTCCCCGTCTCCGAGCTAGCAGTCGGCGGACTGGCAAGCGTCTTCGGCGGTTTCGGACTCGTCTTTGCGTTCTGCGCGATCGGGGCGAACGTCTAGGCGTGCGGGATGAGGTCTGACGGAGCCAGTGCGGCTGAAGGTGCGTTGGCTGCTCTCGCTCACGGTGGTCCTGCGGAGACCAGGTTCCCGGATGTCAAGTTGACCTTCAGTCCTGCAGAATGATACCCGACTTTTCTGTACCATACCCGCGGCGTTCGCCAGGCCTGTAACGACGAGAAGTGTCGCCATTCCTCCTCTTTTCCCATTGCCTCGCTCTCAGCTCCAGTCGCTACCTGCCGCCTGGCTCGGCCCTGCTAGACAAAGGGCTGCTGAGTTCCTCGAGGGAAATTTCAGGCTGGCTGGATAGCGTGTTGGTGCCGCTGGCTGCGGACTTTGGCGAGAGGACGGTTCCCACGAGCTCCTGCCGGCGCCTGTCTCGCCTGACGGCGCTCAAAGCTGTCCTACACTTCTGAAAAGAGCGTCTCTATGACCAAGAAGCGAAAGGAGAGCTACAGCGAGCGACTTGACCCTCTCACTTCGCCCTCCTCGCTCCTTTCCCTCCTGCGTCGATGGCCTACTCGCAGACTCGGCTGCACAACCCGCTTGTGCGGCCGCCGCGAGGGCCACGGACGCCTGCACACATCCCGGCGTCGCTCCTCCCGCTCATCTCGACCCGCAACGGCCACATCGTCCGGCTGTACAACATCCTCGCGCACCTCCTCACGCTGCCCCCGTCGCCCGAGACGTCCGTGCGGACCCTGCGGGCATGGCGAGCGCTCGCTAGCTGCAGGGAGGTGCACCTGAGCGTGCTCTGGCGGACGGGCGCGGCTGTCATCGAGCGGATGAGGGTCGAGGGCGGCGACGCGGACGACGACGAGGAAGAGCAGCGCTGGCGGGCCGGGCAGCGCGCAGAGTGGCTCAAGTACTGCCAGGAGGGCAGGGTGGACCGCGTCGACAAGTTCAACGAGTACATCCTCGCCCTCGTCGCCGCCGGTCGCGCCGAGTTTGCCCTCGACGAGCTCGACGCGTGCGTTCGCCTCTTTCGCTCCTTCCCTTCACTCGCTTTGCGCTGATCTCGCTCGGGAGGATGCCTGCAGCTACCTCGACAACCAGCCCTACACCGACTCGATCAAACTCAACACCCTCTACGGCCTCCTCGCTCTCCTGACCGCCCAGCCCTCGAACTTCTCTGCTGCCCGCACCCGCGCTTCCTCCGCCTCAGAAGACTCGGATTCGTCTTCGGATGATGAGTTCGGCTTGTCGCGGAAGCGGCGCAACGGTCGGTCTAGCCAATCTGCTAAGCGTGCTCGCGTGAACGGGCAAGACGAGGGTCCCGTCGACGCTGGTGCGGAACATTTTCCCTTTTCCCATATCCGTTCAAGAAAGCTGACCTCAGTTCGTCCTTGTACAGACGAGGAGTACTCCATCCTGCTACCGGCAATCGCTGCCGCTTCCCCCAACCTCTTCTCGAAAGCGACAGAGCGGTTCAAGCGTGCTGCCCGGCTCGCAGACCGCGAAGCTCGCGACGCGAAGAAGGAGGAGGGCGCGAGCGAGGCAGCACGATGGCTGAGCTTGGTGAGTTGGGTTTCGCTGTCGCTCAGGCGTTGTTTGCTGACCCGTCAGTTTGCTCAGATCCGACGGCATGTCGACAAGCAGGCAGCAGATCGCAGCGACTCGCCCTAGACTCTCGTTTCGTCCCCCGCCCATACCGCAGGACTCGCAGTACCAACATTGTTGTCGTAACATCGCATCCTCTTGTTGCCGACCTCTTCTTCCGCCAACCTACGTCTCGTCCACAGCATCCCCCGGCCTTCATACCATCCTCCATTCCACTCTCGGCTCCATCGAAGCCCCTCCCCAGATGCGCCCTCAAAAGCCGTCCATTCGGGTGCAGGGGTCAAACTGGATGCCAAAATCGACGAACACCCTTTCGCTCCCTCGACACATAACGATAAGAACGAGGGAGTCGTCTCGCCTGCGTATTATGCGCCGCCGTTCGCGGTCGTGCGCGGTGCGGCTCGAGGTGCAGAGGGGGGTGCGACATTCCTCTGCTTTTCGCTGCGCTGACTGCGCCTAGGACGATCGACGCGTGAAGTGAAGGCCAGTTCTGCTTGCGACTCTCGCCACCGCGGCCGACTCCCTTTTCTTCGCTTCTCCTCGACGTCGATTTTCCATTCCCTCTCCCTTCTCCATCATCGACCGACGGGCGCTTCCTCCGGCTTCGTACCGGCGATTCGGCATGTCCTGCTTCGCTTCACCACCCAGCTCGCCCGCCCAGCTCCGCCACCGCTCTCCTTCTCCCTCCCTCTCCCCCTTCACCCGCCACCATCCTTATCCGGCCACACCCCAAGCACCTCTCCCCTCTCTTGAGCGGGGCAGAGCAAGCCCATGGTGTGGCCGCATCAAGCGTGTGCGAAGAGTCGAACTTTTCGAAGACAGAGAGATTTCGCTATCACTCTGCAGCTCAAGGGCGATGACGGATGGTAGATAGTATCTCTCTGACATGCAATTCGCAATTAGAAGCCTTTTTCCCGAGTCTAAGCGAGAGAGAGTGTGAGGAACGAGGAGAGAGCGAGTTGCAGGGAAATGCGAGAGGCGAGGCGGCGCGCCAAAGGGCGGCAGGGGAGAGAGGAGTACGACAGTTGCGGGCTAGATGTCGGAATGGTGCATCTGTAGGACGTCTAAAAGAGGGAATGGGTATAGTCGGTGCGCGAGGGAGGCGAGAGGGAGTCGTCTATTTCGCCTTGGCGCCGTCGGCGGCCTTCTTCGCCGCTGCTGCTTCCTGTTCGAGCTCGCGCACGGATATCAGCAACTCGCCACAGTTGGTTAACCGCTGAGAGACGTCGGAAGCGGGACGAACCTGCTTCTGCCTCATGATAGCCGCGTCCGCTTCTTGCCGCGCCTTGAACGACTTGCCGTCGTCGTTCCGCTTGCCTTTTTGTGCGTCTGCGGCCTTCTTCTGGGCCTGTAGAGCCGGAAGAGAGGAGGTCAGCCTCGCGATCAGAGGCGGCAGGATTTGAAGGAAGCGAGACGAGGTGTGGCTCGAACCGGAGCGAATGAAGGGAGAAGAGCTTGACGAACCTTTTCGCGCGCCTGTGTACGACGTAGAGAAGAGTGTAAAGCGTTAAGTAAGCGTCAGCTCGGCCGAACGAACGAAAGAGGACGGAAAGCGGCCGCGAGGTCGAGGAGAACGAGGATGGGGAGCGAAGGGGTAAGGGAATGAGCGGAAAGAGCGCTTCACCTTGTCCCGCTGGTTTCCACGCGCCATCTGTTCTGCAACAATGAGATCAAGTCAGTCACGCTGTCTTGACGGTGTTTGCGAGTGTAGTCCGCGAGCGTTCCGCCTCCGAGCGTCCTGCCTCGCCGAATCTCGGTCCGCGTATCACAAGCCACTCTTATCCACTCTTGCAGACCGCCCCCTACTGCCTTCCAGCCAGACTGAGGGAGTGCCGCGAAGTTGACGGGACACACCTATGAAGTTGAAGGGACGACGAAAGGGCGAAGTTGGAGACGGGCGGACTCGACAGGACAGCAGAGCAGCCTCAAGCGATGAAGGTCTTCACCAGATCAAGCAATCTGGCCTCGGCGACGGCTGTTGGCGAGGACGAAAGTGAGAGGAGCGCTCGCGTGAGGGACTCGCCATCGCTACCCACTCTCACACCGCTTGAAGACCGCTGCTTGCGTGGAGAGGCTGGTCCTAGTACTTGTGTGGCTGTTTGTGCACGCGAACGACGGCTCCGAGGCGTTCTCCCTCCCCCTCACCCACCCTCCATCTCGCATCTCTCCGGACTTCGCCTCGCCATGTTCACCAACTCGAGGCCGCTGCCAAAGTCAGCCACGGCGTCTTCAACACCCTCGCGACCCGTACCGACCATCACCGTCAAGCCCAAGATCTCGGTCGTCCCTCCACCCTCCTCACCTCTCTCGTCTATCGCGTCTTCCTCCGCTTCTTCGCCTCCGAACGCGTTAAACGGATCGTCGACAGCGTCAAAGAAGCCTCGCATTCAGCTGACGACCAAGAAGGTGACGGTCGTCAAGTCGGCACCTCCCGCCTCGACTGCACCCGGCCAGCCGCGAAGCATCAACAAATACCCTGCGCCTCCGCCAAAGCCAAAGCCAAAGGAGATGAAGGAGAAGTCGAAGAAGAAGAAGGGCATGCTGCGAGGCTTGTCGAGCGATGAGGACGACGAGGAGAGCGAGGACGAGCGGCCGCGGAAGAAGGTTAAGAAGGGGTCCTCCTCGTCCTTTGCGTCTTCTGCGAGTGGAAAGGGACGTTTGAAGGTCAACGGAGCGAATGGAAGTCGCGCAGCATCGCCTCTGCGGCAGCAGCACTCGTCGACCTCGAACGGCACCCTACGCTCTTCTTCGCCTCTCTCGTCTCTCCCTTCCACCTCATCCGACGAGGAAGAAACAGAATCAGAGTTGTCAAGCGTTGATGAGGACTACTTCGCGAGGACATTGAAGCGGGAAGACGGAGGAGCGATTGCAGTGCGAGATCCCAGTGCGAAGCCGCTGCCTGCAGGAGCTGTAGCGGAAGCGGGCAGGTCTGGAGAATGGCTGGTGGTGAACAACCGAGGGGCCTACCGAGACTGTATGTCTGCTTTTGTGTCTTCCTCTCTTGCGACACTACGCGCTGACTGCGCGCCGCACGACAGACTTTGTCGACTTGACCGACCCTGAGCGACCTACGACGCAGTGGGCGGGCAGCGACATTCCGACAGTAGAGCTTGAGCTGCCTGGAGACGGCGCGAAAGAGAGGTGCGTTCAGAGGACCTCGCTGTTTGGTTCACAGGCTGAGCTTCGCCGCTCGCTTGTACTGATTCCCCGGCCGGTCTTCTTGGACAGGTTCGCTCTCCTCGCACCGAAGAGCGACGACGAGTACAACCCCATTGAGGACGTGATGAGCGTGCGTAAGATTCTGCCATCGTCGCTTTCTCCGATGCGCTGACCGGTTCCTGCTCTCGCAGACTGTGCTCGCCGTCCTCGACCACTTCCTGACGCCCGAACAAGCGTCGCACTACTTCGGCCATTCCCCCGGCAAGACGTCATTCGGCGCCTTCCTCTACAACCGCTCGACCTCGAACTCTCGTTCCGGCACTCCCTCCGGCTTCAGTGTCCCCGACAAACTCGCCCCTCGATCCTCGAGCACGACCAGTCTGGCGCCGTCACCCGCACCTTCCGGAGTAGCCGACTCCCCTCTCCCCTTCACTCTCGACTTTGCCCTTCTCGCCACCTCGACGCCTCCTCCCGCCCCAACTCCCGAGATCGACCGCACGCCTCTTATCCGCCAGCTCGAAAAGGCCCGAGCAAAGCGCGACGGACCCTCCTTCCTCGCCGCTCTCGCACGATATAACTCGACACTTTCGACGCTCAAATCTGCAGGCTTGATCAAGGCCAACATCGCCGCGATGAAGGGACTGAAGGAGAAGGTTTGGACGAAGGTCTTCCAGCAGTGCTACGATCGGGCGGTGGGGCCCGGCATCGAGGATTTGAGGAAATACGAGGCGTTTTCGGACAACGTCTATGGCGAGCTTTTGCCCAAGTTCATGAACCAGATGTGCGTCGGATTGTCTTTGCGCATTGCCATCGTGGTCGACGCTTTGTTTCGACAATGGCTAACGGAAGAACACCTCCTTCGCAGTTTCGACAAGACGCACCTCGGCCCCAACAGCGTCTTCGTCGACCTCGGTTCAGGCGTCGGTAACTGCGTCGTCCAAGCCGCTCTGGCGTGCGTCTACTTCCCTTCAAGCCGGCTCCTCGAGCGAGTCTGACTTTCTCCCCTGCTGCGCAGCACTGGCGCCACCTCTTACGGCTTCGAAAACATGCCCCACGCCTCTTCTCTCGCGCGGGACCAGCTCGCGGAAGCCGAGAAGCGGTCCAGGATGTGGGGGCTCGGAGGAGGACCGATGAAGGTCGTCGAGGCGGACTTTTGCGAGTGTCCCGAGGTCATGCAGGTTCTGCGGACCGCGAGCGTGGTGTTGGTCAACAATGAGGTGTGAGTCACTGTCCTGTATTCCTCGCTTCTATCCTCCTCGATGCAGGCGGAGGAAGATGGAATAACGGGAAAAGGATAAGCGACTGATCCGCACACGCCCATATGCTCACAGTTTCACCTCGACGCTGAATCAACGCCTCTCCTGGCTCTTCCTCGAACTCCCCGACACCTGCAAAATCGTCTCCCTTAAGCCCTTCCTTCCTCCCAACTTCTCCCTCTCGGCACACAACGCCAACTCCCCTCTCGCGATCATTAACCAAGCTCCGGCTTTGCACTACGGTCCCGGTAGCGTGAGCTGGAAAGAGGGTGGAGGGAGTTTCTTTGTGAGTAGGGTGGATAGGGCGAGGGTGCAGCGGTGGTTGGAGAGGGAGGGGAAGCGGGAGAAGGAGAAGGAGCGGAAGAGGGCTGAGAGGGGGAGTTCGAGGGGCAGCTCGGTCGCTATGAGTCGGAATGGGAGTGCGATGGGCAAGTAGGCGGGTTGGAGCGCTTGCTGCGAGGAGGGGGCGCCTGTCGATGCTGCTTGTTCTTGTCTGTCTCTCCGATCTGTCGTTCGCATCACCTGGAAATCGCATACTCTTTATTCACCGCATTGGTCGCCGCTTTGTCCATTGACGAGTCTTGGAGAACGGAAAGGCCTTTTGGAGGCGCTTTCCGTTCACGAGGGAGGATGACAGGAGGATGAGGACACTCCGCATTGCGTACTTCCGACAACAAGGGAGGACCAATAGAACACGGAAGGGGACAGCACAACACTCGACAGCACAGACAACCTCAAATCGCCTCCATCTCCTTCTCCTTTTCCTTGCCCTTCCCCTTGCCCCCGTCGCCGTCTTCCGCCTCCCTCTTCAGCTTCTTCGCCTCCTCCAGGAACGCATTCGCCTCGTTCATCCGGTTCGCCTCCTCCGCTTTGCTCTCGAGCCACCGTTGGAGGAGCGCGGCGTTGTCGGTTTTGAGGTTCGAGTTCTGGAGTTCGAGTTGCGAGAGTTCGAGTTCGAGAGACGCGAGTTCGTCTTGGAGGATCTGTCCACATTCGAGCGTAAGCGGACGGCGAGTCGTAAGAAGCGGAAAGGTGGACGCACGACGAGTTGACGCTCCTTCTCCTTGACCATGTCCTTGTACCAGCCATCTTTCTCCCTCAGCGCAGCGACCTCTGTCCTCAACCTCGCCAACTCGTCTCTCTCGTCTCTTCCGCGTTCCTCAGCCTCCCGTAGCGAGTCGGTGAGCGAGAGAAGCCGCTGGGCGTTCAGGGATTGGACTTTGTATTGCTCCGAGAGGTCGGCGCGGGTTTGCGCGAGTTGCGATTCGAGAGAGGAGATCAAGGCGGAGTGGACTGCGCTGCTGTAAGCGCGGCAGAAGGCTCTACGTAAGTCGGGTCCTCGTTGACAGTCGGGAAGAGGGGAACGAACTCGGTGTCCCTCCCCTGCGCAGCTCCTCCGCCTGTCCCGCCCGTCCTCGCTGCATGCACAAGTGCATTGTTGCGCTCCTTCAATGCGAGCGTCTGCTGGGCGAGTCGCGAGTAGTGTGCGATGACGGGTGCGAGGGCGTGTTCGCGGTGGTCGCGGTGCAGGAGGGCGAGGCGGATCTCGTCCTGCCACGCCTGTGCCATGCGAGTCTAGTCGAGCCAGCCAGTCCTCGTACGAGCGTGTGAGCGGTTGACGGGTGACCCTTCTCTTCGAGCTTCAGCTCTCTCCCAAGACCTCGCTGGACTTGCTGCTCGCTCTCTCGCTTTAGGATGCACAGGGTCGCTCAGAAGGGCGCTGCGCCGCTCAAGAGCGCGGCTAAGCAGCTCGCCACACCGCAGTGCCGCTGCTTCACCTCGTGCGCTCCCTCATCTCTTTTCCCCGATGAGGACCCGTCAACTTACCTCGACGTCCACGAGAACAGCTCGCCACGCTCTCAATCGGGCACAAAGAATTTGGTCAAGGCAGCGGCGCGCGAAGCGGCCAACAGCGGGCCAAAGTACTCGTTTCCGCAGGACGCCTTCACCTCGACTTCCGAGTTCCATCCGACCCGCGTCCCGCTCGCAGCTCTCGACGACCAGAACTCCGCCGATCTCTCCGACCACATCCACTCGCGGTTGTCGCACATCTCGACCGAGACGGGCGGGCGGAGGAGGCAGCGACAGACATTGTCGAATGCAGAGGCGCAGGCGTTCGCAGACTTGCTCGTCGAGATTCTGCCTCGCTCGCTACAGTCTGGCGGGTCACCGGACGAGAAGAAGTTCCAGGGACCGATACACAAGAACGCCTCGCCGGGAGGAGCCGTCTTCGATCTGTTCTTGCAGAACGGAGGATCGCCTGCACTCTCGCCTGGCGTCGAGCGAGTTCAGCGCGCAGTCCTCGCCAAGGTTGCGCCGCGGTCCGGCCTGCGACTCGACGAGGGAACGGGACGGTGGGAGCGGCGAGCCAAGGCGTCGTTGACGGAGGAGGAAGAGCTCGAACTCGACAAGCTCAAGCAGGAGCTCGTCGAGCTCAAGAGCGACGTCGACTTGTTCGAATGGTCCATGAAGCACGTCTTTGGCCTCTCTCCCGAGACCTTCGCGCGGTACAAGTCGCCCAACGCATACCGAGGCATCTTCCCCGATCCGACCACGATCCCCGTCAATACGCAGTTCCTCGGCGCCGCATTCACCGAGCCGAAGACGCCTCTCGAGCGCGCACCAGGCGTCATGTCCCGCCTGTTCCCCGACCTCCTCCATCTCGTTTTCCTCGTCCTCCGCGACGTGCACCACAACCCCGCCGCCGCACTCGCCATCTTCTCGCTCGCCGCGTCCAACCCGTATAGCTACATCAACGGATGCAGCCCGGCACTGTACGTCGAGGTGCTCAAGACGCGGTGGAGCGAAGGAGACGTCGAGAGCGTCCTCTCGACGATGGAGGAGATGCGCGCGAGCGGTATCCGCCTCGACGAGAAGGTCCGCCAGCTCGTCTCTGCGATCGGCGAGGCGGTCCGTGTCGACGCCGAGCGCGCAGAAGCCTGGGTTGAGTACCTCGTCGAGCAGGGACACTACCGCGACAATCCTTTCGAGGGACCGCACGACCGCGAGAGGGAGATTATGAAGCGTCGGTTCTTCGACTCGAGGCAGCTCGGCGCGTGGAGCAGGATGGAAAAGATGGTCGAGGAGGAGCAGGACGAGTTTGATGCGATGCGGCGCGAGAGGGAGAACGAGAAGCTCGATCGGCAGGAGCGGGCGAGGTTGCGCAAGATTGAGGCCGAGGCGGGCCTCGAGCGTCCCAGGCAGGACATCCGCGGGAGGGACGAGAAGCCGATTTTCACCGCTGACCGCGCCGCTCAGACGGAGGAGACTGCCCCGCCCAAACCTGCGTACCCGCCCTCCGCCTTCCTCGTCGACCGGGACAAGACTGGTGTCGCGGACGGCGCGGATAACCGGAAAACCCCGTGGCGAGGCAAGCTGACGGAACGCCAGATGGCGCGCCTGTCGGTCGTCGACAAGCCGTGGGAGAAGTGGGAGGTGCCCGAGCCGGAGATGGTTGATGGCGAACTCGTCCTGCCGCGCACGCCGTCGTTCCTCAACAAGTACAAGATCAACCGCGCGGGAAAGACCAAGGAAGAGAAGGCGTGGAGGGACCAGAAGCATCCGGCGCTGTGGTGGAAGTAGTTTGCGGCGCTTTCGACGGCCCCTTCTCCATGTTGTGTATCTATCGGGGCGGCCCTTCATTCGACGACGACCTGCATCTTTCGCACATCCCTCCTCTCGCAACTCTCGCAATCGCAACCCTCTCTTCACCCCCGTCTTGACAAGTCTCTGCGAATCGAAGCGAGATAGACTGAACAACTCAGGAGCTATTCAAAACGCAGTCCGTACACCCGGCGCATTCACAGGTACATGTGTCAAGCCAGACCCGACTGCTGAAGCGAGACGGTGGGAGAAGGAAGCGGCGGCTGAGGAGAGGCGACGGACTGGAGGAGGTCGAGAGGGTGCAGGTGTCGGAGCCGAGGCGGTCGTGGAGGGAGAAGTGGCGGTAGGAGGAGGCGTAGGCTGGGAACGTTGAGCTGCGGAAGGAATGTCGGCGGGCGGAGTCGACTTCTCAGGCGCCAGCGCTGGTAACGTTGGCGGCAGCTTCTCGACGTCCTTCTCGCTATCGTGCTTGGCGGGCTCTGCGACGATGGTCGTCGCGCGGGAGAGCGAGCCGGCAGTTTGCCCGCCCGATTTCTCCTCCTCCTCATACTGCTCGCCCACCGTCCCGTTCTCCTCATTCTCCCCATGCAAGCTACGTCTCTCCCTCCCCTCGCGCCTCTTGACCCGATTCAGCTCATCCACCCCACCCTGCCTCTCGACCAACTCACCCAAGTGACTAGTAGCCCACTCCTCCTCCTTCTCCCTCCACTCGCGCTCAAACCCTACCCTCCTCGTCCCACACCTACTGCCGAAGACGTGACTCTTCCGAATCCTGTCCGCTTCGGCGCGGTACTTCTCCCGCTCTTCCTCGGCGCGCTTTTCTTCTTCGCGCTTCTTGAGAGCGCCGGCGGACCATTTTTCGGTGTAGGAGTCGATGGAAGAGGGAGGGGAACAGCCGTAGAGGGTGGCGTGCTCGCACGCTGCGCAGCAAGGAAGAAGCGGGACGAGAGTCGCATCGGGGGAGACTGTCGCAGGGAGGGAGGAAGAGCGTCTGCGGTTTGGTCGGTCTGGAACGGCGAGGGGAGAAGAGCGGGCGAGTGCCGGGGCGGGGGAGGTCGTAGGCGAGAGAGGGGGGAAGTGAGGGAGTCGCTGGGAGGAAGTCGAGGCTTCGGGTTCGTCGTCGATAGGCGGGAGGGAGCAACCTCGTTCCGGCTTCTTGCGCAAGATGGACTTGCACGTCCTTGTAGCGCAGGATGTCGAGCAACTGCGCTTGAGAGCGGGGAGTCTGACCGTGAGGCGAGTCGGCGGGTTCGGAATGAAGGCTGGGTCGTCTTCCTCTCTCGCCCGTGTCGTGCTGGGAGAAGTCGAGCGAGAGCCTCGTCGTCCTGTCTGGCGGTCAGGCGAGTCGTCCCTTGCGCGGCTGGACGAGGGGGAGCTCAGGTAGGGACCGAGGGAAGACGTGAAGCCGTTGACAACCGAGTGCCACGCCGACGAGGTCATGTCACCCAATGCAGGCGCTTCAATGCTGTACGCCGTCAAGATCAGCTCAAGGGCGGGAAAGCAGGGACGGGAAGGGAGTCGCGGGACGCACCAGTACGTCTTGATGCCCAACATCCGCCTGCGGTGGGCCAGCTCCTCCTTGGCAGCCTGTGCCATGGCCTTCTCTATCTCCCCATCGGGTGCGGTCGAGATACAGAGTGCGAGCGGGTGGAAGCAGACCTGTTTCCTCGAGTTGGACCCCTCGGACTGCGACGACGACGCGGGGCTCGCTGGGGCGCTCGAAGTGGACGATGCCGAGTCTGTGCGAGTGTCTGTGAGCGTCAGTTGCGCTGCCATCTCGTGCGACGCGCCGTGAGGAGAGCGAAGGAGACCAAGTGACCTTCCCGCGACGTCGAGGCCCCGCTCTTGGAAGGGTTCGCTCAAAGGCGGAGGTGGCAGTGCTATTGTAACGAGAACGTAATACGATAGCACTCGCTAATCAAAGCGAAGCACGCGAACAGTCTCCTCGCCGTGGTCGCCTGCACCAGCGCCGACAACAACAATCTTGTCCTCATCGACCCACACACGCTTGACCTTCTGTGGCCGCTCACCCTCCTCCTCGTTCCACCGTCTCCGCTTCTGCCTGAGCCGCTGCCACTCCGTCCGCTCCTCCTCTTCCCGCTGTTCCGCACCCGGAACAGCCCTCACATCCACCACCTCCTCTCCCTCCCTCCTCCTCCTCTTCCGCCCCTCCTCACCCTGCAACGGACTCAAATGCCAAACCTTGACAACTCCATCGTCACCCGCCGAGACACATTTGACGCCCGCTTCATTCGTCTCGCCCCCTCGCGACTCGGGCAGGAGAGCGACGCTGGCTACGCGGGCGGTATGGCCGAAGAGGGTGCGGCGGTGGATAACGCGCAAGGGAGGGGAGAGCGGAGAGAGCGAGTCGCAGCCGGATGAAGGGTGGAGGTTGAGGCGGATGCGGGAAGTCGAGGGGCGAGAGGGAGTGGTGTGTGCGGGTGGGGCAGAGGCTGGTGTGGGGCGCGAGACGATCTCGTACACGTCGAGGGTATTGTCCACCCGACTCGTGACAATGAACGGATGCGAGTGCTCGATGCTTGTCACCGGCGAGCGGGACGTCGGCACCGGTACCGGCATCGACGGGGGAGACGGCGACGCGAGGGGTGCAGAGCGTCGAGGAGTAGAGGGGAGAGGCGAGTGGATCGGAGCTGCGGTCGCGTGTCGAGCTGAGATGCGCATCTTCGGTAGAATTCGTGCGGTGGGCAGCGCTGCTCGACGCGCAGGAGGGACTTCGATCGTGAATTCTTGGATGCCGACCGTCCAACTGGCTGGAAAGACCGACATCGAGTAAGCGAGCGAGACCTTGAACCTCTGCTCGTCCTTCTCCTCCCTCTTCCTGCCCAACCACACAACTTTCTCCGCGCCATCGTTCGACTCCTTCGAGACGTCAAGGACGACAGGTGCCCAGTCCTCCCGACTCTGAAGAGGCGTCTCCGCTTCGTCCACCTCGATCTTCCCATCTTCTGCCTCGTCAAGTCGCATGAACCGCAGAGTGAGCGAGTCCGAGAGCGTGACGAGTAGGGGTGCGTAAAGGCGAGCGAGGGAGACGGGATCGAAAGGTGAGGACGAGGGTGGCGAAGCTGGAGCGGCTGAGAGCGGATGCGAAGGTGGAGAGGCGATGGCGAGCGAGGCGTAGACTTCTTCCGCCTCGAATGGGGTCGAGGGCGATGTCGAGCTGGCAAAGGTGAGGCGGAAGAGCGACCACTGGCCTGTCGAGTAGAAGACGGCGCAGAGGATTGACCCGTTTCGGCCGTGCGCTTCGTCGAGTCGAACGTCGGTGATTGCGAGAGGAGGACGGAAGCCAGGTCGGTTGGCGAAGAAATCGGCTAGGCGGGTTGAGGAGAAGCTACCGACCACGGCGGAACCGCCCGACGGAAGGGTGTGGTGGACTGTTACCGATGGAGGTGCGATCGATGGGTCGCTAGTGGGCAGTCGAGATGCGCTGAGGATGTAATGCTGGTGGAACTGGAGGATCGTCTCGACGTCTTGGCGCGAGCTAGACAGCCGAGTCGGGGGAAGCTGCACAGGCGGTCTTCGCTCCGATGGACCAGCGACCGGCTCGCCACCTTCGCTCGACAGCTCAGCAAGGTCCGGAGGCGGCGCCTCAGGCAGTACGGCCTTGCGAAGGCTCTTGCCGAGCGTGCTAGCGCGCGCGGTCCCGCTGCGCCAATTCGTCGAGACCTTGTACAGTTCGCGCCATGGCCTGTTCCGCTCGATCCCGCCGCCGTACACAGCTTGTCGTCGAGTCGCGGCGGAGGCGTATGTGCGGAGATAGAGGTCGCGCCATAGCTGCGGAGAGAGGCTGATCAGTCGCAATGAACGGAAGAAGAGTGTGGCTCGAAGCTTACCTGCGGATCCTGCGAGAGCCGATACCATGCGCTCGACACTCGCGCCACGACTGCCAGATCTTGCGCGCCCAGGAAAGACAGGCAACGAATGAGGATCTCCTCGGAAAGGGAGCCTTCGAGGGAAAGGAGCGGCAAGACGGCGGTTCGGCTTCGTTTCGGCGGTCGTCTGTGGGTACAGTAGATCAGTGAGATTCCTTCGTGTCATGCGAACCGCAGTCAGCCCGTCCAATTGCCATGTGAGAGCAGCGAGGTCCGCCACCGACTGCGAGATGGACCCACTCCTCCTCGTCTACCGCGCTTGGGGAGTCTCGAGGAAGCTCGACTCACTGCTCGTCCTTGAATTTGAGCTTTCGACTGCCCGTTGCGCCCTGCAGTGTCCTCGTCTCCTTGCTCTGCTCCCAAGCTCCACCACGAGCCGATGAGGATGGAAGAGTGTCGTAAGGGCCGCTGGGACGCGATCGCTTGGGCATGGCCACTTGCTAGCAGTTCCAGGAACCAGTCAAAGAGCCGAGCGGTCTGGATCGAGGCAGCGAAGGGAGTGGTGTCGGGTTAGGTCTCGCTCGCTCCTCCTTCGTTGCTTCGTCTCCACCGTCTCACTACTCTGCCGCTGCTCTCGCTCGAAGCGCTGCTCAAATGCTTTCCAACAATGCCGGCGCCTCAGATGATCCGACGCCTGCTCTTCCGTCCACGAACGAAGCGCCCCCAGCCGGTTCTCCTCTGGGTCAGCTCGAACTGCAAGATGGACCCGCTGGTGAGTGAGCACTTCGAGAGGAGGAACGTACGGACTGTAACTGACCTGCAGTCGCTCAGAAATCGTCCGCTGTCCGACTGGTCTCCTGGATCTGCCGGATGAGCTTCTCGCAGTCATTTGGGAAGCCGTTTTCGCCCACCGATGTCCGCAAATTGGCCATCTGCTTTCTGAACAAGCGCATCACGGAAGTGATCCTACCATCATGGTGGCGCATGGTGATCCTGGATGGTGATCTGACGACGCTCGACCACAAGCTTGATTTCGTCCTCAGTCGCCCCAGTGCCAGGCGACACATCCAACACCTTGTCTTCAGGCCCGAAAATGTCCTTCACCCTCTCCGGCTTGCCCTTGCAGCAGCCACACAGCTCGAATCACTCACCGACGTCGTTATTTCCTTGGCCGAGGAATCGACAAGTCACCCAGTTTGCCGCTACGCCGAAATCCTTGCTAGTCTGCCGCGCCTGGACAGGCTCTGCATGATGGTTCGTGGAGACGCTGCTGTCTCGAGGCCGGCCCCAATCTTCCAGGCGCTCCGGCACTTAGCTACCGATCACGCCGCTTTTGCGGAATGGTTCCTTGACGGAACGCATCCACTTCTTGAGCGTATTACCTTCAAGCAGATGGACAGTGAAGACATCCCCCTCCTGCCCTGGCCAAGTCTCCGAGAGCTCCAGCAGCTAGAAGTTCGCTTCTCCAGCTGTTTGAACGAGTCAATCAACGCGATATGGGCAACGCGATATGGGATGGGCCGGCTTGTCTTCTTTGCAGCAACAGGCGCGTCTCAGGTTTTTCAACGATGATGCCAAGCTGACATAGATGGCACACAGGGAGCCATCAGCGGTCTCCACCTGCGCTCTCTCCACATATTATTGTACAATGACCCCGACGCTGCAAGCGAGGATGGCTCCAGCCTTTCCGACTGTTTCTATCAACAGCTCTTCCCCATTCTAAAAGATCTCGGTCTTCGCGATCTCGCCGTGAGCGAGGCGACACACGCACACTGGTCGTTCCTCGCCGAGCTGGAACCGCTTACCACGGTCACTAGTCTGTACTACGAGGCTCTACTTGACGAGGGCTCCGATGTACGTTTCCATTCCTCTCCTCTTGCAGGCTCTGTGTGACCTGACTTTAGCGCCCTGATCACAGACGGACAGATGGCGTGGACTTGCTCGCCTTCTTCCACTCTTCCCTGCACTCAAAGTGTTGCGACTATGGCTCTTCGATTTCTGTGACCTTGCAGACCTCCCGCCTGCAAGCAACCATCCGACACTCGTCGCCGTCTTGGCGTTCCTCAAATCTACTCAGGTTCGAGCATTACAGCTGGATGGGAATGATGAGCAGAACATCGTGCGTGCCACGCGCTACATTGGGGAGGCAGAGTTCAAGCTCGAGCGCTGCAGAAAGGAGGACGGAGGACAGAGCGTTGACGAATCTTGGTAGCACTCGCATATTGACTGCTGCGTAGTCCTCATGTACTTCTGCGTTTCCTCCCGCCTAGAGAGTAGCGTTCGCTATCGGGGCGACAGAGAGTGAAGCTTCAGCAAGCGAAACTAAATACCTCGGCGAGCCAACTCCATCCACGCATCGACTTCGACTGCTCGCACCGCTCGACTCGTGCGTACTCGTGCATTGCTAGGTATGCACACAACTAGACATTCCCCCATTCGTGCCCCTTGAACCAGTCCGCACCCTTCTCGTCGTACTCGGCCCTCGTCACAAAAGCCTTCCTCCCCAAATTCGACGCCGACCACTTCGACAATCCGCGCCATGCGTCGAGATGGATGTCGTACGGGCGGACGATGTTGAGTGGATGGCCGACCGGAAGCGAAGGCTGGAGGGAGAGGCGGAGGCGGGCGTCAAAGTTGGGCACAAGCGTGTTGCCGCCGGTGACGAAGATGTTCTGCGCAGAGTGACACGTTAGCGGCGTCAGGAGAGACAGAAATCGTTCGCCGAGCCTACCTGCGTCAATCGCCGCCGCTCGCCCTCCGAGAATCCCTTGAGGACGTGCTCGACGACCTCCGTGAGGCCCGCCTGGTCCAATCCCGCCATGTGCGGTTGCCAAATGACCTCGGGCACCCGCACTCGCTCGACGTTGACATGCAGCTGGGAGGTGTGCTCAACGTTCTCCGGATCGTACGTATCGAGCGGATCGTCCGGCGCGAGACCGTGAACAAAAGCGTTTATGAGCTGGTTCTTGCGCATCGCTTGTCGCTGAGCCGTGTCGTCGAGCGTAAAGTTCGGGTCGTGCTCGAGCAAGCGGGCTTCGACCGTCTTCAGCGCGTCTTGCTCGTCTTCCTCGTCCTCCGAGTCGTCTCCGGTGCCCTGCAAAGCCAAGTCAGCTTGGTCCAGAACAGCGAAAAGGTGCGGTGACCTACGATCTCGCGGTAGATAGCCCAGTCTGCGTCGCTGCGACCGAAACCGTCGTCTTCGAGAGCGAGGTCAATGGTCAGGAGACTACCGGCGGATACGATGAACCGCAACGCACCCTGGTCGTTCCGCTTGCGCTTTTTGCCCGCCTTCTCGTCCGCTGCGAGGCCGGCGATTGACTTCATGCGGTTCTGCGCGGCAAGGGACTTGCGGTCGGCGAGCTGCTCCTTCAGCTTCTTGCGCTCCTTGATCTTCTCGAGGATGTCCTGCAAGCGGAGAAAGACGTTAGCTTGCGCATTGGCCGAAGCATCACGAGGCAACGTCGATGAGCACGACCACGCACCTCATGCTGCTTCCTTAGCCCCTCGAGCCACCTCGGAAAGTCGTTCGTCCTCAGCTCCTCGTCTCGTCTCCGCTCCTCCTCGACTCGCCGCCGCTCTTCCTCCTTCTCAGCCTTCAAGCGGATCCGCGCATCGTAACCAGCCTTCATCAGCTTCTGCCGCCGCTTCTCCTTGAGGTCCTCCTCGTTCAGCTGGTGGTCCGGGACGTCGATGAGCGGGAACGAGGGCGCTTCCTGCAGTATAGGGAGCGGGTGAGTGGCTGGAATCGCGTAGTCGTTGGGCAGACCGAAACGCACCTTGTTCTCCTGCTCCTCGATGCCGAGCTCTTTATTCCGCGCGCGTGTCAAACTCTTGTCCAGCTTCTTCAAGTACTCCTCAAGGTCCGAAGTCGACGAGAACCCTGCATCCTTCAACCGGCGCTCGTAGTCTGGTTTGGACGTCGTAGTGCGGGCGTCGCGGAGCTCGGTGAAGGCAATCATCTCCTCCTGCTGTCGCTCAAGCTGCAGGAGACGAATCGATCAGCTAATGGCGCGAACGAGATGTGAAGCGGACGAACCTTCTCCTGCCGTTGTTTCGCCGCCGTCTCCCTCAACCTCTGCGTCGCCTCCTCCCTCTTCCTCTTCTGCCGCTCGAGGTCTTCCTCAGTCTGCTCGTTCGCCGTTGTGGGGATGAAGGGGAACTGGATGATGCGGTCTTGCGCGACGAGGTTGTGAGGGGAGGCGGCGAGGTCGGCGAGGACGGATGCGTAGGATGGGAGAGCGTGGTAGCAATGCTCGCGGTAGATGATCTGGTCCACGGAGCAGAATTGTTCAGCTACTTGCGCAGATGTCGGCCGCAGGGACAGGTGACCACGCACGCTGGACTGGTAGCTTGTGAGGCGACCTGGGAAAGCGGGGTACTTGAGCTGCATGAGCTTGAGCAGATACTCGGCCGACTGCGCGCCGCCCCAATTGAGCCTACGAGAAGGAGATTCGCAACAATGTCAGCTCAGGCAAAGTCGACAGAAGCGGAAGAGCGCGGAACGCACTTCTTCGCGCTTGTCAGGATACCTCGTCCGCCGAGCACCGGGATTACGTGTGTACTTGCTGTCGAACTAGAGATGACGAGGGCATCGGCGATAGGCGGGTTCGGCGAGTTGGCGTAAAGGGAGAGAAGCGAGTCGACGCCGTAGGAGACGGCGGGCGCAGAGTAGGACTCGAAGAGGAGCTCAGTCATCACTGCAGAAGGAACAGTGAGCATCTAGACAGGAAGAGCAGAAGTGAGGTGCAGGAGACTGAACGCACGCGAGCGAGAGTAGGCGGGATTGCAAAGGGTCTCGGTCATGGCGACCGGGTTCTGCAGGGTCTCCGTGTCCACGCCCAGCTTGAGCATCACGTAGTCGAGCATGTTCTCCTGCGCAACGGAAAGCAGAATCAGCATGCGCCCCACTTTGCGGTGTCGAGGAGGAGAAGGGAACGCTGGCGCACCATGACGTCGAAATTGCAGACCGTATCGCCCTCGAAAGGTGTCCGCACGTGTGCCCTGCTCGTCGCATCGACGTACACCTCCCCGCCGGCGAGCACGACGGGCTGGTTGAACTTCCTGTCCCTGTACTTCGACGCGACGTTCTCCACCATAATTCGCGGATCCCGCTCGGCGGCCCAGCCTGCCCGCAAATTAGTTGCGCCGTTGTCGATGCAGAGCACGTTCGAAGGCGAGGCGAAGGAGGCGTAGTCGGTCGAGGTTGGCGGTCCGGGGAGAACGGGTTGCAGTTCGGGCACAGGGTAGACCGTGCGCTGCGCGCGCGGTTGCTGTGCTGGTGAACGCACTTTCGGAGAGCCCTGCATGACTCAAGCAGGCGCAGAACGCGGTGTGAGCAGAGCGACGGAGGGAGACCTCCTCGACAGCTGATGAAGACGAGGTTGCTCGATCGCGGCTTTCGTAGGCCTGCATTCGGCGCTAGTCACCTCGAAGCAGCCCGTTTGGAGGTTCTCCAGGCGCAATTCTGCAGAAGCGTTTGCGGGCGGGCATTGCTTTCTTCGTTCGACTCGCTCGACGATCGGTTGGCCGGACAGAGGGCAGACTGAGCGTACTTTGCAGCCGCCGACAGCAAGTGATGTACACAAGAACGCCGTGACTCAGGCAGGGAACGCACCATCAAGCATCAGGCCGCGCGGACAAACTTCTCCTCCGCCGACGCCCTCCACCAATCGTGCCGCACCTTCGTCCAAGGCCACCGCCTCTCCTCAGCCACCAAAGTGAAGCGAAGAATCTTTGTCGAGGCGAGTTTGACGAGGAAGACGGGCGTTTCGACGAAATACTCGTCGAACCTTCCGCGACGCCTGGGTTGTTTCGTCGGGAATAGCGAGTCGCCAACGATGCTCATCCTGAAGTCTTCGATTGTCAAAGTCTTGACTTCAGGGCAGTAGACGAGGAACTTGAGGACGTCGGACCAGAACTGCAGGTGCTGACCGTCAGCGACAGAGTTCGACGAGAGAAATGCCTTGCGACGTGCCTTTTCGTCGTACTGAGTCTCGCCGGCGCCTAGACACAGACTTGTCACATGTGCAAGGAAGGCGGGGGCGGCCAATTTGAGCATGTCGCGCCAGGTATCGTCCATCTCGAGACTTGAGAGGGCCGACCTGCTGCTCAAAAGCGAAAGAACGTCTCGATATGCCTCAGCGACAACCTCGCTCGCGCCTGGTGAACGGTATGGACGCGAGGCCTGATTGATCAGGCAAAGGTGCGCGAGAGGCCAGGTGGGTTCGTTCGACTGCAGAAGAGACAGCGTCAGCTTGATTAGCAGGTCATGGGTCTCGGGACGCACACTCTTTAGCGCGAGCTCGAGCAGTGACTGCTTGAAGAGTGGCTCGCTCGCGGGGCCGGGAATGCCGGTAAGCTTGAGTCTTTTGAGCGATGACCAAGGAATTCGGAGAGGTGATTGCCTGATGTCGATCTCGCACGTCAAGGCTTGAAGAATGGTACAGGGCCTCGTAAGGAAAAGCCTCAACAGCTCTTCACCCGAAAGCGACAGGCTGCGAAGCTTCGGCAGCTGAGAGTCGATTTCGAACGGCGCTTCATCCGTGACCGTTCTGTAGTCCGCCCCATACATGATTTCGAGGGACACAAGCTGGCGGAAGTACTGGAGGTAGCGCGCAAAAGCCGGGATGAACTGGTTGACGTGCAACTCGAGCTCGAGGTGCGTGATGTGAACGAACCGCAGGAGGAGGCTGATTTCCTCGATACTGGTCTCGAGCCGCACAATGCTGTAGAGCGATCGGACCTGGTCGGCAAACTCGTCGACTCTGCTCCAGATCCGCTCGTTATGGCGCATGCTCAAACTTCCGTTCGGCGCCGAGAACCGCCAAGTCGACAGTCGCGAGAGCCAGATCGGGCGTGCCAGGGTGTAGATGCGTCGCGACAGCGTGATGTACTTGAGAGGCGGGATGAAGCGAGAGCCTTCAACTTGCTCGCCGGCTGGGTCATCCCATCCGAGAAGGTGGAAGAAGAGGGCGTGCAGGCTGCGAAAGATTTCAAGGAGAATGTCGTCGGGGAGACGCTCGAGCTTGCGGGGGGCTGCGGCGCGGACGCATGACTAGTTAACAGTGTACAACTGTCTCGAGAGACTTCAGGGACATACCGAGGCTGTTCTCCGCCGCCCTGCCCTCATCAGTCGAAGGAAGGTCGAGTCCGTCGTACGAGGCTGAGACGCCGCGCGGCACCTGGACAAAGTTGGCAGTCGACGCAGAGACTTGCTGAGCAGGCGCTGACATCCTAGCAAAGCGCGGAATGAGCGACTCGAAGCAGGAGCGGACGGTGAAGGATGGAGCGCGGTGTTGAAGCGAGGCGACCAAGCATTGTCACTCTTGGGACAGTTTCTGGGGCACGAGAGCGAGATTCGAAGGCTTCCTGTAGATGCTGAGAAGAGCAGCGCCTCCTGCGAAAGCATAGCTAGCGACTGGGTCGCCAGTTTCCTCGCTCGCCTCGTTCTCTCGCCCAAATCTTCGGGCAGGACCAGGGATTCAAAGAGACTGCATTTGCAGAGGTTGAACGTGACGCAGCAGTGATAGCCAGCCGGCTTCAGCGCGGGCGCGGTTATTTCTCCTGGACGACGAAATCCTCCTGACTCGACGTCCTCCACCACTGGGTAATGCCGTCAGGGTTGGACACGCTCAGGCGCACGATCTGCGTCGTGCGCAGGTCTTGGAGAAGCAGGGCGACTCGGTCATCTTGCTTGTCGAGCGGGTAGTCGTCGTACTCGTAGTCGACGCTGCGGGACTGGCTAAGCACGAGACGGACCGCGTCCGGGAAGCAGGACACCATGGCCACAACCTTGCTCAAGTCCTGTGTACACAAGAGAGTCAGCATGCAGCGGGAAAAGGCAGCAAAGAAAACCGGCCTGCGCTCGAGCGCAACTTGCCTCTTCGAAATGGGTCGTCCTACAGATGATCTCCAGCTCTTGTGGCTTAGGCAAAGCACCACTTGCCACGCTCCGGAGTGCCTCGTACAACCAAGCGGGCAACGCCAGTCTCTTGAGACGGGAGTGCCTGCCGACCAGCGTGAGCACCTCGCAGAGGATCTCTCCAGTCCGACCCGCGTTGTAGTTGCGCCTGACCTCGTGAAAGCGGATGCTCAAGTCGATGAGCGGAAAGACGAGGTGAGGATCCTGCGGTAGCTGGTCAGCGGGGAGTCGGTCGAAGTGAGGCTGTAAAGTTGCGCACCTGCTCGAGGAGCGTTTTGAGCGGCTTGACCAGGTTCCTGTGCATGTCAGCATCCGAAGGCGAGGACTTGACGTCATCCCCAAGGGTCAGGCGACGCACTGAGCGCCAGGGAACAGGAGCAACATCCTCATAAAGGACGAAGAGGGAGAGATCGCGTACTTGACTGCACGGCAGTGAGAGGAGAGTAGGGCAAAGGCTGTCATAGCCAATGGACAAGCAGCGCAATTGAGGCAGCACATCTTCGAGACATATACAGAGGGAATAGTCGGCAAGGCGCATGCGGCCGTACCCGTCGTCTGGAACGACGGAGGCGATGCGGAGAGAGACAAGGTGTCCGAATCGAGGTAGGAGATTGGAGATGATGGACAAGCTGACGTAGTCCTCAAACGTCAGGTCGAGGGAGGTGAGGTTGACAAAGCGTCGGAGGAGGACGAAGTCGAGGCCGGCGTCCGAAACAAAGCTTGACCAGGACTTGACGTAGGGCGCGTAGTTGTCAATGTGCATGAGGAGCATCGCTCGCGTCCGTCCGTCCACGTCAGACCAATCGGAAAACCAGATGGCTCGTCCGATGTCGTAGATGCGTTTGGAGACAAGAAGAGAGCTGGTGGACGGCATCAATCGCTGGCGTCTATATGACAATGACTTCCTGTCGATGCTCAGCTGGCGGTACAGCTCTTGGTAGATCTGCTCGAGCAGCTCGTCCGGGAGGCTCAGGAGAGAAGCGGGTCCACTTCGCCTTGCGACCGGTTCTGCGCGGGCGCACAGGTCAGCGGCTGGTGCAAAGACTCGCTCATTGACCGACGAGAACGCACCGGTAGCTCTACCGCTCGACACCTCCTCATCAACCTCGTTCGAGTCTGAACGGGCGGTTGGCACGAGAACGCTGCGCGGGACTTGGGCGACTTGCCAGTCCCAGGCGTCAGTCTGTGTGGCAGCATCGGGCATCGTAGTAGCGAGCCCAGCGGGATGTGCAAGCCGGAAGTGAGTTGTCGTGGTCCAAGGATGGTGGGGACAGAACTCTTGCCCGTCCACCACCGCTCTCTCGCTCAGCTGGGCTGTTGACCGGCTCAAATGGCCTCGCCAGCACAGCTCCAAGCGCTCCTGTCGTCGACCGGCACGCCCACCGCCAACCGATCCTCCTCGTCCCTCATCACTCCCCCGCTCCTCGCCCTCGCAGACCCGCCGCAACACACCGTCGATGCGCGGCTAGTCGAGTTCTTCGTGCAGGAGGTGCGTCACGCTCTCTCGCCTGACGCGAAAGCGAGCTGACGAGGCGGTATCGGGACGAACAGACGATCCGAATGTTGATCGACTCTACGAAAGCGGCTTCTGAGCGACGGAAACGCGAGCACGATTCTATCGAGGCAGAGCTGGCTTCTCTCGGGCTCTCAGGCTCGGGCAATGGCGCGAAGGGGAAGAACAAGGCGGATGGGGCGGAGCCGGCGAAGGAAGACGAGGACGAGGTGGTCGACGAGGAGGTGCGAAAGAAGCTGGAGGGGCTCGGCTTCAAAGTTGGATGGGCGACGGCAGAGCGGTGCGTCTCCTTCTCCGTCTCTTTCTGAGAGAGTCGCAGACTGACTTTCTTCCGTCCTGCAGGTTAACCCGCGACCGTCCCCGCTTCCCCTCGATTCCAACGCCCACTGCGACCTCCCTCTCCCCCTCACTACCTTACACACCTCCACCGACCACTCCCGACCCACTCGAAGCGATCAAGTTCGTCTGCAAAGACGTCTGGGTCTCGGTATTCGACAAACAGGTCGACAACCTGCGGACGAATCATAGGGGTGTTTGGGTCGTGCTGGATACGAGTCTGAGGGGTTTGAGGGGCGTGAGCGTGCCGCCGCGGAGAGAGGGGGCAGGAGCGGCGGGCAAGAAGGGAGAGACGGAGGAGGAGAAGCAGTTGCGGCGATGGGTGGGCCTCGTGAGTCTGCCGAGCACTTTTTCATCTTCTCATCGCCGTCGGGCCTCCACGACCATCGCTCTCCGACCCGTTCGTCCTCTGGCGACCCGCTAACATATCCTTCTTCACCTGCTCCTCCCCTTTCTCGCACTCGCCTCCCCCTCACAGACACTCTCCTTCCCTTCCGGCCTCATCCGCGGCGCCCTCTCAGCACTCGGCATCTCCAGCACCGTAACAGGTGAATCGAGTGGTCTTCCGCAGGGTGCGTCCGCGCTCTTCCCTCCTTTTTTCTCGCTGCTTTAACCCGAACAGTTTGGACGCTGACCGCGTCGTGAGTACAGCTACATTCCAGATTCGGACGGTTGGGAGGCCGGGACAAGTTGGGTGAGTTGGAGGCCGGCGACGAGGGGGAGAAGCGGAACGGTACGAGTGAGTCAAGGTAGACTGCGGGACGGGAGTAGACGCGGATGCAACGGTCTGCGCATTTTGCAAGAGGACTGGCTGACGGCTTGCGGAGATGCTCAAGCAGAGCGAGCGAGAAAGGAAAGCAGCGAATGGAGCGGCCGCTGCTCTCGCTCGACGTGCGGGAAGTCCTACGCTGCGCCTATGGATGATAGTAATGATGCGATTGCGAGGCGGGGACATGCCAAAAGGGGAGTGATACAACACTAGCGGAGCTTGACGACAAGAGGTGGGTGAGGAAGAAGGGCAACGGGCGACAGGAGAGTCCGACAACTTTCATCGCATGCTCTGCTTGTATCCCGAGACGTCGAGGATCTGCTTGCCGCACAATGCACAGAGGCCTGTTCCGTTGCAAGCGGAGGATGAGTCAGCGTCGCAGCATGAGGAGGCAGGAGGATATACACAGCGGCAGATGGAGGGAACGAGGGACGACGCACCTTTCTTGTAGGCGCAGCCTGAGTGCGTCAAAATGCGGAAATGCGACGAGGTGCAGGCGTCCGCGCGGAACGGACGGGTCGAGGGAGGCAATAACGGAGGAAGGGCAGGCAAAGATTAGCAAGCGTCCAACGGTTGACGGTTCCAGCGAGCGCACGCACCTTGACAGTACTTAGCACCTGGTCTCGCCACAACCGTCTTGCACACCTCGCATCGTCCGACCGCTCCTCCCTTCCCGCCCGCGACATCCACCTCCTTTCCCTTTCCTTTGCCCTTCGCCCCAGCGCCCGACCCAGATCCGGATGCCGCAGGGGCATATGGCGAGTACCGCGCCTTGGCTGACAGCAGCTTGTTCTCGCCAATCTTGCGCCCGGAAGAGCCTGGTGCTGACCAGACGTCTGTTGCGGCGACGCGCTCCTTTGCGATCTTCTTCTCGCACTTGGCGCAGACCTGCGAGAGCGTCGAGGGTCACATCGAGCGTGTCGGTTCAGTCGCACGGAGTCGTGTCGCGCGTGAAGGGGTGGCGAGGATGAGGTAAGGCAGAGGGAGGAGGAGAGAGTGCCGTGGTGTGGGAGTTGTACGGGTGCCATTGTCTGTCAGCTAGAAGTCTTTCTGAGCGTACGAGAGCCTCACTTGCCATGGTAGAGCGGTCGCTGGGTGTATGCCAGGAGGACAACCTGCCCCACTTCATCTCTTGCGCTTGACCACCGCACTCACGCTCACCAGGAGCTCGAGGAGACCATGCCACCGCTCAGCCCATCACTCGAGACGCTCCCACAGCCAGTCCAGCAGCGCATCGTCGTGCTCGCACTCCAGGACGACCCCTCGTTCGCTCTCATCGCTTTGACCGCTCTCGGACGCTCCCTCCAAGCCGCAACTCGCTCTGTGCTCGCCCGGAGCCTCACACTCGACGACGACGATGGTGTGCTCGTGGCGGCGGAAGAGTGGGCGGAACAGAGGTCGGAGGGACGGGGCCCGAGCCAGGACGACCGCGGAAAGACGCAGGCGAGCGGAGCAGGAGCGGTCAAAGGCAGCGTACTGGCGCAGGTCGTGGCGAAGGATGAATGGGCAGACGATGTGAGGGAGCTCGTCGTCGTCCGGCCAGCAGTCGACCCAGCCACCCTTCCACCCGCCTCTTCAGCGCACCAGTTCGAGCAGTTCTCGTTCGACGAGGACTCACCAGCGTCTTCGCCCGGCGAAGCCGACTCGCCTATCCCGCCCCTGAATGACGCAGCACTGTTCGGCCTCATCCGGCGGTGCAGGAACCTTGCCTCGTTCACCTGGTCGTCGTACCGTCTCCCGCCAGACGACCTCTGCCAAGTGCTGGGCGATTCGACCAAGGGTCTGCTGCACTTCAAGGTCGAGATTGTCGCGAGTCCGCTTGCGGGCGGCGCAGGCGCAGGCGAAGAGGCCGGAGTTGCCGCAGGGTCGTTCGTCGGCAGTCCTTCAAGTCCACAACTCGGCACGAGCCCGACCGCCTCCTTCGCATCGCACGGCGCCGGCTCGGCTTCGCACGCCCCGCCGCGCTGGGACGCACCGTCGCTCTCGTCGCTACCGTCGACCCTCACAAGTCTCAGCATCTCGTCCCTCTCGCTCGCCGGCTCGCGCACGCTGAGCAACTCCCTCGCGTCCTTCCCTTCCCTCGAGTCGCTGTCGCTCTCCCGCACGCTCTTCATCGATGACGCAGTTCTCTCGAGCATTGGCGAGAACTGCAAGGCGCTCAAGAGGCTCGAGGTGAGGGAGATGGGCGGGACAAAGATCAGCGAGAATGGGCTGGGAGAGGTCTTCGCGGGCTGTGAGGGACTGGAGGTGCTCGTGTTCGATGCTGTCGAAGGTGCGTTCGGTACCCGCATGCTTGCTCGTCCCGTCTTCGAGATGATAGAACGGGACTGACTTCTGGCCTGCAATCACCTTCGCACAGGCCGCTTCTCGCGCTCGACATGGTCAAACCTCGCCCCTCTCCCCTCCTCCCTGCACACCCTCAAGCTCCTCTACCCCGAATCAGGACCTCACAAGTCCTGGGTCCTCGACCACCTCTCCTCGCTCTCCTCGATTCTCACTCCCGCCGGAGGACCCGGTCTCAAACGCCTCACGGTCTCTCGCAAAGTCCGTCCCGAAGCACTCGTGCCAGGCTCACACCACCTCGCCTCGAACCCCATCGACCCGACACTCGACCCGTCCAAATGGGTTCTCACCGCCCCGAGTCCCGAGATTGAGGCGATCTGCGAGGATGGCAAGAGGTGGAAGTCGCTGGAGTTGGACTTGTGGGCCATGGATGGCGGAGCGGTCAAGCGCGTGTTGGAGGAGTGTGCGGGAGTGAGGAAGGTCAAGGTCTTGCTCGATGCGCCGTTCAGGAACTTGGTGCGTGCCATCGCTTCAGCTAGCGCTCGTCGATTACGGAAAGCAGCTAACTTGTACTCGCGTGCCGTACAGCTCACGCTCGGCTCTTCTTTCGCCGCCTCGTCCGCGCTTCAATGGTTCGTCGTCTCGATCCCTCCTCACCACACGCCTGAGCTCTCCTCGCTCGACCCGAACGAGTACCTCTCGCTCGTCGGCGCTTCCCCTTCGCCCGCCACTTCGCCCACCAAGTCTCCCTCCGGCGAAAAGGGCGAGAAAGGCGACAAGGAAGACCGCTCGACCCACCCTGTCTCGCACCTCTCGACTCTCACTCCTCCAACTCGCGAGTGGCGGAGGTTCCTCAAGCGCTCGCACACGCTCGAGAGCTTGACGTGGGCTGGCCGGGGCGGTCTCGGAACGTGGAAGTTCGGAAGCAAGGCGGGCAGTTCGTTGCTGAGGGTCGAGTTCGAGCCCACGAGGCCGAGCAGCACGGCGACTGCGGGTGCAGGCGCGACGGAGGTCCCGAAGAGCCCGAGGAGCCCAATGGGAAGAAGGAGGTCATCGATCCTCTCGTTCGGCACAACCCCGTCCCCGACTTCGGCTTTCTCGACGCTCTCGCTCTCGCCTCCCTCGCCGACTCAGACGGCACAAACATCGCCGCAGACCTCGCCCTACACGTCGTTCGGCTCGGCCTCGCGCGAGGTCTGCTCACCTTCGACTGGCTCAGCTCGTCGCAGGTCTTCGACGTCGTCAACCGCCTCGTCCGCGTTCTTCACCTCTCCGTCGCACACGACCGGCTCAGGCTCCGCACTCGGCTTGTACCCCATCCCATCGCCGCCCTCGACGGCAGTCGGCTCACGAAGCAAGAAGTCTTTCGCCGACGCGTTGTCTGGCTCGAACGGAACGAGCGGAGGATGGACGATGAGTGCAGGAGGAGGGGTGACTGCCGGTCCTGGTTGGGCGGAGAACGGGAACGGTACGCCGGCCGGGAGCGTTCCGTTTGTTGAGGAGGAGGAGGGAGCCGGACTGAAGAGAAAGACGAGCGGTGGAGGGAGGAGGAGGCGAGGCAGTCCAAATACGGGGCGGAAGAAGGCTGGTGGCGCGACGAACGGCGGTGGAAGGAAGTGAAGGGCGGAACGGCGACTCGCTTGAAACGACGGCATCCTGGGGACGAAACGACACGACTCTCTCTTTCCCTTTCACACTTCGCTTGTAGCCGTACCATTCTTCTCCTCTTCGGTTGTACCTCGACTCTACACTTTCGCCTTTCGCTCCTTTGTTGATAGCACCGTTGATAGCACCCTTTCTTTGCTTGAGCAACCTCGCACCATAAGCTTGCCCCTCCAGCGGGTCAACGAGCGAGACGAGAGGGAGATAGCAATACAGGAGACCAACAAGGGGGACGACAGGTAGGACAGCGAGACAGGAAGATACCGACGAGAGGAGGGGACGCATTACGTGTCGACGTCCATCGCCTCCTCCTTCTTCACACCGACCATCTTGCGCCCCGACACGGCCGGCTTGACATCCGCGCCCTCCGCTCCATCCTCCTCCTTCTTCACGCTGTCCTTCGCCTCGCGGATAACCTTCCTACTCGCATCAAAGTACCGATTCGGATGGTCGACCGAATCTCCCCCTCCCAACCCCTCGCCCTTCTCGACACCCTTCCCACCGGGCAACTTCGCGTGCTGGATCTCAAAAACTCGCGTGCAGGCGACATGGTAGTGACCTGCTTTCGTTGCGGCGAGGATCTCTTTGAGGTCCGAGGAGGAGAGGGCGGAGCCGAGGGTGGATTGGAGGAGGGAGGTGAGGGATTGGTCGGAGGAGTGGCGGAAGGGGCAGCCGTGCGCTTGGCCGGGGCCGGGAACGGGACCAGTGATGATGGCCGTGCAGCTGTGGCGTTGTACGCGTAAGTACAGCCCTCTCGACGCGGGGAGAGCGAGAACGGTACGCACGATTTCGGCGTGTAGTTCTTGCGCGAACCCTCGAGGCCGTAGTTGTGGCGGATATTGTACCGGTACTCCTTGTTGAACTTGTCGTCGGTGACGGTCGAGAACGACTTGCGCCAGAACGCGAGCGCTTCTTCGACCGACAGACCGATTCCCTGCTCGCCAACCTCGTGAGCTGGCGACCGAATCAAGCCTGGAGGAGAACGGGAACGCACCTTGAGGAAGAGACCGTACTGCTGCCTTCCCTCGTGCTTGAGATGCCTGCTCGCCTTGAGGACATCCTGCATGTTCCGCATGCAGAGCGGGAAACTCTGCACGCTCAGCTCGGGGATCATCTCCGCTGTGATAGCCTCGCCGTCGGCCGTAGAGGCGAAGGTGTAATCCGAGGTGATGCCAGCCATGAAGCCCATCGAGAGGTGCGAGAGGATCGGGATCAGGCGTGTGTCTTCGTCGAGTCGAGGGAGAGCTTTCGCCGTGAGCTGGATGTAGAGCGTGTCAGCTTGCGCTGAGGCTGGCTGAGAACGACATCGCGCGCACCTCGAGCCCTCTCGCCAGTCGTGCGCCAAACTCGTCCGCGACGAGCGAATACTCCTGCGACGACGGGACATACGCCTTGCCGCCCTTGAGGAAGACGTTCCGTCGCGCAACGAGGTCCGTCACCTTCGTCCAGTCGACCTGCGGGCGAAGAGTATGTCAGAAAATGACAGTGGGCGCTGGAAGAGCGGCGCGCACCTTGAAGAACGACTCGCTGTACGACACGCCCGCCGACGCCGTCGACAGTTGCGACCACAACGCCTGTTTCTCCTCTTCGCTTACCTGTAAGCGATGCGAGTGAATTGAGGCAAGCGCAGAAGAGCACGGAAGAGCCGACGCACTACTTCCCAGCCGAAGTTGAGGCTGTCGACAAAGCGTCGTCGCTCTGAAGGGTCGTCCGAGTCCCACCGGATATGGAAGAGCTCCTTCTCCGCCTTTAAAAAGCGTTGCCGCAGTTCCTCGCTGCACAACCCGCACGTCAACCATTGTTGGAGGGAACGACAGAGACGCAACTCACGACCGGCAGAATGCGAGGCGGAGGATGAAGTGCGAGTAGTGATCCTTCTTGCGCTCCTTGTCGATGTCGGCCGTCTTGCTCGAGTCGGGGTGCAGAGGGAGGTACTCCTGCGCGCGTTTCTCGACAATCTCCTTGATGTCCTTGAAGGAGCGGTTGCGCGCCTGGGCCGACTCGATGTCGGCGAGCACTGCGGGTCCAGCACTGGTTCAGCGCTCCTCCTTTTTATCCAGCCTTTGTCGAGACTGCACGAGCAGGCCCTCCGCAAGGCATCAACGATGAAGCGGAACTCACGTCGCAGCCTGTCAATCGCCCAAACTTCGAACTCCTCGAGCGTGAGCTCCTCCAGCGGCGGTCTCTCGTACAAGTTGAGCCTGCTCGGGTACTTGCCGGACCTGGGCGCGATGGGGACTTCGAGGCGGGATGCGGAGGTCGACACGGACGAGGAGAGGGAGGTTTGGGGTGCGCCGAGCGAGCGCGAGGAAGATGGCGCGCCGCGGTTGGCTGCGTACATCGTGCAGCAGTGACAACAGAGCGGCGAGAGCGAGACGAGCGAGAACTTGTCGAGGCGACGAGGTCGCGGTCGTGTGTCGACGCGAAGTTGGCGATGGAGCGGACGAAGAGGGGGAAGGACAGGACAGGACAGCCTTGCTCTCGTGAGTCCTGCGCCAGACTCGCAAGGAAGCGCTGGCCAGCCGCGGTAGACGAGAGACGATGGGTATGCAATGCGAGCAGGCAGTATGCGAGCGTAAGTATCGGGGCGGGTGAGGGTACGGAACGAATACAGCACAAAATGCGAGGCAGGAAGAACGAGCGAGTGATGCCATGATGCTGGACCAAGAGAGCGAGCAAGAGTTTCTGTCTAGGGTGTGAGCGAGGAGGGACCCAGCTCCTTGAGATCGCCGAATCAGACCAACCTCCTTCCTGACGATCCACCTCCGTTCCGCGGGTCCGCAGGCCAGTCAAACCCCCTTCCGTCCTTCGTAGGACTCGGCGTCCCAGCGCCCGAGCCCATCAACGGATCACCCCTCGTCGCCTGCGGCGAGTTGGTCAAACTCCGTCTCCGTGCGTGCTGCTGTTCCGACGAAACCGAGGTGTTGAAGCCCGTCGCAGTCGACGACGCCAGCGAGGTGTACGACGGGTCGTGCGTGAACGAGAGGGGCGAGATGAGTGGAGGAGGCTGGACGCCGCCGGGCGAGTTGGCGTCTGCGAAGGGGTCGTCGGCGCGCGGACTTGACCGGCCCGACGAGGCGAGTGACGAGCTCGATGCGTTGAGAGGGAGGTTCGAAGCGGAAGAGGCCGTCTTGGTCATCGGCGGCGCGGAGAGAGGCGTGTCGGTCAAGGTCCAGCCTCGAGTCGGCGCTTGGTAGTGCTGCGGCTGCCTGTACACCTGCTGCCGAGGCTGGAGGTGCGTCTGCTCGGACGGCGTTGAGTAGCCCGACCCGTTGCCGTGATGAGGGTACGTCGCGCCAGGCAAGGGTGAGCCAACGGGCGACGCATCGTCCCATCCGACCTCGAGGACGTTGACCAGGTCGTGCTGGTTGAGGGTCTGGTCGTCGTCGTCCTCGACCTCGTCGAGCGAGTACAGCCCAACCGGCGGCGGGACGTTCTCGAGGCTCGTCGCGTCCTCGTTGTACGCTCCAATCTGCTGACCCCACCGATCCTCGTCCGGCCCGCCAAACGATGACGCCGTCTCGCTCTCGGCAAACGTGCTGATACTGTGATGCGGATGCACCGCACGCGTGCCGAACTGCCGCTCAAACTCGCGTCGCCGCTTCTCCTCGCGCCGGATCTTGCGCAGCCGGGACTTTTCCCAATCTTCCCATCGACGAAGTGGGACTGACGACGCCGCAGAGACGCCTCCCGTTGCGCCATGATCATCGCCGCCCTTGGTCTCGCCAGCAACCTTGCGCGTCTCGCCCCAGGAAAAGTCGTCGAACTTTGAGAAGGCGTAGAGGGGGAGGACGCAGTTCCAGATCGGGAGGGCGAGGAGGTAGATGAGCATCCATCCGACGTAGACGACTTTCATCGTCGAGATGAGGATGAGGATTCCGGGAAGACCGAGGACGCCGACGAGGAGGACGAGCGGGATGGCGTCGCCGAACGAGTTGGGAGGGTTGATGATGGACGAGATGATGAGTGTGTAGGTGAGGCAGATGGCGATGGGCAGGACGACGGTGCCGATGAGGTCGATGAACGTAATGAACTGCATTGAGAAGCAGAACGTGCCGCACAGGTTCCGGACGAGGACGAGCTCCATGAGGTTGTGGATCGTCGAGTTGATCCACCGTCGACGCTGAGAGAGGAGAACCTTGAACGTGTCGGGGACGACGGTGCGGCAGCGCGCCTTCGGGCAGAACATCATCTTGCGGTTCGGGAACGTGCGGAGGAGGATGGTCGTGAGGAAGCGGTCCTCGCCGAGGAGGAGGAGGTTCTTCTGGTGGAGGGTCGTGACAACGCTCTGCGAGTACTCAGATGTGATGGTCGGCGAGACCAGGACGGGGAACCAGTCGCCGTCGTCCTGCTTGCGCGCCTTGATGCGGTACATCGAGAAACAGCCGGGCAAGCACGTCACACCGCCGAAGACCGACTCGAACGCTTTGGCGAGGTGGTGCGAGATGAAGTATCTGTGCGGGTGCAGCGTGAGCGGCGGAATTCGGGGGGAAGGGGATGAGACGGTAGACGCACTCGAAGACCTGGATCATGGTGACCCACGACTGGCGCTTGTTGGCGATGCGAGTCTCGCCGCAGACGCCCATGACCATGTTGTCGTTCTGCATGACGCGGACGAGGTAGCCGAGCGACTCGGGGTAGCACATCGTGTCGGCGTCGACCTGCGTATCAACAAGTACATCTTCGAGTCAGCCTCTGTAGTCCAGACTACCGACGTCGAGGCGCGTTCTGTTGCACGCACCATCAAGCAGACCTCGAAGAAATCCGGCGTGACGCCCATCAAGCTCTGCGTCTTTCGGAACAAGTCGTAATCGAGCGGGCTCATCCGATCGTTGTACGTGACGCGACCGAAGAAGTTCATCAAGACCATCTGCGAGTCTCGTTTGCCGCGGTTGCCCGGCTTGGCTTCGGAGGCTTCGGCGGGCGTGCCGCATTTGACGACGACGATGATGGGCGTGCGGTGGCCTGCGACTTGGGCTGCGTGCGCTAAAGCTTAGTCACCATGCGTGGGGGAGAGGCGAAGTGAGCGACGGGACACACTGTAGTGACCGGCGTAGACCATAGCCTGGTTGTGCGCCTTGGCACCGTCCGCGATCGCGACATAGCTCATCGGCTGAGGGTCCCCAAACCTCGCATCGCGCTCAATCATCGAGACAACAATATCCGGCGTCGACATCTTCTCCCCCGAACCGGTGATCATTCCGTCGCAAACGACGAAGAGCAACTTGCGCGCGTCGGAATAGTTGGTCGCGGCGATCGAGTCGAGAGTCGTCTTGATACCGTCGTAGCCCTCCGAGTAGCAGGTGACGAGGCAGACGCAGAAGAGCTCGGCGCCGATAGAAGCCATGCTGATCATGCCGTCCTGTCCAACGGGAAGGGCGACATCCGTTCCTCCGTTCCGCCCCTCCGGCGCACCTCCTCGAGGCTTCTCGCTCGGCGAAAGCGGGAGAGCCTTCTCGCTCGCGCCTCCGCGCCTTCCGCCACCCTTCTTGAGCCGCATCGTCTGCTGACGCTTGACATGCGACTCGACCCACGGCGCCTGTCCCGTCGTGTTCGTCACGTCGATGTTCGCGCCCTCCGGCAATACGGCAGGCGAAACGACGCTGCGCTTGAGGTTGCGCGGTTTGCGGACCATCCGATCGGCGAGGTACCACGAGAAGACGAGTGCCATGAAGAACCGCGCGAGAACGATGCCCATGATGAGGATGAGCGAGACGTAGAGGAACAAGTTGGAGACGAAGCAGCCGGGGGTGATCTTGTCGATGTGGCCGGCGTAGTACCTCGACGCGAGGCACTTGACCGAGCGCTTGAGTTCGTCCGAGGTGTAGAAGATCCGCGTCGCGTCTTTGCTCCCGCTCGTCGCCTTGGCGAGACTGACGCGTAGCGCTTCGTCGACGAGGTCGTTCGGAAGGGGGTTCGGATGCGCGTTCATGTACGGCGTGAGGTTGAGGACGTTCCCGTCGATGACGAGGTAGTTGGTCAAGTTCTGCAGCTGCGCCCAGTCGTACCCGACTTGTTTCGTCGTGTTCGTCAAGCCGAGCGAAGAGAGATACGTCGGCGTCGGGTCCTTGAGCGCGCAGGAGGAGGCGTTCCCGTCGCTCGTCGAGGTGCAGAGGTTGACGGTGGCGTACGCCGCGTTGAGGCCGTTGCAGTTGGGGAACTTGTCGGACGAGCGATCGAAGAGACTCGTCACGTCCGTCCCGCCGAAGTCGTTGGCCGGGCCGAGGAGGGATGAAGGCGACTTGCTGCTAACCTGCATGTTCCAGCCCTGGACGCCGACGTAGCCTGAACATCGACGAAGGTCCAAGAGTCAGTCCTGCGTGGACATCATGCGGCACGAAGCCAGACTCGCGAAACTCGAGACGCACCTGGAACGGATCCTAGCCGCTGGAACATGCTGGCTGACCTCGGGCCAGACGTCGGACACAGGGTCCTGTTCAGCCCGATCGTGATGAACCCAATGATGCCCATCAAGAACGCCGCGATCTCGCACAGCGCGACCTTTTCCTTCCACGCCCTCTGCTTGACCGGGTCCGTCATTCCGAAACTCCTCAAGAGCGGCCGGGGCGCCCAGAAGGTGACGACTTCGACAAAGAGCGACCATGGACTCCACCACGGTTCGCTCGCGACGAGAGTCGGGACGCCATCCACCAACTTGGTCTGGACGTTCCCGCCCTGTTTCGCGGCTTTGCCCAGACCCGCTGGGGCGATCAAAGGTGCGGGCGCGACGAAGCGGTCCGGTCGAGTGAGGGTCTTGCCGCGTGTGAGACCGCGTTGAGGGCCGGGAGCCACCGAGAGTCGAGGATTGGCGCCTGCTTCTCGGACTGTTCCGCGCTGCGCTCCTCGCACCGTCTGCCGGCGGTTCATCCCGCCTCCTCCTCCTCCTGCTCCTGCGCCGGGTGGTAGACCGTAGCGAGCGGTCGGGTCGGAAGAATACGCAGGGTTCGCAGCGGCGCCGGTAGAAGGGTACGAGGTCGAGTGGAAAGCGGCGGGGTCGGACTCGTACGTCTGCCCGCGCGGGTAGTGTGGCGCGTTGGGGTTTCGAGAAGGGTATGACATCGTGCTGGCGTTTATAGAGTGGGAACGAGCGACGAGAAGGAGCGAAGGTAGATGTGGAGGAGCGCCGTGCGCTCAACGGAGGGGCGTGCAAACCACTGCCTCGTGTGTCCTGCGCGTGTCTGTACGCGTGCGAGCGTCGAGTCGGGTCTGTGGGACAGCCAACGAGTGTCAGCACGCCTGGCGAGGTGGTGTCTGCGCAGCGAGAGGGGTCGAGCACTCGCTCGTTCTCGAGGCGAACGTGGGCTCGCTCGGCGGTTGGAAGGGTGGGTAGGTCGTACGCACCGGTTCGAGTAGTCTAAGAGTGCAGGCAGTAAAGTCGCAGCAGTCACAGGCGAGCGGAGCACGAGCACGAGCACACAGCGACTCGATCAGACAGAGAGGCGCGCGGCGCGACCAAGGCGCGTGCCCAATTTGTATTCGAGTTGCATTGCTCATTACAAACTCATTACAAACTCGGCTCGTCTCCCTCTTCCCCTTGTTCTCTGCGCTCCGTCTCGCCTCGTGCTGCTTCCTGAGACTCGATTTGTACTCGCTGGTCGAAGAACTGAATGCTCGCCTTCGCCGCTGCGCCCGCTGCCCGCCATGACTCTCCCCGTCAATCCTCTCGCTCGCCTGCGCTCATTCCCATCGCACTTTGCCTCGCTCGCGTGCGACTCTGACACGCTCATCGAGACCGACGTACCCGTCTCCTCCCTCCCACGAACGCACTTCCTCTCCCCTCACTCGACTTCCTCAACCCCTCCTCCAGTCATCTCCCGCTCGCCCTTCGTCCCAGACTCGCTCGTCCAACACTTGATGCGCAACAAACGAGACTCGGCAATCACGACCAAGTACCTTCCCGGCACGGCCATCACGAATGCCGAAGCTGCGATGCACTCGTTCGTCACGGCGCTCGTAGCCGCGACGCAGTGCGGCGACTATGCGTGGAAGGGAGGGCATACGGCTGTCGAGCTGGGCACGAGCGCGAGGAAGAAGAGGCTCGCGAGGAAGGTGGTTGTGTCAACTGCGCTTCATAACGACTTTGAGGACTCGCAAGTTGCAGAGGCCTTCTTCGCGCTTGGCGACGACGAGCTGGTCGGACGAGACTTGCGACTGCGACAGGGTGGGGCGCGATTCGTGGTCCCGTCTGTTGGGGAGAAGAACGACAATGCATTTCGGGAAGGGTACGACGAGACGCTGCGACAGCATGCTGTTTACCACCTCTTGCCCGAGCGACGACTGCCTTCACGACACGAGCTTGCGCACCAGCCATGGACAGTCGGCGAGACCGTGACCCGCCTAGTCGCACACCTACAGACACCGCTCTCCTCCGCACACGAAACGCCGACCCAATTCCTGTCCTCCCGCTCCATCCGCCTCTCCCCACCCTCTTCCTCCATCCTATCCCTCCCTCTCCTCTTCGCAACCCACATCGCGTCCCTCACAAACGAGCTCTCAGCACTCGAGGCGCTCACCAGCCCTCGAGGGTACATCTACACCTACCAGCCTCCCTCGATCTTTGCGCGTCGCCTGCCGGCAGAGATAAGCGTCTTGCTGGTCTTCTGCGCGCTGAGGGAGATCCAGCTTGCGTCGCGCGAACCAGGCGCCCTGAAGTTGGAGAAGATGCGCGCCTTCGCACTCTCAACTCACTCGCCCTCGCTCTCCTCCCTCTTCCCGCTCCTCTCGCTCTGCCTCCCCTCACACGTGCTCTCCCTCCACCTCTCATCCCTCTTTCCCCCGCCCTCACAAACCTACGCCCCTCCCCCCTCCCTCCAAGGAGCAACATTGGTGATCCACAACAACTCCGATGCGTTTGGTCAGAACATCGAGAGTGAGGAGAGCGGAGGGAGTTTGGATGGGGTTGTTGGGTGCTGGGGAGACGCGAGTCGTGCGCTGAGGAGGGAGAGGAGGGATTTGGTCGAGTTTGTTGGGTAGCTAGGGGGGTGGAATCGCAGGAGGACTCTCGCGATAGTCGAGAGCGGAGAGATGATGATGAGTGGGAGGAAACGCTATTTGCAGGGGTACTTGGGGACGAATGCGGATTGCGAGAAACGGGAATAAAGGTGTGCGAAGGGAACGGGTCTAGGAGGATGCTAAGAATGCTGCTCCATCTGTGACGAGTCTAATCTATGAACAGTCTAAAGCACGTCTCGACGTCTAGTAAGAAGGCCTCCCGCTTCCCGCTCAAACGAACGACCCAGAATAAGTCGCCTCCCTCGCGATCCTCGGTCTCTCGTCCACATTCTCGTCCGTCGTGCGTTCCTTCTCCAACGCCTCGTTCGAGCTGGCAAACTTGGATTTGGCGCGGATGCGCTCGCCGAAGCGGAAGAGGAGGTAGGGGAGGGGGATGGCGAGCGAGGCGACGAGCGAGAGGAGCAGGCCGGCGTATTGGTAGCCCATGCCCTGTCGGCGTGAGAGGGAACGTCAGATGGAAGGTCTTACAGGGTTAGGGAGAGGGCAAGGGGAGGGCGAAAGGGTGAGAGGCGGAGAGGAAGCGAGGGAGGAAACGAACCCTGAACATTTGGTTCGCGAAGAGGGGCTGTCGTCGCGCGAAGGACGAATCGTCAGTCTTGGTACGCCCAGCAGATGACGCGGGAACTTACAGAAGCTGCGCCAGCAAGGTTACGCAAGAGACCTTGACCGGCGATGGCGCTCGATGCGTTCTCGGGGGTATAGTCGGACGTGTAGTTGTACTGAGGGGACGTCAGCCAGAGTTTCCACGGTTTACGAAGAGGAAGGGACACGAACTGTGGCGTTGAAGATGTGATAACTGCGGGAGGACGGGGAGAGTTGGGAGGGGCGTCAGTACAGCTGCCTCGACGCCCGCGGTCTGCGCGTTTCGAGCAATCGGAAAGAGTGGACGTACATTCCGACCTATAGGTGCGCAAGAGAAGCAGGATCAGTTTCTGAGTTGACCTTCCCAGGTGCGCGGCGAACGTACGAGGATGAGGACAAGCGCAACCATCGGGCCCATCCAGTGCACGAAGCCGTACTGGGTGAAGGAGAAGATGAACAATCCGGCGGGCATGAGCCATGCAAAGTACATGGCTCCCCAGAGCCTGTACTCGGGGACGGGAACGCCGTTGTTGTCCGCGCGCTTGCGGTCGTAGATCGAGTCGGTCCACCTGGACGTGCCGAATCCAATAAAGCAGCCGATGACGAGGGCGATGTAAGGCAATCCGCTGTTTCCTTCGGGCCAGGCGCGAGAGGTGTGCTGGAAGGCGAGCGGGATGGCCGAGAGGAAGAGGAAGGTGAGGAACCAGGCGTACGCGATCCAGAGACCGAAGGCGAGAATAGTCGGCTCGCGGACGAGAAGGATGAAGGACTTGGTGCAGGAAGTCTTGAGCAGGTCCTTGACCGACTCGTTCTCAAGCTCGATAGGCGCGCGAATGTTGTTGCGACCGGTCTCCTTGCGCAGCTTCTTCGCCCGCTGAGCGAGGATCTTGGCGCCGCGAGTCTCCTTGAGCAGGAAGATCTCGAGAACGAGGAGCACGCCGGAGGCGCTGGATGAAGGGCGCCAGGTTAGCCTTATTTGTGGCAAGCAAGGAGAGCCGCACGCACATCATGTGGATCCACTCAATCCACCGCCAGCCAATAGCCTGGTCGATGTAGCCGCAGTAGATGGGCGCAGCGACCGTACCGAAAATGGCGCTGAAGGTGAAGGTCGACATGGGAAGACCGCGGTCGCGGGTGTTCCCTGCAGGTTGGCGAGTTGTCAGAATCGTCTCTTTCGCAGACACCTATGTAAGTCCGAGGTAAGACGGCCCACGTACAGATGTCTGCGAGAGTCCCGCCGACAAGGATGGTACCGACGCAGCCAAAGAGGCCAGACAAGGCACGTCCGATGAGGATGCCGGTGATGTTGGGCGAGAGAGCGAGGAGAATGAAGATGAGGGTGAAGCAGAGGTACGCGCCGAGGTAGATCTGCGAAAGGGGGGCTATGAGCGTCGAAGACAAGCGTCGGAAGTGGGTTGGGAGACGCACCTCGCGACGGCCGACAAGCTCGCAAAGCGGTGCAAGGAACAAGGGCGCTATGGCGCAGGTCGCGTTGAAGGTGGTCATGCCGATCTGGCCGACGACGTTCGCGACGCCAAACTCTTCAGTCATCGAGCCGATGCCAGACGAGTAGGCGGTGGTCGAAAGACCGATCATGACGGTCATGGCATCGAGGAGGATGGTCTTTCAAGGGCGGCAGAGCGTCAGAGCGGAGAGACGAGACGAGAAGCGAGGAGGGCGGAACGCACGATGACCCATTTCCGCGCGCGAGACCAGTTGAGCGGGTTCTCGGGGTCTCCCTCCTCGAACTGAACGAGCACAATCTTGTTCTTGTCGTAGCCGTCGAGTCCTTCCGCCTTTGGCCTCTCGCTGCCTTGACCCTTCTCAGCCTTCTCCGAGTCGAGCGTGTCCTGCAGAACGAGCATTACGTGAGCAGGCTGTTTCGTCGAGGAAACGTCAAACGTGAGCGCACTTGCGCGTTGACAGCCGTCAAGGATGACCGCCGAGTCGAGGGTTGGGTGGAGGGAGGCGCCTTCTCGTCTGGACGCTCCTCGCCCTCGTCGCCGAGATTGCGCATCATCCTGCCGGTCTTTGGCGCCTTCTTCAGTCCCCATCGCCTCTTGTTGGCCTTCGAAGCGTCGCCGGGGGCGTGTTCCACCCTCTCGTCCTCGGCCGTGTCGCCGTCAGGGAAGAGGGACGCGTTGATCGTTGTCGGTTTGTAGGCCGGCATTGTTGTCGAGTAGCTGTAGCAACCACGCTCAGACGAAGCTCGCTGATCTGATAGCAAGCGGTCGCAGAGCGCGCTCGTCGAGTGAAGAGACGGAGAACAAGAGGCTCCTGCTGCTCGGGCGGGCTCAACGATCCCCTTGGGCGCGGTGGTGAGGGGAGCAAGGTTCGGTCATCCACACGAACTCTTTGGGTTGTGGCGGGCAAGCTGGAGTGAGCGAGGAGACCAAGGTCGGGGCCGCGGGGAGGCCGCAAGTGTTGCAGCCCGGACTCCGCTCGCCAACTTCGACCTCGCCCTGTTGATTCACACAGGTCGCCTGGGCTGGCCTGAAGGTCTGCATACGTCGATTCGCGACGTTCTGAGCCTCTCTGAGGAGCCTCACGCCCGCCCGTGTCAGAGCGAGCGAGCTCACTCCACCACTTCCCCTCACGCACGCTCATCGATCTCTCCTCGCCTGCTCGACTGGCCCCGGCTACGTCACGAACTAGCTGGTACGGGGCTTGCTGAGCTGCTTTGCGCGGATGTGGACGAACTGGCGGGGTGTGCATTCCGCTCGGCGGTCGGTACACAATCGGAAAGTCATTCGGCTGACGAGGCGGAGGAGGAGAACCGAAGCGGCGCTTCGCAAGCAGGCGCCATTTCTCTCGCTCCTGTACAGTACTATGCTTCTGCTTCGGCTGGAGTCACTCAGTGGCGGAACCCCTTAGGAGGTGCCGCCCTGTCCGTCGCAAGCGCGCTTAGCGAGGCTTCCGACCTGGCCCAGCGAGTTGGTCGACCCGGCAGTCCTCGCCTAGCAAGAACTGCAAGTTAGCGACAGCTGCGCCCTCAGCGTTTCAAACCGCGGAACGCGTGCGCGAGTCTAAGTTAGTCGGACGGAAGCTTCGAAGTGGACCAGCAGGTCAAGGGAGCTCAGCGGAACTGCCTAGAGTTGTGCGTGCGAGATTGACTGGTCAATGACATTGCGATAGGAAGCTGCAAGATATGATCGCAGCGGCCTGCGCTCGCCAAAGAGAGCCTTTTGAGCAGGATAAGGGGTCGAGCGAGCGAGTTGTACCCCTTCTTCCCCTCCAGCTCCTCCCGCTGCCCGCGTGTTGCACCCTCTGCATCCTAACAGCCGTCTGCTGACCCAAGCAGCCTCTCCTGAGGCGATGAGCGAGGCGAAGAGCCGGAAACTGATGAGGATGGCGGCAAGTCGAGCAGACGGTGGCAGGACGTGCGTGAGAGCAGCGAAGGCGTAGTTGCGCCAAATGAAGACTGTCAATCCTGCGTGCCCAGCTTACAGAGCCATCCAAGTACAGCAGTGAGCGGACGAGGTCAACGAGCAAGCTCGGCACCGCCTCTCCTCCTCGACAACGCTTCCATCCCGCTTGACGAATCCCGCTAGACGCCTGCAGACCCCTGCTAGACCGCAATGGCCGCCGCACAGAACCACTTCGGCTCGCTCATCTTCTGCTCGCGGTGTTCGACCCTGCTCGACTTGCCAGGCGACGAGGACCAACTGGTGTGCGATGCATGCGGGCAGGTGGAAGACGCGACGGGTGCGTACTTTCTCGAGCTTCGTACCGGCGTGTCAGGCTGATCACGACTCCGGAAACAGTGTACGAGGGCAAGGTCATCACGACCAAGTCGAACCCGGCTGCGTTCCCTTCTTCGCTGCGACAACTGAAGACCAGTTTGGTCAAGAACCGAGGAGACGTGGAGAAGAAGAAGGTCTACGTGCGTTGTGGCTCGTCAAAGAGGGTTGGACGAGGCGTAGAAACTGATCTTTCGTGCGAGGACAGGTCGACGAGACGTGTGAGAAGTGCGGCGCGAAACAGATGTCGGTCAAGACGATGCAGTTGCGGTCTGCAGGTGCGCCTCTGTGCATGGTCTCACGGGAGAGTCACCGGCTGATCGTTGATTCCTTCCTGCAGACGAAGGAGGTCCGTCCCGCTGGCTTCTCTCCGCCTTTCCCGAATCTTCACTTACGCTATTCTCCCACAGCAACCGTCTTCTACTCGTGCGACAAGTGCGGCTACCAGACCCGTCTCAACAACTAGATCATCCCCTCCGTCCCGCGACGCTCGCCTTTCACGCCGGCAGATCCCGCCGACTTCCCACTCTTGCGCCTCTTTCAGGTCGTTACGCAGCATCGTGTTGTATCCAGTATTGCATCGTTGTTCCAGGTCACTCAGAGCATGCGGACTGCAGGGAGACTGCGCAGTTCGCCTGGATAGCGGCCCTTCTATCGGTTCGCTGCTTCGCTCGCTTCGCCACCTCTCTTGTACGAACTAGCAGACTTCTCCGGCGCCCTGCACAAAGTCGGCTCGCTCGTGAGCGAGTCAACGTGAAGTGGATCGCCCTTCCTGCTCTCGCTTCTTCGACGAACACTGTTACACAACTCGCTCGCTCCAGCTCGAATACGGTCGCACGGTGCTGCGATGGCTCAGGCGAACGTGACCCAGGAGAAGCGGATCCTGTCCATCCAGTCGCACGTCGTCTGCGGCTACGTTGGTAACAAGAGTGCATCCTTCCCGCTCCAGCTCCTGGGCTGGGAGGTCGATGCGGCTCTGACAGTCTCGTTCAGCAACCACACGGTGCGTTCGAGCTCCCCAAAGTCGCGCGCGAGCCCTGGGACGACGACATCTGTTCGCTCGACCCCGCTTCTCCCGAGCTGACCTCTCTCTCGCTCCTTCCCTTCACTTTCACCCTCGCTCATCCTCCTGCGGCGTCTGGGACACTCGCGCGATGTCGTACACACCCTGTCACACATCGACCATGCACTCCCACTACCGCAAACCCGCTTGAACGCGCCCTCATCGCCTCGCAAATCTTCCTCAAACCCGCAAACTTTCTGTCCGCCCACAGGGTCAGTTCCAGCTCGCTGCGCGTGTGTAAGAACGGCAACTGACTGTATCGCTCGCACAGGTTACGGACGATGGGGCGGATCCAAGTTTGACGCCGCGCATCTCGAGGACGTTTTCAGCGCTCTCGACGTGCGTTTTCCCTTCCCTCGCTCCCGCTTGCGATGGTAGCTGACTCTACGTGCTCTCCAGGCAAATGGCTTGCTTCGACAGTCGCACGTCTTGACCGGCTACGTCCCAGGCGCCGACGCGCTCAAGGTCGTCGTTCGCGCCGTCGACCGGCTACGGGCCATCAACCCCTCGCTCGTCTACATCCTCGACCCCGTCATGGGCGACGATGGCCGCATCTACGTCTCCGAGTCGGTCATCCCGATATACAAGGCGCTCCTCCCTCGGGCGACGTGCGCGACGCCGAACTACTTCGAAGCGGAACTCTTGACCGACATCAAGATCCTCGACGCGACGTCCCTCCAGCTGGCTCTGCGGACGTTCCACGAGCGGTACCGGACACCCAACATCGTCGTCTCGGCCGTCTCGCTCCCGTTGTCCGAGCTCGTCAAGCTCGGATTCGTCGACGCACCCGCCTTGAGCACCTCGTCCTCGACTTCACGCATGCTCGTATGCGCTGGCTCGACGCTCCTTTCGGCGCCTGGTGAACCCCTCAAGACGACGTCTTTCGGCATCGCCTTTCCCGAACTTGCCGAGCATTACGAAGGCGTTGGCGACGTCTTCTCCGCCCTCGTCGCCGGTCGATTCCCTTCCGCCTCCGACCCAGCCTTTTCCGATCACCCGATCTCGCCCCTCGCACGAACAGTCGAGTTGGCCATCGCCTCGCTCCAGGGCATTCTCGCCAAGACGCGGCAGCACGCCCTCTCGCTCGCGAAAGGTCGCGCGGACCTCATCGTCCCCCGAGAAGGCGAGAGCGCCGAGGAGCGGGTCCGGAGACTACGCACGGTCGAGTTGCGCCTCGTCCAGAGCCAGCATGAGATCCTCAACCCCGACGTCAAGTACCGCGCCGTGCGCTTCTCGGGCATTTAGACCGCGCTTTCTATCGTCGTTCCTCAAGTCGTGCCGTCGTCGCCGCCGAGCAGTACCAAGTCATCAACTGTTGTCTGTATCACCACCGCTCTCGCCCGTGAGTTCTTGCCTTCCTCTCGACCTCGACGAGATTCCCCCGCGAAGGACGCATTGGCGCGAGATGAGCAACCAGTGTCGCCCCTATCCGATTGATTCATGATGGACGTGACCAAAACCGGACAAGCCAAACAGTCCATTAACGCTGAGGCCATACTCGTCCTTCGCGAGATGCTCGTCTACCATCGCTAGAGGCGTGCGGTGTCGGTGACAGTACTAATCCGCTCTCGCTCGTGCAGGTAAAGCGCCATCTTTGGCTCGCCCCGCCGACCCCTGCCGCATCCTCACTTCACTCCGCCACCCTCTTCCGCCTCCGCCGACGTCCGCCGTTGCGCTATCAAACGTGAGCCACCCTCCACTCTCGCCACCCCGCTCTGCCCGCAACGGATGTGTTCTTCATCTCTCCCTCGCGGATGATGATAAAATACATTCCATGCTAAGTCCGACAGACTTAGCCGTCTACACATGAGGACAACATGTTATTCAACAAGAACGGCCAGCTTACGCAATAGAAGGAGGAGAAGGACACGTTCGCATGCGGGCAGAGCAGATAGGACTTAGCCGCTTGTGTTCGTCCGCTGACTCTCCCGCTTCTCCACAGCAGCAACAGGTTCATCCGTAGATCTCACGCAATGCAGGATGATAGACTCTCGCTCCATGCCAGTACTGAGAGGCAGCCGTTGTCGTGGCTGAGAGTGCCAAGCGCTTACCTCCGCTACCTCGTCTTCGCTTTCGCGGCAGCTGCTCTGCTCTCACGGCTCCTCCTCTCACACTCGCCGCTCATCCACGGACCATACATGCGAGAACGCAGCTCGCGATACATGGTTTCAGCGCTCCTCTACTCGTCATACGGCGGCAAACCCCAAGCTCCCGGGTCAAAGTCCTCCATCGAGCTGTGCTGGTGCGAAGGGTCTAGATTGTGGTCTCCGAGGGTGTTGAGCAGTTCGGGGTCGGGGATCCAGACGACTGCGCGATGAGGAGGGAGGGAGGAAGGGTCAGTTCGGGCTTCGAGCCAGTGGCAGCTGCCTCGCTGCAGAGGTCGTGGCGGATGACATGTGAGCAGAGGAGAGAAGCGTGCGCACCTTCCATGCCTGCTGCTCGCGCGGCCTGCACCCCCGAGACGCCGTCCTCGAAGACGAGAACCTTTTTCCGCTCTTCCGGCGTGCTGCGAGCGCTCGACAGTCAGTCTGCGCTTCACGATCGCCTCACTCAGCCGGTACGACGAGAGGGAGCACGCACTTGATGCCGAGCATCTTCGCCGCCTCGATAAAGATGGTCGGATCCGGCTTGCCCTTGCCCTCGAGAATAGGGTCGTCGCCGCAGAGAATGTTGGTCGAGAAGCAATCGAAGAGGTGGCCGAGGTGCGCAGACTTTATCAAGAAGTTCTTCTTCTTTGAGCCGGTTGCGATCTGGAGAGGGAAGGAGGGGATCAGTCAAGGAGGAGGAACGCTGACGAAACGCCCGTATGCACCGCCATCGGGACCTTGTGCTTCTCGAGGTGATGCACGAGCTTGATGACGCCCGGAAGAGGTTCGACTGTTCGGAACAGGCGATCCAGCTTCTTGTCCATCGTCGAAAGCAACTCGTCGACTGATAGAGGGATGCCCGTCGCCGCGATCAGCCGCGCCGCCGACTCGTGCGCCGGTCGCCCCATTAAGTCGACTTTGATCTGCGTTGTCAATGGTAGTTCAGCTGCGCTGACCAAGTGGATGCGACCGCGAAGGAGGGATCGAGGCGCACCTCCCACGTCAAGCTCTTCCCGTACGGCTCTAGCACTTCGTTCGTTGCCACAGTGTACAGCCGTTCCGAATCGATCATCAGACCATCCTGCGAAGCCGTGTGCGACGAGCGAGATTGTGAGCGAGCCGTCAAAGCGATGAAGGCATTCTCAGCGAGAGAGACGAAGCGTACCATGTCGAAGAGAACAGCAGACACCTGTGGATGCGGCATAGCTGTCTATCTGCGCAAAAGAGCGTGTCAAGGAGAGCAGACGAGGCTCAACAGGTCGAAGTGGGGAGTCCGGCTCTTTGGCATCCACGGCTGACCCGCTCGCGCTCCGTGGGCCCACTTTGACGTTGTTGACGCGCTTGAGAAGCTCGTGTTGCATGCTATAGGCTCTCGCATCTCCCACGCTTTCTCGACACCTGGCGGACGAGACGGATTGAGCGGGGTCGTGCACAAACGAGGGGCGTCTGTGGCGGCTTGCTGGACATCCTGTAGGGCGGATCCGAGGCAAACAGTGCGTACGGCCGCAGCTCGAGATAGGACACGCCGCCGAAGAGGCTAACGGTGCCGTCCTCTCGCACAGGTTGCGCAGAATCCCTCGGCATGGCGGCGCTGCGGACTGTTCCGTCAAGGAAGCGCGGTCCACCTGTCAGCACGACTGTACCGACGGAAGTCGACCGTGCGGCGGCCCAGCCACTCCACCGCCGAATCCTCTTTCCACCATCCTCCCCCGCCGAAACCCCTCGCATCCTCCATTCTTCCGCGCACGAGACCCTAGATCCCCTCATTCTCGACCTCATCGCCCTCTCCTTGAGAGCTTACGTTACGCCCTGGTACAACGGCTCCATCTCGCGCGATCCCGACAAGGCTTTCCTCCAAGCCGTTATGGCGGTTCTCATTCACGTCGTTCAGGCTCTCGAAGTCCGCCTCGCCGCTGTCGACTGGGCCGACGTACTTCTGGCCGAATTGCCAGAGGTCCTGGCGAATCATTACCGGGACTGGGATTCGGCAGTCGAGCGAGCTGGCGGAGGCACGGCGCACAATCTCTCGGTCGATGAGATGTTCCATTCTCTCCAGCCTCACATCGCCATCCACCTACGACAGGCAGCCGAAGGTGAGACGACTGCACGGCATCGTGTGACGCCCGAGGTCGACAGAGTCTATCTTCGGGCACTCGTCGACCGGCTGCTCAAGCTCCTCCTTCCGCCCGAGGACTATCGCTCAGACACGGAGCGGGCCATCGTCCGCGAGATTATCGTCGCCGTCGTCTTCGGTACCGTCTTCAACCGCGTCGCCCAGCCCTGGTTCATCCACGGGCTGATTGCTAAGCAGCTCGAAGCGCGAGAGGCCGAGCGGGCTGTGATGGAGAAGGCGTTGTCGGCGGAAGACCGAACAGCGAGTACTGGACTCGTCGACAAGGCTCTCACCGCGCTTCTCTCCCTTCCGCTCCTCCTCGCCTCTCTCGCCTCTCTTGCCTCAACTTTTTCAGCTCTGTCCAGCTCCACGCGTACGACTTCGTCCAACCTTTCCTCCTCACCACCTCCTCACCAGTCTCTCAGCGCACTCCTACTCGCCATCCTCCCGTCCTCCGCCTTCCTCAGCCAGCTCGTCTACCTCGTCTCCCTTCCGCTCGCCTTTTTCTCCTCCCAACTAGACTCTTTCCTCGCCCAATCCGTTACGGAGCACGTCTGTGCCGCTTCGACAGTCAAGGCCGCCATGGAAGGAGCGATCAAGGGCATGTTCCCGAACGACGGCTGGCCCGCGCCGAAGGAAGACGACCCGGACGAGGAGGCGCAAGACGAATTACGGCGGCGGTGCGAGGAGGCTCTCGCTCGTGCACTATCTCGTGAGTCCGTTTCAACAGCATTGCCGAATGCACCTGACAGTTCGCTCGTTTCTCCAGCCTTCCTCCCCTCCCTCCTCTTCCCTCGCCTTCCGCCAGAACCGCCAGACCCGCGCATCCACCTTGCTCGCCACCTCCTCCGTCCACTCGCATGTCACACAGCAAACGTACACCTGTTTCTCTCGATTGTTGATTTGGTGGTTGGCAAGGTCTTCCCCGAACTTATTGTAGCGCCGGAGGACTAGCTGAATCGTGGACGTCTCCTGGCTTCGACGAGCGAGATCACAAGCAGAGAGAGCCGTCTTGACGGTGAAGAAGGCGTGCGACCACGCTGACTTGCACTCGGCTTCCCCTAGTACACCTGCCCGTCGACCAGCAACATGTCCCGAATCTTCCGCGCCTCGAGGATCGCTCGTGCCGGCATGCCTGCGAGACGGGCGACGACGAGACCTGCCGAATCGCTGTTGAGACCTCGACGGATGGCGTGGAGGTAGCGGACCGATTCCTGCGAGCGAGCAGAACGTCAATTGGAGGCTTGGAAGGGGAGATGACTGAGTACGCACCTCGGACTCCTCCACATCCGTGCACCAGAACTCGACTCCGTTCCACTCGCCCTGACCCCGAGGGTTCTCCTCCTCGTAACCGAGAAGCTGGCCTAGGCGGTGGTAATGCGTTGCGAAGAGGGTGCGAGATCGATTGACGTGAGTGAGATGCTCGAGGGCGGCGTAGGCGATAGCGAGGCCGTCGATGGGAGAAGTTCCGCGGCCGAGTTCGTCGAGCAGCACCTGGAGGCGGGAAGATCAGCGCTCGCTCCCGCGCCAGCGACGATGAAGAGGACGCACCAGCGAGTGCGGTGTAGCCATCTCGAGAATACTCGTCGCCTCGTCCATCTCGATCATGAAGGTCGACCTATCACGGTCCAGCTCGTCTCGAGCGCCGACTCGGCTGAAGATGCGGTCGAAGACACCGATGCGCGCGCTCTCGGCGGGGATGTACGAGCCGCTCTGGGCAAGAATGGCGATGAGGGCGGTCTGTCGCAGGAAGGTACTCTTCCCAGCCATGTTCTGCGGGACGAGCCTGATTAGCGAGAAGACGCTGAGAGCGGATTGCCAATTTACCGGGCCTGTCAAAACATGAATGAACGACGGCTGTTCCGCTGCGTCGTCTGGATGACGCATCGTCAGCGAATTGGCGTGGAAAGCGCGGTTCTGCGCGGCAAGAGCGGCCTCGACGGTCGGATGCCGGCCATTGACGATCTCGAGTGTCCGGCTGCGAACGATCGTCAATACTAGCGTTCGGAGAGAGGAGAAGAGACGTCGTACCTGTCGTCCATTTCCGGCTTGACCCAGTCAAGCTCCTCCGCGACTTCGGCGAACCCCAGAGCGACGTCGAGCTCTGCGAGAGCGTCGCCAGTTGCGGTCAGGTCGTCAAAGTGTTCGAGTACCTGTTCGAAAGCGAAAACTCTACTCAGCATAAGGCGAAGGACTGACGGAAAAGAAGCGGAACGTACTCGTGCGATCAAGACCTGCGCTGCGTCGATTTCAATCCGGCGGATCTTGCTCTGCGTACTTTCGATCTCCTTGTAAAGGCTGGACCAGTCCTGCGGCGAAGCACGGGTCAGCGTGCGTGTGGAGCAGCGAGGATACCAGACTAACGCTGGAGACGTAGTCGCGCGTTCTGTTCGTTCGCGAGACAATGACGAGACGCTTGTCCTCATCCAGCTTGGTCCAGCCGTCCTTCGCCTCCGCCCGCACAGTCGGCGTGTTCTTGTAATCCCGAAGCCATAGCTGTGGCGCGTTATAATGTTCCTGCAAGTCACATTGTAGGTCGGTCGCCGCGAGTCGAAGCCTTTGCAGCTTGTCGTGGAGTTCCTGGAGCTTGGCCGAGTACCTGTGCTGCAACGGATCAGCTTCGTCGTAGGTGCGAGGATGCCAAAAGGATCGAAGCTTACGCAGGGCGCACATACCAGGGCTCCTCGTCGCCCCAGACTTGTCCCCTCTTCAGCGCCTTCCTCTTCTTCTCCTCCGTCTTCGCAACGTGAGTCTCGCCTAGCTCGGCCAGCTCCGCAGCCTTGAGCTCCTGCGCGTCCTCCAACTTGTTCAAAGCCTCCTCATCGATCGCAGCCTCGATTTCGCCAGCCAGAACCGGGTACTGCCCCAACTTCTCGACGAGCTCGCGAATCGCCCGGATCTGCGCGACGGTCCAGCCGTTCGCCTCAGCGTCGACGGCCGATTTGGGCAGAGCTCGCGAGATCTCGAGCTTGATCGTGTCGAGCGCACGCATCGTCCGCTTCAGCCCGCAGAGATCGCTCGCGGCGGACGGGCGTTTCATCGCTAATCGCTGAAGCAGGCGAGGCGTATCATCGAGAGATCGGAGGACGCCCCGGATGTATGGTCGTGCGACGGAGAGACTGCCCAGGCCGGCTTGAGCGAGAGCTTGTCGCTGATAGATCGTCGGAAGGTCGGTGGAAGGGTTGCCTGCGGAGTCGAGGTCGTCAGTAAGAGTTAGTCATTCCGGAGACTCGCACGCACAAAGTCGGTCCGCCAGCAGACGTGTTCCGCCAGGCGTGACCGTCCGCTTCACCGTTCCTAACAAGCTACCGCGAAGACCGCCCCGCAAGCTCTCCCTGATCTCGAGCGACTGCAGAGTGACGGCGTCCATCTGCATGACGGTGGCGGGGTCGACATAGGTCGACTTCGTTCGGGGAGGAGGGTTGGCGACGAGCGTTCTTGCGAGGTAGGCGAGGAGGACGGATTCGGCGGTCTGCATAGCTGAAGGCGTTTTGCGAGAGGAGGAGGGAATGGCGTCGGTCGAGGTCGTCGAGATCATTGTACCCTCGCGAATTCGCTCAGCCTCGAGGAGTTCGCTGATTTGCTTGCCGAGTACCGTTGCGCCGAGCTGCTCGTCGACAACGACCTCCTTTGGCTGGACGAGGAGGATACTATCGCGCAGCGTCGCCAACGTCGACGTCCGTGTGAAGGAAGCGCCGGTCGAAACATCGCGATACGCCATGCCGATCGTTTCTTCCTCGCTCGAGCCGTCGACGACGCCGAGCGCGAGGACAAAGTTCGAGCTCTCGATCTTGACGAACGCCTCGTCGACGCCGGTTCCGGGCGTGATGACCCGGCTGACCCGCCTGTCAATGAGACCCTTTCTTTGTCGCAGCAGATCCTGGAACTCGTCGACGATGACGACCTTGTGACCTTGCTGGACGAGTGTCGAAGCGTGCTTCACCATCTGCGTGAGCGGGAAGCCAGCCATGGGAGCTTTGGCCTCGCCGAAGGACTTGCTCGCAAGGCGCATGCCGAGAAGTTTGGCGACGAGCTTCGCTTGTTCCCAGTAGGCCTGGTACCCCAGTCGACGGTGTCAGCACAAACAGAAGGAGGGGAGTAGGAGCCGGCGCACCTCGTAGAACGACCCGACCTGCGTCAGGACGAGAGCATCCGGGTACTGCTCTGTGATGCCCTTGATCTGCTTCTCGAGCTCTGTCAACCTTTTCCGATGGTGGCTCATCCCCTCGACCCCCTCTTCTGCGTCTTCCTGCGCGCCTTGCTTCTTCCGCCCTCTCTTCGCCAGAGCGTCCTCAGCTCCTATCTCCGCCTCGACGCCCACCTCGCCTTCGTCCACTCTTTTCGCCTTCTTCTTCAGCGGCGTCGTAGCCTTCCTCGGCTTTTTCGCCTTCAGCTTCGCCGCTTCCTCCGGCTCCGTCCAATTCGACGACAACGCTACGGAGCCAGAATCGTCAGCTTGTTACCCTTCCGCAGGCCGAGGACAGAATGCGTACAGGGCTTTATAGGCTTGCCGTCAAAGCCCAAAGGAGGCAGCGCCCTGCGCTCGATCCCATGTTCGTCGAGGAGGACTTTCCCTCGCGGCCGGCCTGCTCCCTCGTCGTCCTCGTTCCCTGCTGTCGAAGCATGCCGTAGGCTTGCTAGTCGTGCAAGAGAGGTCGTGCGCGGGCTGGCTAGGCGGACGAGGGGCGAGGAGAGGGAGCGTGCGCGGTGGAGCATTGCGAGAGATGAGGGGAAGAGAGGGAGACGAGGAGATTGCGGGAGTGGGAGGTCGGGTCTAGCCGATGGAGTCTATGTCCAGGAAGCCAACAGGCAGTCGTTTGGCCAGCGAACGGCCGCGTGAGCGAACAGACGGACGAAAAGAGCGAACACCGCCTCCTCTCGACTTGCGAAAAGAGCAAACGAAGCCAAATCGCTCTCGTAGGACAGCGACGACAGATGAGAAAGGAGAACTGGGCATTGTCACCACGCTGGAAGCTTCTCTTCCGCCTACACAAAATGGGCGAAGCGGGAGAGGATCTGCAACGAAGGCAAGGATGGGTCCCGATTCCTCCTCCCACACGCACGCAACACGCACACCGACCGCCTCGCCACACAGTCACACCGAAAAGCGGGAGAGCTTCCCTAGGCGCCAGCCAAGCGGAAAGGGAAGATCAAGGGGGGTAAGGGGGATGAGGTTTAGGCCGAAGCCTCCTCGGTAGCTTCGGCGGCAGGGGCGGCAGCAGGAGCCTCCTCGCCGGAGGCCTCGTCGCCGGTCTGGCGCTGGTTGTACTCGGCGAGGACGTCGAGAGCCTCCTGGACCTTGGCGGCGAGGGCCTCGTCGTTCTCGAGGAGGTAGAGGAGCTCGGACGAGTCCATCTCCTGCGAGCGGCAGGCACGAACGAAGAAGTCAGCGGCTGGTCGGCTGCGAACGAATGTGCGGAAAGGCAACGCACGAGAAGCATGCCGGTGACCTTGCCGGCAAGCTCGGGCTGCGAAGCGTGGATGCGCGGGTAGAGGCTGTAGGAGGACGGCCAGGCGCGTCAGCAAAAGCACGAGAGAGGAAGAGAACGAGGCAGAGGGGACTCACGCCTCTCCGAGCATCTGCTTCTGCTCCTGAGGAGCAGCGTTGGCGAGCATGGCAGCGGTCAAGCCGCCCTGGGCCTTCTGCTCGTCAGCGCGCGGGCGGCGCTGAGGGGGCTGGCCAGCCTGCGCCGCCGGGCGGGGGACGCCGTTGGGCGGGACGGGAGCGCCGCGAGGGGGGATGGGCGCGCCGTTCGGGACGGGTCCGCCACGAGGAGGAGGGACGCCAGCCGGCATCGCGGGAGGCTGGCCGGGGCGGCCACCCGGGCCAGCGGGGGGAGCGCCAGCTGCGCCGCGAGGACCCGCAGCGCCAGGGGGAGGAGGCGGGTACTGGCCGAACTGCTGGGGCGGGTAGGGCATCGGGGGCATGCCGGGCATGTTGGGCGGGGCGTAGAAGCGCGGGCGGGGCATGCCGCCAGGACCGGGCTGCGGGTAGCCCATCGGGCCACGCGCGCCGGGCTGAGGGTAGCCAGCCGGGCCGTAGTACATGGGCGCGCCGGGCATGTAAGGGGGGATGCCGGGGATGCCGGCGGCCTGCATCTGCTGGGCGCGGATCTGCTGGCGCTGGGCGACCTGGGCCTCGAGCTGCTGCTTGCGGACGTCCTTGCGCTGGGCGAGGGCGACGTAGAGCGGCTTGGTGCCGAGCATCTTGCCGTTGAGCTCGGTGAGGGCCTTGGTGGCCTCGTCGGGAGCCGAGAAGCAGACAAAGCCGAAGCCCTTGTTCGCGCCCTTGTCGTCCGACATGATCTTGCACGACGTGATCTGGCCGTACGGCTCAAACTCGGCGCGGAGCTTCTCCTCGTCGATGTCGTCGTCGAGGTTCTTGACGTAGAGGTTGACGCCCTGGTACTTGAGGTTGGCCTCGTACTTCTTCTGCTCGTACGACTTCTTGAGCTCCTCCTCGCGCTCGCTCTTGCGCTGGGCGCGCGCGACGTAGAGGTTCTGGCCCTTGTAGTCCTTGTCGTGGAGCGCGTCGACGGCCTTGGCGGCGTCCTCGTGCCTCTCGTAGTTGACGAAGCCAAAGCCCTTCGAGTTGCCCTCGGCGTCCTTGGTGATGACGGCCGAGGTGACCTTGCCGAATGGCTCAAAGAGGCCGCGGAACTCGGCCTCGTCGACCTCGAGCGGGACGTTCTTGATGTAGAGGTTGGTGAAGTGGGCGCGGATCTCGTCAATCTTGGCCTGGCGCTCGCGCTTGGGGATGTGGATGCCGACGTAGACGACCTTGTCGTTCAAGAGCATGCCGTTGACGCCCTCGATGGCGGCGCGCGCAGCCTCGGGCGTGTCGTAGTGGACGAAGCCGTAGCCGAGCGAGTTGCCCTGGCCGTCGACGGCGACCTTGCACGAGAGGATGTTGCCAAAGGCAGCAAAGGTGTCGTGGAGGGCCTTGTTGTCAATGTTCTCGTCGAGGTTCTTGATAAAGATGTTGCCGGCGCCGTTCTTGCGGAGCGAAGGGTCGCGCTGCGACCACATGATGCGGCACGGGCGGCCCTTGATCGACGAGTAGTTGAGCTGCTCGAGGGCACGCTCGCCGTCAGCCGAGTTGAGGTAGTTGACGTAGGCGTAGCCGAGCGAGCGACGTGTAACGGCGTCGCGGCAGACACGGATGCTGGCGACGGGGCCAATCATCGAGAAGACTGCGCGCGTGCAACCTCGTCAGTACGTTCTCCAGCAGTTCGCAGGGACACACTCGCGACGCACTCTCGTAGAGCATGGCCTCGGTGACGGTCGGGTCGAGCTCGCCAATGTAGAGCGAGGTCGAGGGCGACGGGCCCGTGTTGGAGGACGACGAGCCCTGGTTTTCCGCGGCGGGAGCAGCGTTCGACTCGGACGAGGCAGGCTTGGCCTCGTCCTTGTTGTCGGCGGCAGCAGCAGCAGCAGCGGGAGCCGGGGTGTTGTCGGCGGCCGGGGCAGGCGACGAAGCGGTGGCGGGAGCCTCGGAGGCAGCCGGGGTGGTCGAAGCGGCGTCGGTAGACATGGCTTTTGTGTGTGGTTTTTCTGGTTTGGGTTTGGAGAAGGAAGGAGGAGTGGCGACTGTATGCGAGGACCAGGTGATGAAGCGAGGAAGACGGGAACGAACGACGCGATGTCAGCTCGTGCGGCCTCGGACATGGTCTCCAGCGGCTCAGATCTAGTGCTGGGACTCACAGAAGGGAGGCTTGGCTGGGCTGGCGGTGTGTGCGGGCGACGACGAGACGGGGCGAGGTGTGCTGTGTCGACGGGGAGAGAAGCGGGGGGAGCGGTGGTCTTCGGACGCTGCGGGTGGTGAAGCGAGCCGGCTAAAGTGGTTTTTAAGGCGCGTGTAGGCCGCTGGAGAGCGTCCTGGCGGTCTGTAGCGGGGTGGTGAGCGGTGCTAACGAGAACAAGAGGCAAAGCTTGACCGCGCTCTCCCCTTCACACCAACTATGTCCAGCTCGCTCGTAGTGTTGTTGCTGATGCATACCACGTTCTCAACCATCTGTCAGACCTGTCCGGCTCGTCTGCGCCCCCCCCCCCCCATCACGGAAGAGACCGCGTGCTGCAGCAGCGTCTACTTGTCCAGCCGAGTGACGGAGCTGCTCGACGATTGAAGCGCCCTCGTAGAAGTCCCTGGCGCGGGAGGGACGAGCTTTTACTGCGCGAGGAGTAAGCAGGTCAGTACTTTCGGCTGAGCAGGAGGAAGAGGAACGACAGACTCTGAGCGAAAGCGCCCTCGATAGGCGAAGTCGGGCGAGTAGGGTGGGAGACAGACAATCCCGCAGTCTGGAAAGTCGAGGCAAGGGAGAGTTCAGCAGGAGAAGGAGGAAGGAAAGCGAGACGAGCATTCAGCGCACCTGAAGCCTCGACCGTCTCGATGAGCAGCTGGGTCTTGTGAATCGAGCACTTGCCCATGACGATGATGCTGTTCGGATGCGGAAAAGGGACGCATGGTGGGAATCTGAGGAAAGCGAAGAAGTGAGCCAAGTCCGGGAACAGCCAGTGGTGTGCGCCAGGAAGCGCACGAGCTCGCCGATGATGAAGTCACAGAACGTCGAGCTGTTCTGCGCGTCCTGGACTGCCGAGTAGGCGAGCATACCGTCGAGCGAGAGGGCGCCGACAAGACTATACTTCTTCGAGCGGGTCAAGGGGGTTGTTTTGTAGGCCGTACCCTTCCGGTCGCTGACGGCGTACGAGCAGCGTCTCGAGAATCGCAGATTGTTTCATCGACGAAGACGAGGTGTTCCGGCAAGATACGTTTCGAGTTGAGCAAGTCGACGAAGGCGAGGCGGCGTGCTTCGTATCGCTCCGAAGCGGTTGGGTGCAGCTTGTTGCGACAGGAACCCTCGGTCTCCGACTCTCTCAGCACCGTAATCGGACTCACAGATGGCCCAGCCGTCTCACGCTCCAGTCTCTCCGCGACCTCGTGTGCAGACAAGTCCGGCTCGGCTTCGACGATGGCGACGAGGTGCTCTTGTCTCCGAGGAGTGACTTTGCGAGGCCGGCCAGTCGACTTGCCTGCTTCCAACGAGCCTGTCGAGTCGAAGCGCTTCTGCCATCGAGCGAGGGTGGTCGGGTCGATCTTGTACAGCGCCGCGGTCTCGTGCAAGCTGCCAGACAATGCGAGGTGGTCGACAGCGCGTTTGCGCAGGTCAAGCGAGAGCGGTCCAGGCTTCTGAGCGTGTGTGTGAGCGGTGAAAGGGAGACCATCGCGAGCGAGGAGGACGCTCTTTCCACGACGACACGCTCCTCACGCTGACTGACTGTTGCTGGGTCGAGCGACTGCTGTTGTCGAGTCCACCTGGTCTACCTTGACCGCCCCGCACTCGCCCGCATCGCTTGCTTGGTCGCTCGCACCCGCTTCCCTCCCCACAGATGCCAAACAGCCTCGCTCTCGCTCTGTCCCAAGCGAGCGCCAACTCGAACGTGAGCCGGGCATCGCAGTCTCACAAGGCTACTCGAGGCGAGGACGAGGCGATCAAGCTGCTCAAAAAGCCCTTCGACCCTCATGCCTACACCCGCGCTGTTCGCCGCTTCAACTCGGCCGGCGAGATTACGGCGCAGGAAGACGAGGACGATGAAGAGCGTTCGGAGGTGATCACTCGCAGAAAGAGGCGGATCGACATGGCTGCCGCATCACAAGTCCCGTACCTCGAAACCTACACGGCCACCGACGGCCACATCCACCGGGAATGCGCCGTGACGGGTATCGCGCAGTCGGGAAGGCTGGAGGTTGCTCACCTGATCGCGCGCGAGGTTGGAGGAACGGTGCGTGATGGATGGAACCCTGCTGCTGCTTTCTCCGCCGTCTGAAACTTGACGTCGCAGGTCGGGCTACTGGTGAATGCGGGAGTCTTGCCGGAGGGGTCTGTTCACGACGATCCCTGGAACAGGATTCCTCGCGAGTCCTCTCGTACATGCTCGCTTCCTGGGCCACGGCTGACCGATTCGACCCAGTCTGCCACGACCTCCATACCGCGATGGACCATTTGCAGATGTCGTTCACCCCGATCGAAGACGAGCTCCTCGCTCGCTTGACCGCCGAGATCCAGTATCAGAAGCTGCGAGCCGACGATGACCCCGTCCGACCGCCCTTCTCTCTCTTCTACCAGCGCCTGGACGGACGCGAAGCCTACATCGACGCATTCTTCACCACGGACTTCCCCATGGACTACCTCATCCGGGGCGTCACGTACAAGGAGAAGACGCCAATCTCGTGGGCGACCAAACGCACGCAGGACGAGTCCGTCGCGAACGCCGACTGGCCTCGCCCGCCTCCATTTCGTTTCTACTGCAGCGGCAATGCTGTGATCGCGGCGATGCGCTCGCGAGTCGCGCAGCTCGACCCTGCGCCGGACGATGTAATCGAGAGGACGGCTGTGCGTCTCGCTACGCTTCTCTTCAGTCGACGCTTTGGCTGATTCAACGGCTTTTCGGCAGACGTTGGCTGCGCTCGTCAAGGAGCTGTGGGGTCTGTGGATGCTCAAGGATCCGGCTGTGGCGCGGAAGCGTGCGGAACGCGCAGCGACGCTCCTCCAAGATCGCTTCCCGAACTCTCCCTACACCGCCCTGCTCGACGCACCCGACTTCACTTACGACAAGATTCCCCTCCCTTCCCCTAGCTCTTACACCGACACCGCCGGCTACTTCATCCGAGCCTACGAGAACGGCAAACGTGCGCCCCTCCTCCGCCCGCTCGCGATCGCCGACGATCACGACGAAGCATCCAGCGCCTCGGACGAGAGCGCTCCTTGCATCTCGGATACAGCCTCATCGTTGGCCTACCCTTCCATCCCTGCATGCGAAAAACACGGCGAGTCGATCGCTTCCAACGAACTGTTCTCGAAGAACGAGACTATGCACGACGACGATGCGAAGGCTGATACGGCCAAGATAGAGGAGGGGCGACAGGGCGTCAAGTGGGAACTGTCGGAGTGGCAGCAGGAGCAGCAGGTCGGGCAGAGTGCTTCGTGATCTTTTCTCCTTCTATTCCCTTTCTCTCGTACTTTTCGGCGTCGTGACGCCCAGCTTGCAACGTAACTCGTGCTTCTTGTGGATCCGGCGTCCACGAGACGACTGCTCTTTGGCCCGCCTACTCACTCGCTCGCCAGGTCTCGCGAGCACGTACACAGTATGTATCTTATTGCCTCGGTCAGGGCTGGGGTAGGGTAAACGCAAAGGAAGCGAACGAAGAGAAAGGGGCACTTGGTACTACTCAGCAAGGCGAGAATTCAAGTGGCGCAGAGAGGAAGAGAGACGGCGACGAGCCCAGCTCAACATGTAAAGCGTCCTCTTCTCCGATCCGTATCCCTTCGATCAAGCGGCGGTGGAAGAAGCCACCTCTCCCTCCTCCTCTTCCTTCGACTCGGCCGCAGCGTCACCCTTCTCCGTCGGCGCAGGCTCCTTCGCCGCCTCGCTCGCCGCTCCATTCGTCTTCGGCTCGACTGCGCCCTCCTCGGCGCTCTTCTCTTCGCCAACATCGTTCTTCTGCCTCTTCGCGTCCGGTTCGCCCGCCTCGTCTTTCGCCTCCGCCGCCTCGGTTGACGCAGACGCAGAAGTAGGTGTCTCAGTAGGAACCGACTCGGTCGCATCAGGCTGGAGTGACCGTTTGCGCGGGTTCGACGGAGGCGGAGGAGGGATAGTCGGCGGTATGGGCGTCGAAGAAGCCGAGACGGAAGGATGAGGAGGTGGGACAGAGGCGGGAGCAGGGATCGGACTCGGCGCGGCAGGCGAAGCCTTTGCGTGCGGCGCCGGCGTAGAAAGACTCATGAGCGCATCGACGCCTTCGTCGTAATCCTCGTCGACGTTCCGCTGAGGCTGAGACTGCGACTGCGCTTGAGGCGGTTGTCGCGCAGCGTTCGCAACGCCATTCAAGACAGCCGCCGCTTTCGCCGCCGCGTCCTTCTCCTGCGCCTGAGCCTGAGCCTGAGCCTGCGCCTGCGCTTGAGCAGCCTTCTCCTTCTGAGCCTTCGTCTCGCGCTTCTTCTTCGGCGTCGTCGAGCCGGGCTCTCCATCCGCCCCAGCCGACGCCGCCGCAGCAGCCTTCCCCTTCCTCCCACCCTTCTTCGCAGGCGTCGCCCCCGCCCCGCCCTCCCCATCCTCCGTACTCGCCTTCTTCCGTCCTCCGCGGCCCTTCACAGGCACCGGAGCAGCCGCGACCGGTTCAGGCTTGACCTCGCCCGCAGCGGGCTGACCAGGATGCGAGCTGCCCGAGCTCCTTCTCCTTGCGTACTCGCCCGAAGACGAAGCAGCGGGTGGGTAGCCGCCGTAAGGACCTGGAGGGGGGTTGTCATAGAACGGGCCGCGCGAAGCTGGAGGAGGAGGAGGGTGGCGGTCGAAGGGATGAGGGTGGGCGTGCGGGTGCGGGTGCGGGTGGTGAGGCGGAGGAGGAGGAGGAGGGAGGTGGTGGGCGTGGTGGCCTGCAGCGGCGGCGGGATGAACAGGCGGAGAGTGAGGGTGCGCATGAGGGTGCATCCTCGGCGGAGGAGGCGGCGGACCATGAGCCGAACGAGGTCCAGCCGAACTACCCTGCCTCGATGCACCCGCTCGCTCCCAATCCATCGCATCGCCGTTCGCAGAAGGACCCGCAGCAAGGTGCGAAGGGAAGGGATAGCCGCCTGGAGGCGGAGGCGGAACATGCGAGTTCCCACCTTCGGTCGTACGCGTGCGAGGAGAAGGTGGCGAACCCGTCCGCTGCGCGACAGGCGCCGGACCGCGCCCGTCCGCCGCAAAGTTCTTGATCTGCGGGAGACGATGAGCAGCCGCACCAGTTCGGGGCGAGTGGTCGATCGAGTTCGAGGGGGAGTGGTGCGTGCCCGAGGTGCGGCGATAGGGGTCTGTCGAGCGAGGGCGCGAGCCCGCCGTGTTGGGCGGCTGCGGCTCGAAGCGGTGGCCGTTGATCAAGGGCGAGCCCGATCCTCCAGTCGGCGGCGGCGGAGGAGGCCCACCTCTCCCGCCCGTCCCAGGCGGACCCGCCGCAGACCCAGGCTGCGTCGGCAATGGCGGACTGACCTCCGGCCCCAATCCCGCCTGTCCAATCGACGCCGGCGCGCCACCCGAGTTGGTCGCATAGTTCCACGAGAGCGAGCTCGGGCTGATATCCTTCGGCGGCGGCGGCGACGAGAGCGGTGCGCCGCTGGCTTGGTGTTCGCGAATCTCGCGCAAGCGCTGCGCGACAGCCTGATTGGACGGGTCGAGCTGGAGCGTTCGCTGGTACGCGTCGATGGCGTCCGTCATCTGGTCGTTGCACGCCTCGTACAGCGCGCCGAGGTTGAACCACACTTCGCCGAGGTAAGGGTGTATCCGGATTGCGCGCGAGTAGGCGTCGAGGGCGTCGTGGAACTGGTTGATGTTGTAGTAGAGGACGCCGATCGAGCACCAGAACGCGGGGTTCTTCCCGTCCCGGTAGACGGCTTGCTGGTACGCCTCGTACGCCTTGCCAAAGTTGTTGGTCGTCATGTACGCCCGGCCGAGGAGGTACCACGAGAACGGGTCGTTCGGGTCTGCGAGCGCGAGCCCATCAGTACTCGTTCGACCGACTCGTGACTTGGGACTCGGAAGGCAACGCACCCGACTCGAGGGACTTGGTCAAGATCTGCACCGACACCTCGGGGTTATAGAACGGCGCCCTGGAGCGATGATACAGCCCTCCGAGTTGCTGCAGGACCTTGGCATGCGCCGGATTCTCCTGCAAGACGCGCTCGTACGACTCCTTCGCCGCGATGAACTGTCGCCGCACGCTCATTAGTTTTGGGAAGGGAGGGGAGGGGAGGAGGGAAGGGGCAACGCACATCTTTCTGCTGCTCGTAGACGTGGCCAATCTGGAACCAGATGTCGATTTCGGTGAGCGGTCGAGGCGGGTTGTTGAGGATGTAGCGGAAGCACTGTCCTCGCCCAACGCGCGTCAGCGAAATACTCCGCTTCGAGGGAGAGGAGGAACGAACACACCTCGAGACTCTGCGCCGACTTGCGCTGCTGCTTGTAGATGATCCCGAGCCGGAAGAAGATCTCATTCGCCTTCTCAAAGTCTGCTCAACCCGCTCTCGATCAGTCGCCGCTCTCGCTGGCTGGGTGAAGGGAAGGCTGGGCGAAGGGAAGGAGGAGCGCACTCGGGTCCATCCGGATCACGCTCGAGAACGCTTCTTCCGCATGCTCTAGGCTTCCGTAGCGGTCGTACAAGATCCCGATTCCGTACCACAGTTTCGGCTCCTGTATCGCGAAAAAGAGGCGGAGGTGAGAGGAGGGAGAAGGCGGTGCGGTGCGGGTCAGCTTTTCCTTCTTGGCGAACGGAGAGAGAGGAGAAGCGGGAAAGAGGAGGGATGAGACGAACGTGAGGATTCGGCATGTAGTAGAGCGCTTGCTGGTACGAGCTGTACGCCTTCTTGAGGTCGTCGATCATGAGGTAGCAGTGTCCTGCGAAAGCGCGCAAACGTCAGTACGCACAGGACTGCGAATTCCGCGGCCCTTCTCCCGCATCGCATAGGAGAAAAGCGCGCAGACGACGCGAGACTGACCCAACGCTCCCCAAACATCTCCGCTCTCCGGTGCGATCCCAACGACCCTCCCAAAGTACTCGGCCGCCTTCTTGAACTCCTCCCTCGAGCGACAGATAGCTGCGATCTGTGAGAGTGCGACGACGGAGTAGGCGTTGTGGCGCAGGGCGGATTCGTATGCTGCGATGGCGCGGTCGAGGTCGCCTACTGCTTCGGCGGTTTGGCCTGCGGGCGGAGCGGCTGTCAGCGACTCGACAGAGCAGAGAGAGGACACAGAAATTTGGGGTCTCGCGGAGAGGAGGAGCGGGAAGCGAAGGCGGTGCTCGAGACGCGGGAACGAAAGAACACACCAATCTGCAACCAAGTGGCCTCGGCCTCCTTGCCGAGCTTGACGAGCGACTCGATACGCGGATGATGCGCCATGGCGTCTGCAGCATGGTTGCGCTCCTGGCCCATGGCGAGGATTTGGAGCACCGACGGGCCTTGTTGTGGAGGTCCGCCGGCCATGGTGAGAGGCGGCGGCGGCGGAGGGTTGCCGTGTGCGCCCGAGTAGCCTGCCTGCACGCTTGGTGCGGCCATTGTCGGTAGTTCGAGAGAGGCGAGGCGGGTCGAAGGGAGCGAGCGGGAAGATCTGCCCGAAGGTTGGTTGTGGGTCGTCGGGAGAGGGAGGAGGGGAGACGGCGCTGCGGATTCGAACGCAGCGTGATCAGCCTGCGTGTGCTTGCCTGCTCAGCTGTTGCGAGGATGTGCGCACCGTGTTCAGTCTGTCCGACTCAGTCGAACCCGCTCACGAGAGGCGGGCGTGGAAGGTCCGGCGGCGGTTGCACCCGCTCCCAACGGCGAGTACGAGTGAGTGCTGGGGTGTTTGAGTGCGTCGAGTCAAGCGATCCAGTCCAGCCAGTCAGTGACAGCGTGTGAGCCGCGTCGCCCTGTGCGGTACGTTGAGAGTGAGCGGGCGAGGCGAGGACGAGCAAGAGGAGCAGGGACCTCGGGGCGCGGCGTTCCTGACCTTAGCGTGCGATGCTCAGGCACATCCAGGAGCCACGCGATCACGGAAAGCGCAGCAATCCACTCTCGCCGTCGCCGCCATCCGGCCTTCCCGCCTGCTTCCTTCCACCCGCACGCACCTCGCCTTGCACCAGCAGGACGGTGTGGAAGCTGCTTGGGGTGAACGGACCACGCCGCTCTGCCCGACCCTCGCGCGCGCACGGCAGGGTTCCTGCGAGTCGGCGCTAGCAGATGATGCTCCAGCTCTTCGTTCGTCCTCTCTCGCGTGCGCCGACGTTCGTCTCCAAGACCCCCGCCTCGCTTGCACGGATTGAGGCGGAGTCGTGCTGGCTCCTTGGCTCCGTGCGCCGAGCATCACGCTGTGCGGCTTCAGAGACGAGAGTCTCTCGCTTGAATCGACTGGATGTTCCCAGCACCTCTTGACACCCTCGCAGGGACGCCGGGGGCGGAACAAGTCGAACCCGAGCGAGTCGAGGGCAAACACTTTCACCGGATCGCACCTCGGCACACGGCGCGATCAGTAACCCGGCCCTGATCTCGTCCCGCCATTTTCGCTTCTCAATGAAAACGGGTCGAGAAGCTCCAGCTCGTCCGGGTGCCGCGTTCTCATGCGGTGGCGCTTTGTGTGGCATGGCTTGGAGCGGAAGACGGATTGTCCTCGCCGGAGACGAGACGAGACGATCTCCTCGACAACAAAAGAGCGACGGAGCATCCCATTCTCCTCGTTGTTCGGCTTCCAAGTCGAACGGGGCGAGAAGAACGCTCATTCGCTCGTTCGCTCGAACGCGACCCGCCGCCGCCGGCTCGGCAGCGCAGTGCCTCCCTTGGAGTCTCCGCTGATCCTGATCCTCGCTCTCGTTGCCAGACCGACGTCAACAAACGCATCTCGTCCTTCTTTTGTCATGCACGCATCTCGAGACACGCCCCTCCTCTCCCAGAACCTCGAGCTGCTGGTCGCGCGAGTCCAACCTCTTGGTTCCTCCTCCTCCGCCCTTTGCTCATCAGGAAGTCGGGTTGATTGCAAGCGCGACTTGCGTCTCGGCTTCGCACTCGGCAAGCAAGCAGGCGAAAGGGTTCGAGAAAGGCGTCGATCAATTCCGTCCGCTGCGCGTAAGAGGTGAGTCCGCTGCGCTTCTTTCGTGGTGAGCAGTAAGGGAGTTGCGAGGCGTTAAGGGCGGTGAAGAAAAGCGGGGAAAAGCGAAGGGAGAGAGAGTTTCGAAGACCCGCCGGCGAAGAATTAGGTCGACCTTCTCAACGAACCGCAGTCGTAGCGTACGCTAGCAACAGTGTCTAACTGCTTGTCAAACAGCTCTGTATGTACAGCCGTCAGCAAACACGTCGTGTCAACAGACGGAAACAGCAGCCCCGTTGACCTGTGGGTCGCGGAGGAAAGGCTGGACACGAGAGAGAGCGAGGAGAGGGAGCAGTTGGGTTGTCAGGGAAGAGACTGCTTGAGGGTAGGTGATGCTGGAAAGATGGAACAGAACAAGCGGAGTGAAGAAAGATGCGGTACGAAGCATGAAGAAAGATAACAGAAGCCGGACCTCCTCCCTCCTCCTCCGCCAGCGTCTCCAGCGTCTACTGACGGATCCTACCGATCGCCTCGCCGACCTTACGCTTCTGTCCATTCGGATCTCTCGACCTCAAAGCTGGGCGGAGCCTCGAGGCGAGTACGATAGTCGACCCTAACCAGAACTCGCCGACTTCGTCCCCTGCCCGCAAATGCTGTCCACCGAGTAGTTCGCTGGCAATGGTGTAGGTAGCTCCGCAAGGTGCCGGGCGTGAGGGGCCGGAGGGGGGAGTGCGGGCGGACTGCGGGAGGAGGGTTATCAGCGACCGCGACTTCGGAACCGCTCCCGTAGGAATGGCTTACTTGCGCCCTACCAGCAACAAATCAAGCGGATGTGCTTTCTGAAGTTGCCAAGAACAGCGGCAGGGCGTGGAGGAAAGGGTTCTGGGGGTCCAGCTTGACAACCTTCTCAGCGAAACGTCGCAGCGTAGGATGGGCCTTTCGCACGCATTCGTGTTGAGAAGACAGCGTGATGTACCTGAGCTCATTTTGCGCGCCTGAGGGTCCGAATCGAGGAGCGTGGTGTAGGGAGAGCGGGAGAAGCGCGTGCGGAGGAGGAGCGAGGCGTGGTGGGCGTGTGATAGGGCGGTTGAGGTGGAGGAGGAAATCGAGAGGGACCAGAGGACGGCGTAGAGAAGGAACCTGTCACAAGAGGGATCAGCCTTGCCGTAGCAAAAGCCCGTCGACTTGGAAGGATCGAAGGTGGACGCACCCGAGTGATTGCTACCGCTGCGGCGGCGGAGCGAGACTCAAGCTGCGCAACTCGGCCACTGATCGCCGCAGTCAGAGCGTTCCTTGATCAGTACAACTGGAATGGCGGCATTCTAAGTGGGCCGACTTCTTCCCCTCCGGCGGCGACGCCGAGCAAACCGACGGCTCGCGCTGCTCCCACGTCGTTCACCTCATGTCCACTCGTCTTGATAGTGTATTGCTAACCCGGAAGCAGCAGGAAGCAAATGGGAAGGGCAGCCCAACTCGCTTGCTTCCGAAACAGCGACGCACAATTCTTGAAGAGTACGCATTGACGGCGACAGATAGACTTGACGGTGTATACTACGCGCCCTGCGAGCCTAAGCGAGAGGGAAGGATACAAACGAGCAAGATCAGACCGCAGTCTGCTCGACCTGCTGCTCCTGCAACCACTCCGACAGTTCCCACTTCGCCCGCTGCCCCCCCTTCTCAAACGTCCTCGTTTCAAAGCTCTCGCCGCCATGCGAAGTCTCATCCTTCGAGAAAGATTCGTCGCTCTGCGCGAAAGCGGTCGACTCATCCAGCGTCTCGTATGCGGTGAGGGAAGGGTGAGGCGATGACGAGGCTGCGTCCGAACTGCAAGAAGCGCTGTCGTTTGAGGCGCTCAATGCTTCGTCATGATCGTCGGCGATGGCGAGCGGGCGGAGGAGGGGGGCACTTTTGCCGTTCGCGTAAGCTCGGATGAAGTAACCGCCTGTGTCGGTGTACGTGCTGGGAGATGGGAGCGGGATCTGGTCGTAGGTGAAACCGGGCGCGTCGAGCAGGGCGGTGTAGGGCGAGTTCGGGAAGTGACGGCGGAGAGCGGTCGCGGCACGCTGCGCGCGCTGCTTCCCCTTGGCTGCGTCCGTCAACATCCACAGAGCCCACAAATCCTGAACCAAGGCCTGCAGAATCTGCAGGAGAGCATGCGCGTCAACTCGAGGTAGCGATGGGTGAGAAACGAAAGTGAGACGAACCGCCGTCCGTTCGACAATCTCGTCTGGCGCCGGCTCAAGCTGGGCGATCCGCTTCCTCATCGTCGCAATGACTGCATTGCCACTGCAGTAGAAGAGGAAAGGCGGCAGGCCAGGTCGATGAGCTGTCGCGAGCATCTCCTCCTGTGTTCGTCGCGTAGACCACATACTGGACGAGTCGTCGTCCCAGGTAGTCCAGCGGAGGATGTATTTGCGGCGAGAATCAACGTCGAAGAAGAGCTCGACAAAGACGGGTCGTCCATCGAGGCGGGCGTAAAAGAGCGAGAAGGGAGGTCGCACAGGATCTTCGTCGCATCGCATCTCCTGATATCGAATCTCAGCGACGAGGCGGGCGATAACTTCGTCTTCGATCGGAGCGAGAGACAGATGCTGGTGGTCTAAGGCGTTGTGGATGTCGTGGCAGACTAGAGAGAAGGGGTCAGCCGCGCGACGCGAACGAGAAAGCGGGGACATCACTCACGGGGAACTTTGTTCCAGGGATCATCGTGGACGGATCCCTTCGGCAGAACTCCCGCATTGACCAGCGTCCCGACCTGCGATGCCGAACATCAGGTGATGCAGAAGCATAAATTGGTCAAAGTCCACCACGCACCGTGTCTCCGACCTCACGTGCAACCAAGTGCGCCACTTCCAGCCTTCCCGACTGCGCAATACCCGTCACGGCGCACTCGCGGTGGATGTAGGTGTGGCCATCGGTACCATCGAAAGTCTCGAAGTACGGCGCTTGGGAGGCGGCGGCCATGTCGATCTTAGCCACCTTCTTCTTCTTGCCAGGAGCCCTGCCAGGCTGCTCCTCTTCGTCGACCTTCTCTTCGACGGGCAATTGGCCGGTCGAGTTACAGAGGTGGACAGCACGAGTGTATGCGTGAGGATCGAAGGGATGGGTGATGAGCTTGACAGCTGTCGCTTCGGCCAAAGACGCCTTCTTCGACTGGGAGAGATGGCTTGCATTCGAGTTGCCGCTCGCTTGCGACGGGGGCGAGAGAGTGTCTGGCATTCTGCGCAGGGGTTCGAGGTCATCAGCGTGCGCTCGGTACGTAGTGGAGTACGGACGGAGCAGAAGAGCTGGCCGGTAGGCAGTCCACGCACCTTTCCTGCGCGTTGTGAGGTCCTCCCGCCGCGTACGAAGAGGTGCCGACGAGGTTGTCGATGAGGAGAAAGGGGAAGGCAGCGCGAGCGAGAGAGAGGCGGAAGGTAGCAGCGCAGGCTTTTTCTGGCGGCTCAATTGACTTGGAGCAGTTCTAGCCAGCAGTCCGCCTGTGTGACGATGCGAGAGCGCGAGAGAGGTGTTCCCCACTTCCTCTTCGACCTCGACCACCTCGCACAGCTCGCAGAATGGCTTCTATCAAGCTTTCGCCGGCTCTGAAGGCGCTCATTGCCGCTCCTCATGCTCACGGCGGGCCCGTCGCTGCCCGCTCAGCCGCCGACATCCAGTCAACTCTTCATCGGCTTGCGAACTCGGCAAGGGAGAACGGCGTTGGGAAGAAGGCGTGGCTGACCCTGGGGGTACGTACAGCCTCCAGTCTGTCCTGTGGAAGCGGCCGAGCTGACCCGAATGCTCGCAGAGTGCCGCACTTGTCACCCTGAACTCGCCGGAAACGCTTTGCGCCCTCTACCGCTTCGTGACGAAGGATGCGTCGGGCGATTCGAGGGCAGAGACGGCGGCAGAGTATGCAGCAGTGCGTGTTTAATCGTAATATCGTCGGAATCTGCTTGCTGACTCGGCAAACTCCCTTCGCAGGTGATGCGAGAAGCGGGACTAAAGACTATTTCGTTCTCTGGCATTCCCAGGGTGCGTAAGAGCGTCCCAGACACTTCAACCAGGCTGCTGACCAGCTGCGAGTCTTGCAGGCCATCAACAACCTCGGAGCGCTGCGGGAGTGCCTTGAGCCGGAGGTTGCGTCTCTTCTCTCTTCTCAGCCCACACGGCGAGTTGCCCTGCTCGAACCTACCCTCAATCCGACTGTGCTGACCAAACGCAAATCTGCGCAGACAACCAACGCCGACCAATCTCCCTGACATCCTCTCGTCCGCCAACTCTCTCTGGAACTCGATCTATGCCCCACACTCAACGAAACTCCTCCACAAACTCTCCCAGTCTCACCCGGACCTACCAGTCCACATCCTCTCCTCGCACTACGGCCCACTCCTCGCAGACCCGTTCGGCCCCCCTCCGTCTGGCCATGCGAAAGTCGGTCGGATCTTGACGAGCGTCGTGGCGATTGCGTGTCTGCGGGCGCAGGGTGGAGTAGGGCCGCAGGTTACGTCGCATGTGTTCGGACTGCGGAAGGCGGGTGAGAAGGGGAGTGGAGCGGAGTTGGAGGAGAAAGTTGAGGGCGGGGAGTGGCTCACGACGGAGGACGGCGCCAAGTGGGTCATTGAGCAGGTCGATGCGCTTGTGCAGCTTGTGCAGGGACCTACGTTTGCGCGGGCAAAGCTGTAGAAGCGCTCGGCTGGAGTTGAGAATGCCAAGGACTCGTTGAGAGTCGCCTCTTTTGCACGACCTATACAAGGGACGACGCTGAGAGATGCTAGTGATGCTGGAGAATGGAACAGAACAAAGTGAAGCGTAAACGACGCTCTACCAAGCACGAAGAAAGACGAAAGGAACCGAAAGTCCGCAACAACCGCAACAACTCTCCGCCTCCGCCTCCGCCTCCGCCTCCAAGCGCCTACTGACGAATCCTCCCGATCGCCTCTCCGACCTTAAGCTTCTGCCCGTTCGAAATCTCGAACTCAAAGCTGGGCGGAGCCTCGAAAACGAGCACGATAGTCGACCCCAACCAGAACCCGCCGATTTCGTCGCCCGCCCGCAAGGGCTGTCCACCGAGTAACTCGCTTGCGTTGGCGTACGTTGCTTCGCTGAATGTACCGGGTGTGACGGGGCGGAGGGGCGAGTTGGTGCGGAGGGACTGCGGGAGGAGGGTTGTCAGCGACCGCGGCCTTGAGGACGCTAGAACAGCTCCGGCAACGGGCTTTACACGCTGCAGGAGCATGTACAGTGTCCAAGATGCGATGGAAGCTCGTAAGCACCTCGTCAAAGTTGACACGGATGGAGCCGACGTTCGTGGCGCCAACCGGCGTCATCGAGAAGAAGCCGTAGCGCCAGCGACCGAGGAGGGCGACGCGCTCGTTGAGGACGAAGAGGTCCGCCAGCTTGCCAACCATCCAGGGCGAGACGGAGAAGAGTTCGCCGGCAAAGTGACGGCGCCGCTCGACGACCCAGCTCGTCGGGCTGTGGTAGCGATGGTAATCGCCGGGCGCGAGGTAGATGACGGAGAAGAAGAGCTTGTTGCCGTCGCGAGGTTCGAAGGCGGCCTTGGCGATCTCGGTCGCGACAGCAACGTCGCCGCTCAAACTGCGCTTCGGCCCATCGCGCTGGCGGTTTTGCTCGTCATTGCTCATCGAGGCGTCCTTGACGTTCTTGGCGTCCCTGAAGCCGTCGCCCGTGTCGCCGACGAGGTCACCGAGCGAGTATGAGATGCCGTTGACGTTCGCAAACTCCTTCTCGTCGAGCGAGATGGCCTCGGCGTTGTGCGGGTGCTCGGGAAGACCGTGCGGTCCTTCGACGGTGCCCGCCTCTCCCGCGCCCTGCAGCAGCGCCTGGAGCGAGTAGGTTGCGCCCTTGATCGAAGCAATCTGGCCGCCTTCGATGACGCCGAAATTGATGACACGTCCGTCCGCCGGCGAGACCTGCGTGGCGGGGCGTCAGTAGGTTTGCAGGGAGGAGGGACGGGAAGAACGCACTAGAGGCGCGTCCGCGATCGGTCGTACGCCTGGCTTGAGTCTCCGCATGAAGAACTCGCTCATGGACCGGTACTCGCGCAAGTCGGACGGATCACACTCGTCGAGGTTGACGCCAAAGACCCACGAATAGAACTTGTAGCCGGGAACGCGGAACCAGACAGGGAGTTCGTACGAGTTGACGAGGCCGTAGAGACGCGAGATGGAGCGGAGAGGGAGAGCGCCGATGACATGAACCTGCGCGAGCGAGGTGAGCTCGACCTTGAGAGCTAGCGCGGAATGCAAACGCACCTGCCAGGGACCTTGGACCTTGACAGCACCGTCAGGCAGCGGCTCCTTGCCCTTCTCCGATGCCTGCTTGTAGAGGGTGATGACGACGAGGACGGCAGCGCCGAGCGAGACGGGAATCGGAGACCATTTCGTGGGTGTCGACTGCCAGCGCTTACGCAGGCGAGCTGGAGAAAGAGAACGAGGTCAGGATCCCCACTTGCGCGCCAAGTTGCCGACCAGGAGAAGGAGGACGTACAGGCGAACGACTCGCGCGGTCCTTCTCCCTGCGAGCCCTGTTCTGCACCCTTCGAAGGCCCTGCGACTGGCTGCTCCGGCTGCTCGATTCCCTCCGATACCGGCCTCTGCTCGCGCGACCTCATCCTCGTCGACGACAACAAGCGCCTGGTGCCCGCCCTCGCGACCGCCGGGGCCCGCCAGACGACCTTGGGCGCACGGAGAAGCAATCCTGGACCACGCATGAGCAGCTGCGGCCCGCGCAGGATGATGTCGCGCTTCCTGAACCGGGGCGCGAGCGGGGACGATGAAGACGGCGGCTGGGAGGGTGGGACGGCGGACGAGTGCATCTGGCGGGCCGGCACAGCGCGCCTGTTGCGCAGCGCCGGAACCCAGCGTGGCATGCGTGGAGCGGTCGGCATCCTGGGCGAAGTGGAAGAGCGAGAGCAGAGCGACAAGGAAGAGGCTTGGGAGGCGACGACGGTCAAAAGACTGTTCGTAGCGCTGCTGGCGGATTGTGTAGTGTCACAGAGCTCTCTTCGAAGCTGTCTAAAGCTTTTGCAACCGACACGAAGTCGAGAGGGCAGCGAACGACCGTCTCTCCTCTCGCAGACGAGGACAGAGTCGCCCGCTCGTCGCGCAACAAACTCGTCCTGGTCAAGGCAAGAAAGCTCGAACATGCATACCGAAATGCAAAGGCGAAGGAGAGAACCGGGGTAAAGTACGATGCGGAGGAGGGGCGAGTCTTGCAAGGCGGAGTACAAACGACGTGCTTGACGAGAAGGGAGCGAAGGCGGGGCATGCTGCGAGCGATGAACAGAGAAAGAACGTCCGTAGTGAGGGAAGGAGAGCCGGAGAGCGAGGGAGGAAACGGAGGGAAGGCGGGCAAAGGGATACAGTCGGGCTTGAGGAGCGCCGATTTTGGTAGTGACAGGTAGTTAGTTGTACGAGCGTCGTGAGAGTGCAGGCGACGTGAAAGGGAAGGGCGGAGGGTTAGACGACTGCAGGAGCAGGAGCTTGTCAGTCGGGACAGCCGACGAGAAGCAAGTCGTCGGGACTCACAGAAGTGGGTAAGCTTGCGCGACATCGGATGCACGTCCATCTCCTCCATCTTGAAGCTGTTGAGCTCCTCCTTGATCTGCTGCGCGAGCAGCGGCGTCAAGCGGTTGCAGGTCGCAGGCTCGGCGCGGCGGTCGTAGATCGTCGCAGGCCAGGTCGTGTGGACCGAGAGGTTCTGAGCAAAGACAATGCGACGACGACCGCTGGAGCTTTGCGGTGCGGGGCGCATCGACGGCGACGAGGTAAAGTGGTTGAGGACGGGCGCCGAGGCGTTCAGGCCGGGGTTCGAGTACGGTCCCGAAGTAGTCGTCTCGGGGTGGACACGCGCAGCGGCCGACTCATGAATGAGCTCGGTAGGCGAAGGAGGGTGGATATCGTTGCGAGGCGAAGTCGACATGGGTGCGACACCGTCGACCTGCTGCTCAGACGGGATGGTGTTGACGAGCGCGGCGTTTCCGGGCGAGCCTGGGCGAGCTTGCTGCTGTGGTGCGTCGAACGAGCTGGCGCGGTTGCGGATGAAGGGGGCGCGAGGAGCAGCAAAGTCTTCCTGGCGGTAAGAGCCGGCACCTGGAGAAGGCATGGGTCAGCAAAGCTACGCTGAACTGGATTGCCGCCCAAACGCACCCTTGAGGATGCCCTTGACAGGCCGCACAGGTCCGCGTCGCGGTACAGCTCCTTCGCGGTACAAGCTGGGCTCGTACTCCTCCGAGTATTGGCCAGGGTCGCGGTCGTAAGTCGCGTACGGCTTGTTCGGCGGAGCGAGGATCTCCAAGCTCCCTCGGGGCGTCGTGTCGTCGTAGTGGCCGAGCGCCGAGCCGCCTCGCTCAGTCGCGGCATCGTCATTGACGGAAGCCGTCTCGCGCAGGTCCGTCTTGCTGCCGCCGAAACCGAGTCGACCTCGCAAGCCGAGGCCCTTGCGCGACTTGTCCTTGCGGATTGACGACGCATCTGACGCGCTTGACTCGGTGCGAGCGTGCGCGGGCAATTGCTCGAACGACCGAGGCGGGCCAAGTCGAGCTGCCTCCTCCGCCGCGGCCTGTCGCGCACGCTCCTCCTCCGCCTCCTGCTCAGCGTAAGCCATCTGCTGTTTGCGAGCGAGTGCAGCGGCAGGCGACATGCCGGACGACTGTGCCGCCCTCAAATCGTACTCAGCCGTCGCATGCGAGACGCTCGCATCAGCGACACCGGCCTTCTTCTTGTCCTTCTTGCCGCCGAGGAACTTGCCGCCGTTGACGTCGCGCTTGACAGCCGATTCGTCGTCCTTGCCCTTGTCCTTCTTGAAAGCCTTGGTGAGGCCCATCAAGCTGTTGCGACGAGCGAGCTTGCCCATCTGGCCGAGCTTGCGGATCATGACGGACGCAGACGAGACGGTCGACGAAATGGAGAGGTTGTCGGACGAGCCGTTGAACTTGCCGTTCATGAGGCGGAACCGACTCGAAGGCGGTTTTCGCGAGGTCGTCGTCGAAGCGCCGTCGCCGAGCACGCTCTGGGCGGACGAGGCAACTGAGGCGTGGCTCTGGTGCGTCGCGTACGGAACCTTTGGCGCAACAGCAGCCTCGCCCTCGGACGAGCTCGAGCTGTCCCGCCTCGCCCTAACACCGCCATTCAGCTGCTTCGGTCCTCGTCCGTCAAGCTCCGCCTCCGTCAACGTGCTCGAACTAGCCGAGTTGGAAACGCCAAACGCCTTCTTGAACCGCGATTTGATGCCCTTCTTCTCCTTCTCCTTCGCCGGGGTAGGTGCGGGCGCCGCAACTGGCGCGGCCGGCGCAGCAGGTCGAGGCACGACTTGCGCAGTGCTGATCGTTGCTGTCGCCTCGGCTGTACCGTCCGAGTCGGCACCATCGTCGCTACTGTCGTCGTGAGCCGGACCAGCGGCCAACGGCGACGGGCGAGTGCGGGCCTGGACAGGCGTGGCAGATCGGGCGGTGTCGAACGAGTTTGTACGGAGGGAAGACGAAGGACGGACGTGAGGGTCGGAGCGAGAGGAGGAGGACGCAGAAGAGTTGCCGCTGTCGGTGCGGGAGCGAGGGAAAGAGGGAGGAGCTTGCGTCTGCGGCACAGGGGCGTTCCTCGCGATCGGCGGTGACGAGCGACCTTGCGAGTTGACCGACGATGATGAGCCGGTGCGCGGGAACTGGTGCGGCAACGTCGGCGGACCGTAGCTCTCCTGCGCGAGTTGCGCGATAGAGACGCTACTCTCGTTCCTGCCGTGTTTCTGCGCGGCAGCTGCCCGCGCGGGACTCACGCTGCTGCCGTTCGACGACGTCGCACGGTGCGAGGAAGACCTGCTTCCGTCGGTATGGTGTCGTCGGTACGGGTGGTAGGCGGCATCTGCGCCTCGCGCGCTCGAGCCGTTGCTCGACCCACTCGAGTCGCCGCCGGCACGAGCGCCTTCGGTCGAGCCGGGAGGAGTAGGGTAACCGTGCACGCCGAACTGAGGAAGCATGGCGCCGGGCGGGAGAGACGGTACGGGAGGAGCCATGCCGCCGAGATGGAACGGCTGCTGGTGAAGGGAGGGCGAGGGCGAAGGAGGGTACGGGAGAGAAGAGTAGTTGAAGCTGGGCGAATGACCATGGCTGGGCGCAGGACCGGAAGTCGCTCGTCGTCGTGCTTGGCCTGAGTAGAAAGTGAGACGATGTCAGCGTGGTTTGCGGCTGAGAGTCGACGCGAAAGCAGCTCACCGTCCTGCTGATGCTTGATCATCTCCATCTGCCACTGCTGCTGGTAATGCTGCAAACGCTTCTGCTGATCGGGCGAGAGCTGACCGCCATTCGGCGTGACGAAGCCATTGGCGCCGTTGTAGGCAAACGCAGGCAGGCCGCCATGCGCATTGGGATGAGGTGAAGGGATGAAAGGGTAAGCGGGATTGGGATAAGCCTGGGCGAAGTGAGGGAATGGCTGGCCCTGGAAGGGCGGGAGCGCGACTTGCGCCATGTACGAGCCTTGCTGGAAAGGCTGCGACGAGGCTGGGAAGTAGCTTTGTGGCGACGAGGTGAGGTTGGGCGAGGGTGCGCCGCCGCCAAGGTGCGCCGGAGCGAGTCGCGGAAGAGCCGGGACGTTCGGCGCCGAGAAAGACGACGACGACGACGCGGCAGAAGCGGACTTCGAGTGAGCCTGTCCGTCGCCGCGGAGGGACGATGAAGAAGACGTTCGACCAACGGACGAGCTGCCGACCGACGTTGGCGGTGTCGACGAGGCGCGTGAAGGGGTGGGGAGGAGAGGAGGTGTCAAGCCGTCGTTCGCCGCGAGCGAGCTGCTGCTGCTCGATGCACTCGCATCCGCTCTCGGTGCACTTGCTGTTCGCGCCCGTGGTGGCTGACCCGACCCGCCCGGGCGAGTCGACGCAACCCCTCCTGCGACGGATCCTCCTGGCAGCCCACCTGCGCTGCTCCCTCCCGATCCCTCTCTCCGCGCGGCCGATCCAGCGTTCATCCCTGATGCGCCTGTCCTGCCCGCGCCCAATCCACCCGAAGTACTGGAGGAGCTAGTGCCTGGAGTCGTGGGAAGCGCTCGAACGAGAGTTGGCGGGGAGTCGGGGGAAGTTCGCGCGTACAGCGGCGCCGCTGAGGGGTACAGGCTGCCTGAGGGAGGAGGAGAAGGTGACACGAGTGCCATCGCGTCGCTGTTTGCGCGCACGAGGGACAACAAGAGGCCGTCCGAGGGGATCGTGCGGAAGGTGGAGGAGCGAGGGGTCCAGTCCAGGTCAGCTCGTCCTGCTCGGCTCGATGGATGGTATTGCGCGGTAGAAAGAGAGCAAAGGCACGCACCTGCGGTCCCACTGTCCCTATCACGCTGGGTGTCGAGGTGAGAGCGCTCGCAGACCGTGTCAGGGCCTCGGGGGTCGCTAGCTCGTGCTGAGACGAGGCCGGTGCGCGCAAGACGGGCTGGCCGGCGAGCGAGAGCCTCGTGCGAGCGTGCAAGCACACGCACGGCGCAAAGGAGCGAGTTGTGGCCGTTGAGTGTGTCGTCAAGAGCTGCGAGCAGCAGCGTGAAGGGGTCGCTTGTTGTCTCACTCCCTGGCGCTCGATATCGACTGCAATCAAGCTGGCGGAGTGTGCTCGTGCTGGTCGAGTACTGCCTGAACTCGAAGCAGCTCGAGGTCGACGCGAGGGAGACGTCTTCAGTCTCGTTTCGTTCGCGACAGGCGCAACGCTCCCGGCTGCGAGCTGGCTCTGCTTTCCTGGGACACCCGGCGATCCTGTCTAGCAGAACTCTCGTCGCAGCCGGGACAGCGCAAGCAAACGTTGCAGCCAAGGCGCGAAGCAGGGCGAAAGTTGCAAAGAGGGCGGAATGAATGCAAGGATGTACGAAGGCTGCTGCGAGGAAAGACAATGTATAATGCGAACGACAACGACGTGAGGGTACTGGAGCGGGCGGGCGGGCGAAAGGCAATGCAAGTAGGCTAGGCGAGGCTGAGTCGAGGCAAATGCGAGAGGCGACGAGCGAAACGGCTTTAGCAAGTCGCGGACGTAAGGCGATGCGAAGCGTAAGGTCGTGAGTATGCGGAGAAAGGCGATACAAGGCGTTGGCGAGGATGAGCAGGGTCGCCTGCCTAGGAGGGTGGAGTGTTGCGGCTGGCGGCGGCGGCAGCGGCGTGCTCCTGCTGCAGGAAGGCGACATACTGGAAGAGGAAGTGTACTTGATAAGGCGTCTCGATGGCTTTGATGCTGCGAAGCGAAGCAGAAGTTAGCGAGGAGAAAGGAGCAGCGCGACTTGGAAGTCGACGCACCTGCGCCTCCTGCGGATGAGCTCGACAACCCGCTCGACGATACCCATCGGGTCCTCTTCCTCGAACGGCACGTCCCGCGAGTCGCCTCCAGGAAGGGCCGATTGTCCAGCAACCAGGCCCATCTTGAGCATCCAACAAGACGCAACGAGGCCCGCCCGTCCGATCCCGCCTCGACAGTGCGCAAGGACCGACTTGCCTCGGAGCGTGTAGTCGCGAACGATGCGTGCGAGGTGGGCGTCGAGCGACTCGGGACTGTCGGGCGCGAAACCCTCGACCATCGGGATACGGATGACCTCGAGTCCGAGCAGGCGAGCCGAAGCGTGGTACTCCTCCCACGGCACGCCGAGGAAGGCGAGCTCGCGGTCGTCGATGCAGCAGACGACGAGGCCGACGCCGTACTCGTCTCGGGCGCGGCGGAGGTCGAGGAGGACGTCGCGGCAGATCGCGCCGCGGCCGTTGCGCAGCGGCTCACCGTTCATGCGAACTTTCTTGCCGGGGCAGGAGGAGAGGACGAAGTTTCCGAGCGAGGGCGCGCCGGCTTGCTTGTAGGGAAAGGCGAACGGGTCCGTCCTGAGCGTCGCGCACAGCGTGAGGAGGTCGGTCCGCGCCGAAGGTCGGACCAGGTGGCTAGACTGAGAGGGAGTTGGAGCATCGTCGTGGTCATCGGTCAAGCCGAGGCGCATGAGCTGACTCGAGAGGTGCGGGACGAGTTCGGGCGGGACAAGGGGCGAGATGCTGCCCAACAGTCGTGTTAGTACGGGCAGGAAAAGGACAGAGAGCGTCTCCGAAGCGCACTTGATAGGGTGGCTGACGCTCGTCTTGACGGGCACGCCGTTAATCACCTTCATGCCCGGCAAGAGACCTGGAATGGGAGGCGGCTCGTCGACGACAAGACCTGCGTCGGCGGATGGGATCGTCTCGGAGATGACGACGCTTGACGCAGACTGCTGGACCGAGACCGGCTCGCCTGCAGCGAGGTCTTCGAGCAGGCTTTCAGCGACTTGACTGTCTGTCGAGGCGGCTCGAGTCGGCGAGGAAGGGGCAGTACCAGACGTCGACAAAGCCGGAGTCGAGGTCGAGGCAAAGTTGAAGGTTGCGAGAGACGGCGTGAGGCTCGTCTGTGCAGAGGAGATCGCAAGCTTGGCTGGCGTGCTGCCAGGTCGTGCGTGCTGAGCCGGCTGTGCGAGAGCGGGAGCGGGAGCGGGCTCATCGACCGCTTGCGCAATGTTCGTGATGCTCGACGTCGCGCTGGCACCGCCGGCGGCTGCTGCAGCTTCTGGTCGTGCAGAGGTCGCAAGGGTCGTCGGCGTGGACTGGCTGGCGAAGCCTGCTTCGCTGGTGGGAGGCGCCTCGGCTGCAGCAGCGATCGTCTGCTTGAGCTTGTTGTACTCGCTGTAGCTGCCAGATCGAAGGATGTCAGCGTCTGCGTGGGAAGAAAGCGGTCGAGCTTCGGTACGCACACATGCTGGGAGCACATCCGCGCAAACGTCCAATGCAACGGACCTCCCGACATGTCCTCGTACTCCTGCATCTGCCTCTCGGCCGTCGCCATCTGCGTCGACCCGTCGTGCACCTCGAGGTCGTCCCTGTCGAGGCCAGCAAGTCGTTCGCCGCCCGGGATCGCAACTCCAAGCCCCACGAGCGCTTCGAGCGCCGCCTCCGGAGGTGTACTCGGGATGATCGAGTCGACGTCGACGTCTGCCTGTGCAGGACTGCGAGACTCGCAATCCCGGCCGCCCTTCAACCTCAGTTCGATCGCGACCTCTTCCGCCACATTCGACAGCCTCGTTCGAAGCACCCGCGGGCTCACAGCCTCTGCATCACCCCCTGCCTTTGGGCTAGCGGTCGGACTGGCGCGGTAGGTCCGTTTGCTGGGTGATGAAACGGAGGGTCGTGGCGGAGCAGTTGCTGGCGGCTCGACAGAGGGGGGGGCACCTGCTGCGGTCGTTGCGGGCATCTCAGCGAATAGTGTGCTGCTTCGTCACCCTCCAAGTCGCCTTCCTTTGCTTCGTGCGGCTGGCGACGTCGAGTACTGAGCGTCGACGGTGCGCTAACTGATGAAGACGCGAGGAGGACTGGCGGTGGTGTGGCGGGCTGGCGGTGGGCTCAGGCGATACTCTAGCAGTCCAGCGGTAGTCTCAAGCACCGAGGAAGCCAAAGGAAGCGAGCGGGCGAGTGAGAAGACGAGGAAGAGCTCTCGCTGCGTTGGCCTGGCCCCTCGACGACGACAAGTGGGGTGGGCCAGCCTTCTGGGCGCTCTCGACGACTCCCGTGCGTTCATTGGTATTGGTCAAGAGGATTAGAGAACAAGGGGAGCCAAGCGGCTGCGACGCAGACTCGTCCCTCGAGGAACCTTCGCAACTTTCTCGAGTCCGCTTCCTCGGCTCGAACGCTCACGCAAGTTGGTTGATGCATGCTCCGTTTGCACAAATAAGTCGTCCCCAGCCTCTATGACACGACAGACGAACGTACAAAACCCGATTAAACCCTAGCAACCTCCTTCCTCTTCCTGGCGACTCTATCGCCCGGTGTAATGGCGCTCGATGAGGCGGAAGACGGGGTAGGTGATGGCCGTGAAGCCGAATGCGAGTTCGAAGCCGATGTCCATGCCGAACGGAGGCGCGACGAGTCCTCCGATGCGGCCGACGTACCCTGTTTCGCAGGAAGACATTGCCAGGTTAGCGGCTGTCGCAGAAGGGCATGGAGGAGCGAATAGGACTTGCACGTCTGGCTCATGCCGAGCACAGCGCCAGCGACACCGAATCCAGCGGAAACGGCAGCAGCGATACCGACGGGCAACTTCTTGTAATTGTTGTAGTCGTCGAGGTTGTATCCCTGCCATCCGCGGCGGATAAAGTAGTGCTCGATGAGGAGGATGCAAGAGTAGATGGCGAGCCAGTCTGTGCGATAAAGGAGAATCAGTAACGAGCTCAAGTAGAAGGAAGTCCGCCGACCGCTGGCAAGGGAGGGGTGACTCACAGGAGAGGATGACGAGGAGGGTGTCGAATGCGCTCTCGAAGCTGTTGTAGCCAGCCTCGGCGAGTGCGATGTAGATGGCCGTGCAGACGATGCAGAGGAAGAAGCGGGGGATGGCCTGGCAGTACTTGCCGAAGGCCTGGAAAGTGAGGGCGAAAGAGTAGACGTTCGGGATGTTGTCTGTTCGTGCGAAGTGTGTCAACACGTGGGTGAGCAGGAGAGAAAGGCAGGCGGAACGCACTGAAGACGATCGACATGGCGAGGACGACGAGGAGGAAGCGTCCGAATCCGCCCATAGCTATGGATCGGCACGAGTCAGTACCGTTCGTGAAGTCAAGACCCGCAAGTATGAAGGCGAGCGGTGCAGCTGAAGAAGGAGGAGAGGCAACGGAGGAAGTAAAAACTCACGTCCAACGAGAGGCGCACCGAGGAGACCACCAAGACCGCCCTTGTCGTACGCGTCGGCCCAGGTGGTCTTGTCAACAAAGGTGGTCATCATGAGTGCGCCGAGGCACTCGACAAAGACGAGCGGGAAGTTGAGGCCGATGTAGGTCGAGAGGAAGACCTTCCAGTCGGGGGTCTCGGCGGGGAAGTTGACGGTGTAGTCGGCTGCGAGGGAGGTCCATCCGAGTGCGAAACCGGCGATCGTGCCGCCGAAGGAGAGGACGGAGGCTGCCTCGCCCTCGCCAACGCCACCCATCCCGCCGTGCATGTACTTGCCGGCCTGGCCGAACATGATGCAGAAGATCACGAAGATGGGGACGGAGCCGTAGCGCTCGAAGGCGTGGACGTAGCGGTAGCCGAAGAGCGAGACGACGAGGGTGATCAAGGCGATGATGATGATGCCGACAGGCTCGGGGAGCTGGTGCGAGTCCGAGACGGCCTTGAGCGCCGACGCGCCGACGATGGTGTTGATGGTGGACTGTCGCACGCGCAGAAGAGGTCAGTGGAGGAAGGACAACGTAAGCGGAGCGAATGGGAAGCGCACCCAGCCGATGCAAGCCAAGCAGTTGAGCGCGATGGGGAAGAGGATGGTCCAGGGGCCGAACGAGAAGCGGCCGAGGATCATCTGACGGAGACCAGTCGACTTGCCCCAGCAGGAGAAGACGGCGACCGGCAGAGTCGTGAGGAGGTCTAGCGGGAGAAAGAGGAAAGCAGGTCAGTCGACGAGCGCTCGAGGGAGCGCGTCAAGGATGAGCGTACTGAAGAAAAGGATGGTCAAGCACGCGTCGGTGCCCTTGAGCTCCCAGATCGAGTTGCCGAGGGTGCCCAGGGAGAAGGTCGAGATGGTCATGTTCGCAGACGCCCAGAGGTAGCCGGCATCAAACACGCCGCTGTTCGCGTTCGAGCGTCAGGAGGCGCGTTCGATAGGATGCACGAGCGGGTAGAGCTCACGTGTGGTGACGCTCGTTGGGCGGGACGCGCTCGACACCGCGGACCTCGACGCCGTAGCTGTCGAGCTTCATGGCGACTTTCCACAGCCATCCGATGACTCCCTTGTCGCGGTTGACGCCGTCGTGCGCAGAGACGACCTCTGCACCCGACTCGAGGTGCGGCGCTGTCGCAGCGCCCTTTTCCTCGACGTCGTAGGCATCCTTGATTTCGCCCGAGTGGCTGGAGGTCGACATGGTCTGTATGCGGTGGGGGAGGGGGACTTGCGGGATGCAAGAGGAAGGGAGGGGAGTCGACGAAGGGGAGCCTTCGCTGCGATAGACGTGCGCTGCTGGCGATGGAGAGCGAGGCAAAGGAGGGGGAGACGGAGCGAGAGCAAGCTGGTTCCGTCCGTGCGTTCCGGCTTTGCCCAGGCACGTACACCCTTCTCCGCACCCCGATAAGCTGCTTTTTCTTTCTGCCAGCACCTGGCGTCACGGCGTCGTTCTGCGAAGGGGTCGAGCACCTCCATGGACGACCTCGAGCGCCCTTCGCTTGCCCTTCGCAAGTTCGAGGCAACCTCCTATCCTCGTCCTCGCTCATCCCGCCCCTCCTGCGCCATGGAAAGCACACGCCCATCGTGAAATCTTTGCCAGTCGTGTGCACCGGCCAGCACGCCCCGGGCAGCTCGCCGCACGACGAGGGGACTCCGCTTTTCGCGCCTCGTTCTTACACCCGACGGAGTCCGACCGCGTGGCCGGCGTGCACGCGCTTGAAATCGTCAAGCGGGGGAGCCGGGACAGTCCAGATTCGATTGCGTCGCTGCCCGTCGGCGTCCGGCTCCAAAGTCCTGAAGCGAGCAGTCTCGCCCGCGCTTCTCCTCGTCGAAAGAACCCCGCCAACTTCGCCGAACGAGTGCGTTCCGCGTCGCTCAGATCGTATCAAGCTCGCTGGTATCGCAGATTTCCCGCTTCCTCCGCCCGCTGACGCCGAAGCTTCCCCTCGCTCGCCTCCACCAAAAGTCCGTGCTGCCGACCGCCGACCGACATGCTCGCCCCCAAAGAAGCCGTGAAGACCCCGCCTACAGCGAACCCGTCCGAGTTCGACCTGCAGAACATCCGCCATGCCATCTTCCAGGCTGAGCAAGGGCTGGCGGAGGAGGGCGTGCCCATCGGAGCAGCTCTCGTCCGGAAGGATGGCGTCGTGATTGGTGTTGGGCGGAACCGCCGCGTGCAGCAGAAGTCGGCGACGAGGCATGGGGAGACGGGTGCGCTGGGTCCGTTCGTACAGGCTGCGCTCAGGCGAGTTGACCGCCGCGTCTCGTCTCGTGTCGCAGACTGCCTCGAGGTCATCGGACGTCTGCCTGCTTCCGTCTACAAGGACTGCACGTGCGTTGTGCTCAGCTGCTGTTTGCTACGAGTGCCAGCTCGTTGACCCGCTACTCCTCTTCGCAGGATGTACACGTGAGGACCCGCTCCTCCTCAACTTATTGCTTCCCACCCGCTTCTCTCGCTCGACAGTTCCGACGGGCTTCCTTCGCTCTACCACTTCGACGCTGACTCCGACGCATCTTTTCCACGCACAGCACCCTCTCACCTTGCTCGATGTGCTCCGGCGCCATGATCCTCTTCGGCATCAAGCGATGCGTGATGGGCGAGAACGACACTTTCCTCGGTCCGTCCCGTCCTCCCTCCTCTTATTCTTCTCACTGACAATGCGGCTATGGCGCGACAGGCGGTGAGAGCATCCTCCAGGCGCACGGCGTCGAAGTTGTGAACCTCAACCTCGACTCGTGCAAGAAGCTCATGGCTACGTTCATTGAGAAGTACCCGGAGGTGTGGAACGAGGATATCGGAGAGGAGGACAAGTAAGGTGGTGAGGGAGTGGAGGGAGGAGCGGAGCGTATGGTGCGTCTCCTTCTGCCGACTCTTTCCCTCCTTCCCAAGATTCGCGCTGACCTCGCCCGGCAGTCCTAGCTCTCGTCAGGCCTCTCTGCCTTGCTCAGCCACCCTGTCGTTCGCATTGCCGCATCATTGTAAAGAAAAGACGCAGTCAACTTCGCCTCAGGCTCGTTTCGCTGGCTGGGCAGCTGGCGACAGCCTCGCTTCACTCGCTCGGTACTATCACGACTTTGAATGCCTGCAAACCGTCGTGAGCGAAGGAGAAGGAAAGGCAGACCACGCCCCCTTTTCGCGAGGAGGCGAGACGCTCGCACTCGACCTTCCCAAACCGTCCTCCTCGTGTGCGTTGGCTCTCAGCCAGGTGGACACACCTTGTTCAGGCGTTCCTTGCCGATTCGAGCAGCATGCGTGCGCTCGGGGAGAACAGCAATCAGGACCCGAACCGATCGTCGTGCCGACAGCCTCCTCCTCCTCATCCCTTGGCTTCTCGCTCGCTCTGTGCTCCATCACACTCGCTCGCTGAGCAAGCTCGATTCGTAGGCGACGCTGGTCGTCGCTCTTGGGCTACTCACGACCGCAGCATCGCCTCTCGCGTCCAGCTTCACTCCCTCGACGACAGGCGGCGAACTGCTCCTCGACACCCTCTCGTCGTCCAATGCCAGGCCCAACGATGCGCGATCCTTCCGTCCAAGCCTCTCGACGTCGTCGGCTCTCCCTCAAAGCGCTCAAGAACCCCTTTCGCCGAACTTCCGACACACCCAGCTTCGACTTTCCGGCTTTCGAACCTCCTCCTTTGCCTGGTCCCGACGACGACCTCCCTCCTTCACCTCCGAGGGTCGAGATACGCGTTGAGAGGGCGACAGCGAATGGGTTGTCGAAGAAGTTGAGGAGGAGAAGCTTGATTGAGCGTGTGCAGGGGGAGAAGGAGTTGGTGGCTGAGCAGAAGGCGAGGAAGGAGCGTGGAAGCGATAGGCGCAAGTCAAGCCTGTCGACGGCGTGTGATGCGGCGGAGATCAAGGAGCGGTGGATGAGGCAGCAAGATGCGGTCGTCCTCGCCAAGGACCTCGAGGTCTCGCTCCTCGTTCCGCCTGCGTCCGACACGCCCAGCAGCAACTTCCGCTTCCCTTCGCTTGAACCGAGTCCTCGAGGGAGCAGCGTCCAGCATGGCTCGCCTTCGCCTCGACAAGCGGACGGACCTTTCCCAACTCTGCCTTACTCGACCTACACTCCGCCTGTCGAACCTCCAGCTTCACCGACGACCCGAGACATCATGAGAACAATGGCGAAGCCCTTCCCTTCGAAGCCCGTCGCACCGCGCGCAATCGACCACTCTCGTAACCAGTCGACGACCGATTCGCTCGTAACTCCCGCTTCCTCCACCGACCTGGACGAGACGCGCCAGCTCTCCTACATGTTCCCGGTACCTCCGGAACGTACGTCGCCGCGGCAGCCCGACCAGGCGACGTTGCCACCCTTATCCACGTGCTCCTTTTCTGCGGCAGGCCCGCAAGACTCGGATGCAATCCTCGTCTCGCCAAAGGATGCCTTTGGCCCTCGCCCTCTACGAGCGGAGCAACGACCAGTCTCGGCGGTCGAAGCCTCGTCGACGGCTCGACCTTGGACGCCCGTTGAACAGCGACGACCTTCCTCAATGTCCTTTCTTCCCGCTGCTCCTGTCCCGTTGCGCCGACTCTCCCGCGCCGGTACCTCCGACTCCCTCGACCTCGCGACGACCTCGTCGCAAGCCAGGGGAGGAAGCACAGCAGGCGTCGTCCGCCGACCCATCTCGATCCCTTCGCAACGAGGCGGCCAGCGAATCAGCGCGTCGCTCCTCCTTGCAGGCGACGTGCCCGCGCCCGTGCACGGCGCAGGAAGCGTTCGAGGGCAGGACCGCGCGAGTTGGGCGTCGATGCAGTCGCAGGCTTCGAGCGGGAGTGGGAGAGGCGGGTCGGGAGGAGACCAGCGGCGGTCGAGTAAGCGGTTGAGCAGGGCGGAGGGTTGGTATGAGGAGGACGAGGAGCAAGTGGAGCGCGTGCAGGACCATGTGCTCGATCCGAAGATGGAGGCGCTCGTACGCGAGTTGGGTATCTGAGGGGGGTCGGGGACAAGGTGTTGTAACTTGCTGTCGTTCTTTACGCAGCGTCGATGCATGGAGGTTGACTCGTCGAATCGTCGTTACAAGCGTGCTCCTCCCTCCCGCTACATCTGGAGCTTCGTCACATCCCAACGCTCGAAGCTGAAGTCGTCGTCCCGCGTCGCCCGTGTCGCCCGCAGCTCGTGCCCGCGCAGCCACGTACGCCGGATGTACAGTTGAAGAACAGATGTTGAGCGCAGGAAGACAAGGAGCTGAGCCAGCAACGGCTGTTCCGCCGCTAGTCTCTGCGGTTCGAGGCAAGCGGCGAGCTTCTTCATCGAGATTGGTTTGTGAGGAATCGACGTCGTGTACATGACACTCTCGTATGCCGTGATGTCAATGACGAGGCGGATGAGCGAGGGGAAATGCGAGAGGAAGCGGGCGAGCGAAGGCCATCCCTCAGCCTGCGCACAAGTCTCTAAGCAGTCTTGAGAGCGGCCGCGAGGAAGTAGGACGTACCTCGTGGGTATCGCCCATCCCATCAACCACGAGCTGGAGGATCTTGACATTTGGTAGCGAGACGTCGTCACCCAGTGTCGGCCATGAAGCGCCAGACGCCTGGATAACTTCGAGACCTGAGATGGCTGACGAGGCGGCGTAAGTGATGATGGTCGCTGCCATGTCCTGGGCGGAGCGGGCGGTCCTATCCGATGTGTCGTGGTAGTTAGGGTCGATGTGCAGACTCAGGGAACGGAGCGGAGAACGTTGCGAGTTAGTCTGCAAGCTCGTGCGGTCAGTGCGGCAAAATGTGCGGGTGACAAGTTGCAACAGACGAGAAGGAGGGATTGCTGCAGCTGTGACTCGACGAGATCCGCCATGAACTCATACCAATGGCGAAAAGTTACGTGCAAATTAGCGGCGGCGTCCCAGACGTTGGCAGTGCCGACACTGCTCCAGTAGGATACGGACAGGGTTTGTAGAGATGCACAGCGCCGCAGGAAAAGCTCCGTCAAGTCGTCACTGAGCGGGAGATCAAGGCGGTGAAGCGAGGGCGGAAAGTTGGGCAAGTCGCTGAAGTCCTCGGACCGCAAGCCTTCAAAGCTGAAGAGGCCAATCTCCGTCAATGACGAGCGCTGTGTCAACGTCTTGAGGCACAGGGCGGCAGCTCGCCGCTGGTGGTCGCCCTCGACATCGTCGACGACGTCGAGCGAGAGGAAGACCTCGCTGAGAAGGGGAAGATTGGCGACGGCGACCGTCATCAACGGCAAGAGTTCCCCGGATACCTCGACGCGAAGCGCCCGAACGACGGCACTCTGTTGCTGGTTCGCCGACAGCTGACGCAGGTGCACGTCGGGTTTGCGTTCGATGCAGAGACGGCTCATGCGAACAGCGAAGCCGATCCGCCAGATGCGCTTGTTGACGAGTAGGTAGTCGATTCGTCCCGCGGTAGGAGTCTTCCAGAAGTTGGTAGACCACAGGAGGATCTGCTCGAGCACTTCGTCCGGGAGGTCGAGGAGGTTCGTCGGGCGGCGCGCCGCTGTTGCCCCAGGCGAGTTGTCAGCTTAGCGTTGAAGTCCCACTGAGCCATGCAGCACTACGCACCTTGCGCTTGTCCTTGAGCAGTCGCCTCATCAGTCCTCGCAGGTCCAGTCGGGGCAGTCGTCCTGATCAGCGCTTGCGAAGTCGCGCGGCCGGTGTCGGAAGTGACAAGAGAGTCTTGCGCAGCAGTCACAGCCATCTGAGCGGGAATCTGAGCGTGTGAGCAAGCCAAGGTGAGGCGTTCAGGACGAAGAGAGGTTTGGCGCCGTCCGTCCACGTCGACTCGCTCGAAAGGGTCTAGCAGCCCGCGCAAAGCGTGGAAGGACCGCTCTCAATGCTACTGAGCCGAACTCGACAAGTCCTCCTACCCCTTGCCTCGTCTTCTGCCCTCCTCTCCTTCGCCCCCACTCGCAACATGTCCTCGTCGTCCTCGCCCTTTCCGGCGTACCTGCTACATGCGCCATTCCTCGCAGTACAGCCGCCGAACCCCGCCGACGGATCGAGCGCCCCCGGACAGCTCCTCCAACGAACTCTTCCTCCCGCTCCGCTCTATTACACCCATCCTGCGCCCAAAAACCCGCCAGGTACAGCTCCTCCCGTCGTCTCCCTCACACCCACCGATCCTATACAGGGTCGCATCTCGACAGTCTACCGAGCGACGGCACCGACGGGCGAGAAACTCGTTCTCAAGTATGGAACGGACTTGCTCGCCCTGATGCGAGAGGCAGAGGAGGTCTACGTCAACTTGCCGGCCGGCGGGTTGCCCATTCCGACGTTCTGGGGAATCTTCGAGGGCAAGGTGTTGGAGGAGCAGACCAAGTCGCTCGTCATGGTCATGGAAGACTGCGGCGAGCCGGTCCAGGGCGGTTTCGAGGCGCTGACTCGGGCAGAGCGGTTCGTCTTGCGCCTCCTATCGCTTCCTAGCGCTCCTCTGGAATCGACTGACCCCACGCAACCCGCAGACAAAAGCTCTTTGACGCCCTCGACACCTTCCACTCGATCCACTTCCAGCACGGCTCCTTCTCCCCCTCCTCCATCGTCGCTCGACCCGCCTCCACGCCTTCTGAAACCGTCTCGCCCTTATCCGCCACGACGGAAGCGCCCGCTCGGAAACTCACGATTGTCGGGTTCTCGCAGGCCGAGTGGCATCTGTGTCCTGGGGTGGACAGCTGCAATGAGCTGGTCGAGGCGAGGAGGGTGCTGAAGCTGGACGAGCCAGTGGAGGTGTAGGCGGTAGATGCGAGCAGCAGCACTAGAGGTTTTCGCAGAGACTGGCTGGCTTCGCTCGCAGTCTGCATCTGATTCTGCGAGGAACCGTGCAAGCGTTTACAAGCGAGGAAGACGACGTGAACTACGCGGGACTTGGTGCGAAGCGGCAACTGAAGGTAGCGGTCGTTTCGAAGAGCGCTACGACTCGTCGTCGGTGCTGCCGGCGGACGAATGAGACGCATCCGTATCGGTGGCATCCTGGGAGCGAAGAGGTCAGCAGCGGCACTTCACGAGGACCGGACGAAAACGTACGCCGGGGCACGTGAGCATGACCCACTGCACCTGACCCTCGAACGGAATCTTGGCCAACGCGAGCGCGCTCTTCTCCTTCTGCCTGTAGCAGTAGAAGCAGAAGAAACGCGTCCCGTTAGGCGTGTCTGCGGCTGGCGTGCGCTTGAAGTGCCTTCGCTCCGAGAGAGGCAAGTAGAGACATCCCAAACTGCCTTCGACCAGAGATGGGGGAAAGCTCATGAGGACCGATTGGATGAGGCTGTCCTTGTTTGGCTTGAGACTTGCTACTCGATAGTCGAAGACGACAAGCTTGCGCAGGGACGACAGTTGCGGCAGGAAGACGAGGAGGTCCTCGAAGAGATCGCCGATACGACCGTACAGGCAAAGCGAACGCAAATTCGAGGCCGGCGCAAAGGACCAGAGCTCAGTCTCAGTCTCGAAGTTGAAGATGTTTAGCTCCAGCAGACGAAGCGGATCTGTTGAGGCAGCAACGTCGGCGCAGATTTCGGTGGCCTGATCTCCTCCGGGAGGAAGCCAGATTTCGAGCTTGCTCAATGCGAGACGTGCACCGACATTGCTTGGCGATGCGGTAGCACTCGCGGAGCGTTCGTCGCTCGCATCGAACAGGACGCTTAACGTCTCGAGCGACGGCATCTTCGCCAACTGGTCCACGTTCGTCCGCCACTCCGCACAAGTCGTCCTGAAGTCGACATCTTCGACGGTCGACCAGCTGAGCCCGTCTGCGAGCGTTGCGAGCGCTGCGGAACTGCCGGCAATGTTCTTGAGGTGGACATTGCTGAGCTTAGGGCAGCGCCCGAGCAGCTCGATCACCGCAGCTGATGCCTCCTTCACTGTTGGGCGCTCGCCTCCAGACCGGCCGTTCATTTGAGGCGCAACAAAGGAGATCGAACGGACGAAGTCCGTTTGCTGCGGGTTCCTGAGGAGGTATTGGAGAACGTCTCCTCCGTCGAACGGCAGCAGAAGGTCGCGCAGCGCAATGCGGTAGCCGTAGTCGCGCCAAGCCTGGCAGACGCCTGCGAGGAGGAAGCCCTGCCTCAGGCGCTCGCTGTCCTTCGTACCTGCGCGGAGATGCTCGAAGATGACTGTCTGGACGTCGTGCGGCAGGCTGGTGATCGGCATGGTGTGTCGAGGATCTGTTCAGGCATCGGACGGTCAGCACAAGCCCTCGCGAGTCACTGAGCGAGCCAAGGATGCAGGCTCTGATGAGAAACGGCGAGCAGAAGAAGGCGACGAGCACGCAGCGCGGGTCGGTCTCGGTAGCTCAACAAGCTTAGTAGGAGTCTGGACAGTGCCTCGCGAGCACTCTGGCAGCGAATCGAGGAGAGCGGCGAGGTGGACAACGAAGAGATGCTGTCATCGCAGGCTTAGCCTCCCACAACACGCTTATACACGCTCAGAGTCCTCGCTTAGCTACTAGGACATCGCTGAGCAGCCCGACGAGCCTGCTCGACGCCCCGCTCGCGGCAACGTCTCGTCCCTCGCGACCTCTCGCTCCTTCAACACCCCGGACCATCCTTGCAGCAGCACGCAACCTCGAGTCTGAGCCGGCCGGCTTCAACGAGACTTTCTGTGATGGTATCAGCGGACGTAGGCCCAATTGGGACACCTACTCGCGCCGAGCGACCCTTGTCACCCTCGACCTCCCCCACCTTTTCCCGTTCCGCCTCCGTCACTCTCGAGCCGTACGACTCGCCGCTCAAGCCCACGCACGCAGATTCAACTTACGCCTCGGGCGGTCAGGAGACGGACTTAGCAGAGGAGGACGAGGATGGAGATCTCGGTGTGCGACTGAGCAGGCGGGACAAGGGTAAGGGGAGGGCGGTAGACGAGGAGGGACAGCCTGGGAGCATGCAGAGGAGGGAAGGAGAGGTGCAAATTCAGGTGCAGGAGGAAGCGGACGAGGTTGACGACGCCGCAGAGGAGCGAAGGGTGCAGGAGGTGCGTCTGCGCGCTAGTCTCGGGGGCTATCGTCCCAAAGCTGACGCATTGCGTCGCAGAACCTCGCACGATGGTCCCGGGCAGACGCGAAACGACGAGCGTCGCTGCGACGCTCGACGACGAAACTCGTCTACCCTTCTCTCCCTTCTCCTCCGCCTCTTCCCCCGGCCTCCACCTTGATACGCCGCACATCGACGCTGCTATGGACCGGCAGCACACGTCGACGAGGGACGGGAAGCGTGGATGCAGAAGAGCTGGAGCTTGGCAGAGCCGGGCAAGCGGCGGGAGAGTCGAGCGTGTCGGACCGCCGCGGCAGGCGACGACTGAGCGTCAAGATCGATTCTGGCCGAGACGGCTCACTCGATGAACAGTCTGAAGCCTCACCTGCGCCGCAAGATACGAAAGGATTCGCTCGACTGGCGGAGGAGGATGAGGAACTCGCACAAACACCGATCTCGGAGCGCCCGTCAGCCGACTCCGCCCAGAATCCCTTCTCCTCGTCGAACGCCTCCTTCGCGACTTTTGACACGGCCCAAACGCAGAAGACGATTCGTACGACCCGGACAGGCTCGCGCTTCGTCGAAGACCTCCCTCCTCTGCCGCAATCCCCACCTTCGCCTTCTTCGTCCCTGAATCGAGATCCGTTCACCTCGCCTCACGCTTCACCGTCCAAGCCGGCACATCACATTGTCGACGTGATCGTTACGCACCCCACCCCTTCCCGCCCAACACCCTTCTCCCGCCCATCTCAGCAAAGCGTCGCGACGTTCGCCTCTACCACCGCACCTTCCTTTGCGTCCGAGGCAACTACGATGACGTATCATCGCCAGCTCGGTCGTCCAGACTCGCCTGAAGCGTACAGCACAGGCTCGAGTCCGCTCGCTTCACCTGGCCTTGGCAGCGCACGAAGACGGCGGGCAGGCGGTCGCGAAGGAGATGGTCGAAGCGACTCGAACGACTCGTATGGTCGACAAGGGCTTGAGAAGGAAGAAGAGATCGGATGGCTTGATTGGCTGCTGTGCGGATGCTTCCGGACGGGGACAGGGCAGCGAGACGAGGAGGTCGAGCAGCAGGGGCGGACGAATCCAATGGAGTAGTAGGTCTCGGCGATAGTCGAATGTTGCAACAGTATCACCTTAGGTGGAACGATCAGTTCGAGTTCGTGGCGAACAATGCGAGTTGCGAGGATGAGAGCGTACAACACCAACGTCGATGCTCAATATACTGCTGTGGCACTGGTCTATGCGCTCGCTCGCTCCTTCGCCCATGCCAATCCGCTGTCTAGTCGCGCGAGCACCTCCGCCTTGCCGAGGACCGAGACGATGTCCGGAACGCTTGCACCGACCTGCGACAGAGAATCAGGTCAGTCTCGCGCTACGCGAGGAGCTGCAGGCAAATAACGCTCACCTTCTGACCCGTCAGAGCATGCCTGAGCGGCATCATAATCTCCTTCGCCGCCTTCTTCCCGTCCGGGTGGCTCAAGACGAGCTGGTCCAGCGCCTCTTTGACGGGACTAGGTGCGTTGGGGATACTTTGCGGCTCGAAAGCCGAGTCGGGAAGTGAAGAGACGAGGTCGCGGACTTTTGAGAGTGTTGAGGCTACGAAGGAAAGGTCAGTTCTGCGCGAGCGGCGAAAGGCGCACGGCAGAACGTACTGTAGACTTCGGGCGAGACGCTCTGGTAGAGCTTGGTCGCAAGTGCCGATGAGTAGTCGGGCGCGAAGAAGAAGTAGGGGCCGAGGGAGGGGATGTCAAGCAGCTTGTAGATCCGGTCCTGCGGAAGAGGCGAGTCAGCAGCGAATCTTAGCAGAGCGAAGGCATGACACGCACCTTGAGCGCCTCAACAACCCTGATCACGTAGCTCTCGTCAGCGAGCGCCGGCTTTTCCTCCGACAGCTCCGGCCACTTGTCCACCAAGATCTGCCTCGCCCGCTTCGCCAACTCCGCCCTTCCTCCGCCCTCGCTTCGGTCCTCCAGCTTCAGCCGAATGTGAGCTCGATTCAGGAAGTCGAGTTTCGCAGCCTGCATCGACGCGCGATTCTTGTTGACGGCTTCGAGCGAGAACTGGGCGATCAAGTCATGGAGAGGGAGGACGTCGGTGTTGTCGGAATTGGGTACGGCGGAGGCGGCTGACTCGGAGTCTTCCGGAGGCGAAGAAGAGGCGGAGGACTGAGGGGACCAGCCCATCAGGGCAACGAAGTTGAGGAGCGCTTCGGGTTCGTAGCTCTTGGCCTGCGGGGATTTGGAGTCAACGATCAAGCCGGACGAATCATGCTGCAGATTGAAGCAAGTGAAGAGGCGCAGAAAGGAGGCTCGGCTGACGTACAATGTAGTCCTCAACCCGCACATCGCCCGCCCTCTTGCTCAGCTTGCTGCCGTCCGGATTGACGAGGAGGGGGAGGTGTGCGAACTTTGGCCGTGGCAATCCAAGCGCATCGTAGAGCTGCATGTGCTTGGGCGTCGATGGTAGCCATTCCTGCTCACGGAGTAGAGGGTCAGCAACCCCTTCGCTCTGCTTGTCCTTAGAAACGTACCTCTCCTCGCAGGACGTGCGTGATGCCCATCTCGTGATCGTCGACGACGTTCGCAAAGTGGTAGGTCGGCAGTCCGTCCGACTTGCGCAGGACAAAGTCCTCGAGCGGCAGCGAGTCGTAGTGGATCGAGTCGTAGATGAGGTCTTCCTGCGTCATTGAGGCGTTCGAGCTCTGCAAAATCAACGTACGAGCAACGAGTTCGTCAGCTCAGGTGGACGAAAACGTATCGAGGACGCTAGACTCGCCTTGAACCGCACGATGTTCCTTTCGCCCTTCGCTAACCGTTCCTGCACCTCTTCCTCCGACAAGCCGAGACATCTCCGATCGTAGCCCTCGTTCGAACCTTCCTTCTGTAACCGTTTCCGCGTCGAGGCGAGTCGTTCGGGCGTGCAGAAGCAGCGGTAGGCTTTGCCTGACTGCGACTTGCTACAGGTAAGTCTCCGAATTTCACAAGCATCAATCTCGACCGAAGAGGTAGACGACTTCTCGAGAACTGTGCGTGTGCGGGACTCACCGAAATGAGCGGCTCGAGATAGCGATCGTACACCTCCTTTCGCTGCGACTGGAAGTACGGGCCTTTTCCGCCGTCCCGTCCTGGACCTGCGCGATACAAAATTCCTTCAGCGAAGCTCCTGACAGCTTGACGACCCCAAGATCTGCAGAGCAGTCTCAAACGCACCTTCGTCAAAGTCTAGCTTCGCCCATTCCAGCGTCCGCAACAGTGACTCGACGGCTCCTTCGACGTAGCGTGTCTGTGAGCATCCACCAAGCTCGTCAGCGCCTCGCTAGCTCCAGAGAGACCCGATTCGTAGCTGCCGAACGAGCAGAACGCACCTGATCCGTATCCTCGATCCTCAGCACCCACTTTCCGCCCAGTTTCCTCGCCAGCAGGTGGTTGTACAGAGCTGTTCGGAGGCCGCCGAGGTGCAAGTAGCCTGTCGGAGAGGGCGCGAACCGGAGTTTGGGCGGTGTCGATGATGAAGTTGTGGGATTCGAGCAGCCGGCGTGCAGTGGTCGTTGGGAGGCGGAGAAAGCGCGAGACCCGTACTTCAGCTGTCCAGTAGCACAGTGAGCTTGTCGGCTGAGCCGCAGAAGGTGTGGCTGAGCTCGCGCGAGCATGTTGAAGTCGAAGGAGATGAAGTCAGTTGGGCTGTCCCTCTCCCACTCGCTCACTCTCGCTATGAAGCCGCTCAGGATGAAGGAGACGTTCAATCCGGACGAGGCAGTCCTGCGGGCAGAGCGCCGCGCCGCCCGCAAGTCGCGCAAGAAGCGAGCAGCTCGCGCCGAATCCCTCACTCCGCCACGCTCTCGCTCTCGACCGCCCGCAACGACCGTTGCACCCGACGACTGGGGTTTCGACGAGTCCGCCCTCCCGCCCGAACAGGCGTACAAGAAGACCCGGACGGACGACGAGTTCTACGAGAGTTTGGCGGACGCGGAAGCGCAGGATCAGGGCGTGGGATACTATGAAGACGAGCTTTACGCTCGTCAGGTCCCTGCGTATGCGAGTCACTATGGCAGTGCGGCGGCAGCAGCGGCGGGGATCGAGCCTGGGGGAAAGGGGAATTGGCTGAACCAGATGGACGACGAGGAGTACGCCGAATGGGTGCGGGCCGGGATGTGGCGGCGACGGAACAAGGAGGAGCTGGAGCGGATAGAGCGGGCGGAGAAGGAGAGGAAGGCGAAGGAGGAGAAGGAACGGGTCGAACGGGAGAAACGGACGCGGGAGGAGAGGGAACGGATACGAAGGTTGGAGAAGCGCAAGAAGCGCAAGTCGGAAGAAGAGGAGAAGGCTGCGAGGGCGCGGTACGAGGACGGCTGGAAGAAGTTGCAGCAGGCCGTCGCGACGACCGCTCCTCCCGCCTCGACCGACACCGCGACAGACGGCGACTCTTCCTCCTCCGGCACCTCTACGCCTGCCTTCCCTCTCCGCTTCACCGACTTTCCCTGGCCGCTTTACCCACCAATGGCTTTCCCTCCGCTCTCCTGGCCCGCCCTCACCGATATCACCTCCACCGCCATCTCGACCTTCCTCCTCCCTCCCTCTCTGCAAGCCGACAAACACAAAGCCGTTCTCCGACAAGCCGTACTCGCCTACCATCCGGACAGGTTCGAGCGATACGTCCTCAAGATCCCAGAGGAGAAGGAGGACGTGCGGGAGAGGGTGCGCGAGTTGGGCTTGCGGGTTAGCCAGGTCTTGAACGACCTGTCGAAGAAGGGGGCGTAGGAAGAGAGGATTGTGCGTGAGGAGGCGGCGATGGGATCGTTATGACGGCTGTACCCTGTTGTTGTGCGAACAGCGTTTGCTCGTCCTTCTTCCGCTCGTGCTGCTCGGGACGGCGCTGCGGGCTAGCGTTCTTTTTGCTGACACTCACTACCCGTTGTACCTCACGCTTACGGTGAACTCCGCGAGAGAAAGCCAACAGAACAAACAATGCATATCAAGACCCACTCGCCTCCCTCTACAACTTCGCCCTCGAGTTCGCCGCGGTCCCCGGTCCATCCGCAAACAGTTCAATGTGCTGCACCGCCAGCGACCCGACGAGCGGGAAGATCTTTGCGTGCTGGGCGGCTTTCGCGGACGAGGCGTTTCCTTGCGCGACGCGCGCTGCGATGCCTTGCGTGATGACGGCGAGCTGTGGAATGCGCACCCGTTCAAATCGTCGCAGTCAGCAAGAGAGCTTGAGCGACGAAAAGATCGAGTGGACGAGACTCACGCGGAAGAACGCGAAACTGACACAGCCCTCCCACCTCCTCTTTCCCCTCATCGCCTTCTCCTGCGTATCGATATCGACGTTGCCCATCGCGCTGACTTTCGCGGTGGACTCGTCGCCGCCCATGGCGGTGATGAAGTCGAGACCCATGTGGGAGCACCAGGAGGAGAGGAGAGTTGAGGGAGGGGGAATGGGGAGGGCAGAGGGTGGAATGCCCCTGCGAGCGACGTTGAAAGCGTAAGCGGGCTTGGTTTGACGACTGCATGTCGCCGTCGAAGCGGGACGACCGCCTCGAATCTGAGAAGGCCCCTCTTCGCACGCCAAAAACGCACCTCAAACCCGTCAAGTATCCCTGCCCGCCGCTCTCACTCGGGATATAGAAAGGCTGGAGGAGGTTGGCGAGGTCCGAGTAGGGGTGGCCGAGGGTTGAGAGTTCCCAGTCGAGGACACCGATTACGCGCGGTTCGGTTGGGTGGAAGATCTGCCGTGACGAGGAGTGTCAGTCCTGCGCGTCGAGGATACACTGAAGTACAGCGGTCGTGTTCCGCCGGAACAGGACAGCGGATGCGAGGTCGGCCTCTACGCACCATGTTGTCAACCTTGAAGTCCCCATGAATGACCCTCGCCTCCAAACTCCTCCCGTTTGTACCCGCATCAAAGCCCTTGTCCGCCTCAGTCCCAGGCAAGTTGCGCCCGTACCAGTCGAGCAAGAAGTCAATGCGCGGGATAGGGCCGACAGGTTTGCCGGTCTTTGCGTTGACGACTTCTGACTGCGCTTGTGAGACTTTCGAGAGTGATCTGCGCGGACGTGCGTCAGTGGAGGGAGAGTGAGAGAACGGAGGAACGCACCGGATCTGGCGAGGGTAGAAAGCGGCTGTCGAGCCGTAGTCTCCCAAGCCGATTTTCTGCGGGTCGAGCGCGTGCAGAGCCGCCAGCGTCTGGATGATCGACATCCACCTGGGCAAGAGCGTCGTCAGCAAGCTGTCGAGTGGCACAGGAAAAGGCGCGACCCACAAAGCCTCCCTCTCCTCCTTGGTCTTGATTTCCGGCATGCGGACGTCCTCAAACTTGCGACCCTTGAGGTACTCCATCAAGTACCACTGCCTCCCGATGACGCTCTCGTCCTTGCAGAGGTGGTAGACCTTGGGGACTGGCACGCTGCCGTCCTTGCCGAGCGCATCGAGGATGCGGTATTCGCGGTCGATGGCGTGTGCGGTTTTGGAGATGAGCGGGCCGGGCGGGCGGGTGCGGACGACGTAGCGCTTGCCGTTGTTGCCCGAGAGAAAATACGTCGGGTTCCTGCGTGCGAAGTGACCGGCTGTGAGTGTGAGCCGGCGAGTTGAGGAGGTGGGGAAGAGCGAACGGACGCACGACTGGCCAAAGCTGAACTGGAACACCTCGCTGTCAATCTTGAAGCCCTTGACTTTGTCCTCGATGTACGCGCGGAGCTTGTCCACGTCGAGGGGAGTCCTGCGAGCGTTTTCGAGCCGGTGTTCGATGAGTGGGGAGCGACGGAGGGCGGGAACAACGCAGTGCGCACCTGATGGGCCCGTACTCTGTCTCTGAGGGAATAGCCATCGTGGCAAGCGCAGTCTGAGCCGTAGCGAGCGAGAGTGAGCGAGGAGAGCAACGAGGCGAAGTGGAAGCCTCCGGGGACTCGACGCGCGCCGACACCGGAGACGATTCGCGACAGAGCGACATCGATGCAGCGGCTGGCGAGTATGCGCTACCTCTTGAGAACGACAAGCTGATGACCCTCTCCAAGTACGAACCGGAACGAACGAGAGACGGCGTCGCAATCGCACGCAAGGCAACTCGAAAGTCCCTCCGTCCTCACTCGCCAATTACCTCCCTGACGACCGTCTCGAACCGTATCCGTCGCTTGTCGAGCCCTGCCACGTCTCGCCGCTGCCCCGCCCGCGAGTACATCCTCCACAACCCGCTCAGCGCCGCCTTCAACGCCTCCTCCTCCTCCTCCTCCTCGCCCACTCTTTCCTCCTCCCGCTCAACCTCCTTCTCTCCCCACTCTCCCTCCTCCCTCTCCTCCAACACGCCCTGAGGATCCCCCATCGTCCCCCTCACAAGCTCCTCCAGCATCCCCGTCAACCCCGTCGCCGTACTATCCACACTCCTCCTATGCCTTTCCGGCGGAGAGGGGAGGGCAAACGAAGGCGCGATAGAGCTGGAGGGAAAGACAGCGAGCGAGGGGAGAGGGGTAGTTTGCGAGCCTTGTCGCTGGACGGGCGCAGATGAAAGGGTCTGGGGAGGAGGAGGGGCGATGGCAATTGTGTTTGCCGACGAGCCTGATGAGCTTGGGCTTGAGGAGGCTGAAGAATTCGAAGCGGCTGGAGGAGCCCAGAACCCCCCGTTCCTCACGGGAGATCTCAGCCCCTCTCCAGCTCCTCCTGCAGCGCCATTCGATACAGCCTTCGGCGTCCTCGGCACGCCCGAGCTACTTTGCGAGCGCTGAGTGTGCGGTCTCTTACTCAGCGAGGACGAGGGCGAGGCGAAAGAGTGAGAGTGTGAGACGGTGCGTGTTGGAGTCCGAGGTGCAGGAGCTGGTGGGAGTGCTTTTGCCGGACTTCTCGGCGCCGAAGTCGGACTCGATGCTGAGGTCGAAGGATACGAAGCACTCGTAGGCGTTCGCGCAGGCGACGTCGGACTCCTCTGCGCCGTCTGCACCGGGAAAGTCCCCCTCGGCGGACTCGTGCCCCCTCCCCCTCCTCCTCCGGGGGCGTTCACATACACCGACCCCTCCAGCACCTGCGTCGTGGCCACCCCGATCCCGTTCGCAATCGCATTCGAAGCGGGTCGTGGGCGTGAGACGACTGGGAAAGCGGGGACTGAGGGGAGGGCTTTGAGGATATCTGAGGGAGTGCGGGCGTGGACCTTGGGGCGTGAGCGTGTTGGGGAGGGACGAGACTGGCTTTGCGACTGGGCGGTTGAGAGGGGAGGAAGGACGACTTGAGCGAGTGAGGCAGATCGAGCGGGTCCGACGTCCAATCTCCTCGGCGTAAACTCCTCCTCCTCCTCGCCGTCCTCACTGAGCTCAATAAGGAAATCGTAATGCGACCCTCCGCTCCGCACAGAAGCAGCCGTATCGGTCGCCGAGAACCGCGAGATTTCCGGGTTGGGTTGGGTAGGGGAGATCCCGAAATGTGAGTCTGGGAGAGGGGGGAGGGTGGTGGAGAAGTAGAGTGGTCGTGCGTCCGCAGCGGGGTCAGAGGTGGAGGAGGAGGAGGAGGGGAGGGAAGAGGCCGAGTCGCGGGTGAAGTGGAATGAGGGTTGCGGGTTGTGAGGAGCGAGAGGTGTAGGTGGCGTCGAGTCGTCCTCTCCTAATCGCTCGAGCCGGGGGTCGTTGTCTTCCTCGCCGACTTGGCTCCCAACCCCGCTGTACGAATCCCAGTACCCCTTCTCCTCGTCTTCCTCCGTCTCTCCTTCCGCTTCCCGTCCATTAGGCGTCTTCGCTCCGTCTTGCTCTTCTCCCTCCTCCTCGTCCCACCCAGCCCAAAAGTGCTCCGCGCTCGCAATCGCTCCTCCATTCCGCTCTTCTCCCTCCTCCTCGTCCTCCTCCTCAGCCGCGGCTCTTCGCAAACTCGCCGCGTTAGATTCGTACCCCGCCATAGAAGCCATCAACTTCTCCTTCTCCTCTCCCCTCGCACTCTGCTTCCCACCCTTTACATCTACACCTCCTCCACTACTTGCAATACCCAGCGCTTGTACGAGTCCTGCGGTAGAGGCGGCAAGTGCTTCATCCAGCGAGGGGTACCACGATTGTCTGGCGGAGTGGGTAAAGGGTGAGGGAAGAGCTTGGAGTTCGAGGAAGGTCCATCCTGGTCGGACGTCGTCTTCTTCTTCCTCGTCCGCTGGCTGTGGTGCGCCACCCTGAGCGGCGGAGAGAGGGGAGACAGCGCCTTCCCAGACCAGTACGACGCCTAGCGCGGCGGAAGAAGAGGAGGAGGGAGAGTGTGGGAGCGAGAGAGGGATGAGGCAGCGCAGTTCTTCGAGGTCATGGGAGAAGAGCGGGGCGGAGGGGGTGAGGTCGTCGAGCGAACCGGCTGTGCGCACGCAGGGTGATTACATCAGCGTCGTCTGGAACGAAAAGAGCGGACAACAACGCCTGAAGACAGTCCCCGAAACGCACCTTCGACAACTTCCCTCCTCAACCGGCTCACCTCCTCGTCCTTCCTTCCGAGCGTCCAATACTCGTCGTCCTCCGCCGTCAATCCAAGGTAATGCGCGGCCTGTTGCGCCGACTGAGCGAGCAGAGTGCGCGGGAGGTTGATCGGGTCTGCGCTGAGGATGAGGGGGAGGAGGGGGACGAGGAAGGACAAGGGCGGGGTTTCTGCGGGTGCTCGTTGCGGTTGTGGCATGCTCGAGTCTTGCCAGAGTCTTGCGAGAGCGTGAGAGCGGAGTGAAGGAACGACGAGGGGAAGGCGATCGCTCGTTCCAGGCTCACTCGAGTTCATCACCACTCAACGTCCACTCTCCCGCTTGTGGATGCTATCGTGCACGCGCAGTCGAAGCAGAGGCACAAGGTGATCCTGCTAAGATGGGCGCACTCACTCGTCGAGGCCGCATCGTGGGTGGTGTTCTCCCTTCTCCTCAAAGCTGATGAGGGCGTGGTAGGCTGGCAGCGGGCGGTGGGGACTTTGTGCTCCGTTCAGAGTGTCGAGATTGGTGTACGGGAGGAGGACACGGGCTGGCTTTGACGGTCAGACGATGCACCATCGCTGGAATCGCTAACTTTCCTCCTCAGCCCTCCCCTTTGCCTCCCCAACGGCTCGTTCTTCCGCCTCGCGCCTTGCGACTCAGCCGGTGCCCTTCCTACGGAGTCTCGACATGCTCTAGCATCGACTGCACCAGCTACAGATCCGCCGACGCGCTCGCAACCCGCCCATCACACGGCTCACAACCGGCACCTCGCTGGCTTGGCCTTGCACCGTCGCCTCACAAGGTGGAGACTGCAGTCTCAGCTACATTGTCGCTGCCTCAGCTCAGTAATGCTCCTCCAGCTTGCCTGACCTCCCACCGCCACTGTCCCTGGACGAGCCACACGTTCGTCTCTCGCACTTTCGGCTCAATCCGCCTCCCATGCCTCACGCGCCCTTCCCGCCGTGCTCTACCAGCTCCCACTTGCCACTACCAAGGCCACACGCCGTTGCGCATGTCGTTCGAGCCCAACAACGCGTTCAGTCGCGCGACGCCATTTGGGTGTGATCGTTAATTGACGGACCTCTTCTCTTCTAGAAGCCCACAGTCCGCCGCCGAACAGACAGAACTCTCGCTCACACTGCTATCCTGCCGAGTAATAGGGAGCGGAGAGAGGGGATGCCCGGGACAAAGGGTTTCACGTCCGCGAGGCCTGCTCAGGGGAAAAAGAGTTTGAGCGGGTCTGGAATCCATACTCGGTAGGCTCGATTACTCCTGACTGTATTCGCGAGAGCTATTAGTCGCCATCTCGCCTCGTCGCCCGCTTGTCATACCTCGACCTCCTCCCGCTGCACCTCCTCTCGCTCGCTCTCGACGGACCCAAGCTCGACACCGACTCGCAGGCAGGTTCTTAGCGAGCGACTTGACGAGCTTACGCCTGAGCCGTGCTCTTTCCTTCCTGTGAGTCCTGGTCCGTTGAAGGCGGAGTGCCAACCCACGAGGGAGGTGAGAGGGGGTGGGTCGAACGGGTCTCGCAGCGCACGGGCGGGGTTGGGCTTGTCAGGCAAGGGCTGTGGAGCTCCTAGCAGGCCTTGCAGCCTTCGAGCGAACCCGTTCAAGCCGTTGCGAGCTCCATCACCCACTCCCCCCTCCTCCTCATCAAATCCCCACCTCTCGATCCCGTCCTCACACCAGCTTGACTGACTCGCGTTCGTGGGTTCTGGACTCGCAGTACGACCAAAACCGCTTGCAGAGCGGAACGACCCGACTAGGTGGTGTGTAAGACCTGGACGACCGGACGACGGCGACCCACCCTTCTCTCGCTTCTCTCGACTTGCGCCTTTCGGTTCTCGCTTCGAGCGGATCCGCCTCGATAGCCTTCCAACACCCCTCGCTCGTCCCGCCTGACCTCTCTCCGCTTCTCGCCAAAAATTCCGCCGTCGGACCCCTTCCTCCCTCTTCATCACACCCCATCCTCTACCTTCTCCCTATCCGCCTTCCTTACTCCCTTAGCCGCACACCATGTCCTCCCCCTCCACCCGCTCCACCTCCCGCCCGCAGCGCAAAGAGCGTCAAACGCGGCTACAAGAGCACCTGAGGACTGTGAAAGGTCCGGGAGGCGGGAGGAGCGCGAGTCCTGCTTCTGCTTCGGCGCCGAAGGGTGCGCAGAGGGGACGGGGGGCGGGTGCGAAGGACGTGGAGGAGCAGGAGGCACAGGAGGAGGCTGGGGAGGCGAATAAGGCGGGGAGGCCGAGGAGGAGGGCTGCGCAGAGGGTCGTGATGAAGGAGGTCGAGTCGAGTAGCGAGTCGGAGCAGGATGACGCGGGCACCGAGCAGGAGGAGGAAGAGGAAGAGGTTGAAGAGGAGGAGAAGAAACCCCGCCGTGGGGCGTCAAGACGGACGAAGAAGCGACCCTCGCCGCAGCAGGAGAGCGACGACGAGCTTGCTCCCGCTATCAAGACCTCGGTGTCGACTCCCGCCCGCCCTTCTACCTCCGCCCGCAAGTCGCCCTCGAAGCAGCCTCCGCCCTCCTCTGCGCCGGCGAGCAAACGCAGGCGTGAGCCGAGCAACCTCGACCTGCGGAATGTCGAGGAGATGGATGCGGCGGAGGTCAAGCGCAGGCTGGAAAAGGAGAAGAGCGAGTTGATGGCTCGGCTTTCGCAGCATGGGTGCGTCTCGCTGAAGACTAGCCCTTTTTCAGAAGCGTTGCTGACGCTGGTATCGCGCCCGCAGCATCGTCCCGCAGGCAGACGTCCTCGATCGCGCCCTCCGCAGCATGTCGAGCTCAAACGAAAAGCTCACGGTCGACGGCTTCCTCCGCTCGCTCTCCTCGCTCGACGCCAACGTTTCGCCTATCGCCGCCCAACAGCGCCCGACTCAGCCACCCGCACTCACGGTGAGTGTCCAAGCGGCCAACTCGGCTGCGAACGGCAAGAAGGTCTCGTTCAACACGCTCGCATCGCCTTCGACCCCTTCGTCTGCCGAACGTACGGCGTTTCTCTTCCCGAGCCCGTCTCAGCAGGCGTCCGCGACGCTTTTGCCTCCGACTCAGCCCGGCTCGCTCCTCCCGCCTGCGCCAGCGTTCGGCGACCCGCAAACCAAGCCCACGCACCCCGGCGCCGCTCGTGCAGCCCGCCTCTCAGCCTTCGCCAGCCGTTCCTTCTCCGCGCCAGATATCCCCACGCTCAACACGCTGCAGACGGCGGTTCCAAGCGGCTTGTCCATCCCTCCTCCGCTTCCCTCGCCGAGCGCCGCATCCGGCCTCGTCGCCACCTCCGTCGCAGGAATGGGCCGAGTCGCCCTTTCGCGCCGCAGCATGTTTGGCTCGATTGGCTCCGACGCGATGCAGCAGTCGCTCTCGTCGCCTGTCGAAGCCGTTCCGCCGCAAGGTCTCCTCCCCGCCTTCAGCAACACATCGTCCTCCGCGCTCCGCCAGTCCCGCTCGAGTCCGATCAAGCCCTCGAGTACGGCTGCGAAAGTCCACTCGGACGCTTCGAGGCTCTTGAAGCTCCAGTCGTGGCTCGACGATGATGGCGAGACGACCGAAGACGAGGACGAGAAGCGGTCTGGAGCGGCTGTGGCGGCTGAAGCGACGTTCAAAGCTGTCGCTGCCAAGTCGGCCATTGCGTCGGTCCCGCCTCCGAAGGGGATGAAGATGGTGGATGTCCCGGCGAGCGACGACGAGGAAGGCGGTCCTCGCATGCGTGTCGGAGGCAAGAGCGTCCAAGTCCTCCGCCAGTCGCACAAGCGCCAGCTCGACGACCACGTCGACGCCTCGAGCATGTCGACCAGGATGTCGACTCGCTCGGCTGTCAAGGGCAAGGGCAGGGCTGTTGCCGAGTGCGTCTGCGGCAAGCAAGCCGAGGGCAACCCGAACGCGGTGCAGTGCGCCGAATGCGACGTCGCATTCCACCTTTCCTGCCTCAACGTCGCTTCGGCTCGCCAGCTCGCCTCGCCCTGGGTCTGCAACCGCTGCGCGATCGCGGGACAGTCCGCAGCGGAGAACGTGCAGACGACGCCTCGCATGACCACGAAGCGAGTCCGCATCGGCACCAACTCGACGCCGCACATTTTGTCCGAGCCGACCTTCGTCGCCTCGACGCCCGTCTCGGCCCCTCGCAGCAACAACTTCTCCTTCGCGATGGACATCGCACTCGCTCCCTCCCCGACCGCCTCGCCCGTCCGCCGCTTCACCTCCGCTGCTGCGCCGACAAGTCCGCCGCCGAACAAGCACCTCGTCATTCCCGTCACGCCTCAGTTCGGCGACGCGACCATCCGCGCGCCAGGCGACTACTCGCCTACTTCGCCGCAGAACTCGCGCGTCCGTGCAAACCGCACGAGGATGATCAGCAACGGCGCGGGTGGCTTCCTCGGTAGCGAGTGGCTGCATGGCTGGGACGGTCATGCGTACGAGCAGGGCGCACACCCGGCGCCTGCTCCGCCGAACGCTCTGAACGGATTCGTCGAGGAGGACTGGCCGTTGCCAGTTTGGAGCGACGTGACGATGACGCCTTCGCGCGCCCTCACCAACTCGACTCCCGCCACCTCGACTTCCTCGTCGGCATGGGACACGCCCTTCGCCCACTCGTCCGCCCATCCGTCGTCGCAGAGCCGGCGATCGAGCGCGACGTTTGGCCACCCATCCGCCTCGACCGGCCACTTCCGCACGCCTTCGCAAGACCTCCTCGCCGCGCTCGACCGCGACCACCACTCTCCCTCCGCACACCACACCTTTGCGCAGCGACTCTTCGGCAGCGCCGGACCCGCCGCAGATCACCAGCACTATGCTCACGATCCGGCGGCTGCACCCTTCTCCTCGCCTACTACCCGCCCCATCTCGCCGCTTAACCCCCGCCGCCAACTCCAACACGGCTATGCTCAGCACCGCCGCCAGCCCTCGTTCGGCGACGGTCTCGGCAGGCCATTCTTCCCGCCGCACTCGCCTCCCACCGCGCACTCGTTCGTCCCCGGTCTCGCGCACGAGCGCATGGCTCTCTCAGCGTCCATGAAGGTCTCGCACTCGGCTCCTGGCGGACGCATTGCACCAGGCGGGCTGATGGCTTCGCCTGGCGGGTACGGTGGAGACGGCTTTGATGACCTCCTCCTCTAGATCAAGACGTCCGACGCCTACACATCTTACACGCGTACGCATGCTTTCGCGCCGTTGTTCCCTCGCTTGTCTCTATCCCCCCTTGTCTATCCTCTGTGCATCACCTTACTCGTCTGTTTCCCTCACTTCGCTTCTGTACCGCTTGCTCGCCTTGATTAGTACCTCCCCATCTTTCCGTCGCATGTCTCCCTCTCTCACCCTTGCATACTTGCAAAGAAAAGTACATTCACGTTGAAGCGTTGTGTCGAAGCGGACATGAGATTGCGAGCAACAGTGGGAACAACAGAGCAAGCGGAACAGCACGGGTCTACAGCATCACTCCAGTACGTCCCCCTCGACGGCGAAGCCGCTCGCGACTCCTAGCTGCGGCACCGCCGACAGTTCGACCGCCTTCTTCGACGAGTTGCGCCTCAGCAAACCCCTCCTCAACTTGTCTCCTCCCAGACTGACCGACCCATGCCCGCTGCCAGGCCTCGAAGACGACGACTCATCCGCCACGGCGTCCTCGTCGAGCTTCGAGCTCGCACCTGAGGCATAGCTGTTCGCCGAGTCGCTCCGTGAGAGCCAAGGTCGAAAACTGCGCCTACGCTGCTTCTTCACTTGCTGCTTCTCCGCTTCGGCGCTCGGTGCGACGTCGAGCGAGGCGCGTGAAGTGACTGCTGCTGGAAGAGGGTGGGGCATGGGGTGTTGCGAATGGTCGATGTGAGGCGGCTCCTCGTCGAGCGAGTCCATCGTTCGGCTGCGCTGCCGTGCGGTGATCTTGCGCTCGGTCGTGGACAGCAGATTGTGGTGTGCTGACGGGGCGGTCGGGGCGAGAGGAGCGAGAGGAACGGCGGCGGGAACGGGCGGTGGGAGGAGATGCGTGTCGTCCGACAACGACGAGGGCCCATCGGTGAGCATGAGTGGTGATCCCGTCATGCCGGTATTTGCGCCCGAATCGAGCGCCGAGCGACCCGCGTCGTCCATCGGACCTACGATGACGGGCGTTCCGTACCCTTCCGACGCTGCCCTCGGTCGTCGACTGTCTCCGGCTACGCGACCTGCTGCTCGCGCCACATCATCACTGTCGAAACTGCTCCGTCGCCTGCGGTATCGCGAATTGAACTCGGGTCGGATAGCCCGCATCAGGCTGTCCATCTCTTGCTGCCGGTCGTCGGCGGTCAAGAGCGACGAGAGGACGGCGATCATCTGCCGACGACGAGCGAGAGCTTGTGAAGCTGCTGCTGGACCGATTTCGGACGAGATGGGCGCTGAGGCGGAGCCACTGAATGGATCGGACGGGGTGGGCGGAGAGGCGAAAGTCGAGGGCGAGAATTGCGACATCGTGGGCGAAAGAAGCGTATTTGACGGCGAGGGGAACGAGGAGAGAAAGTTCGGGTCGGGCGAGAGACGGGAGGGGGAGGAATGCTGCCGTTGAGGATGTGGAGACGGTGGCGGGACAAAGGCTGGAGACTGGGTGCCGTTCTGAGGCGGAGGTTGCGAGCGGGTTCGGCGGATGTCGGGAGGTGTAGGAGACGCGGACGGTTCTTGGCTACCCTGTCGCGACCGCTCGACATCGGGATGGCCAGGCGGCACGCGGTACAGACTCTTGAAGAGATGCAAGAGGCGACCGATTTCCGGATGGATGATCTGGTCACGAAACTCGATGAGAGCGATTCGCCGAACGTCGATGCGACCTTCTGCGTGACCCGTTCGTCCTTGCCGCTCGCGCTCCTCCCAGGTCTCGCCGACTGCTGCGCGAAGGCGGTCGTCGGAGCGGAGGACCCAGAAGACGGCTTCGAGATGCGGGAGGATGCCGGTAAAGAAGAAGAGCCAAATCTCGTTGAGGCGCGAGAGGAGCCGGTCGTCATTGAGAGGGGGTGCGGGTGCGAGAGGGGAGAGCTTGTTGGCGAGGGTTGTGAGTCCGGTGCGAATCAGGTCGGTCAAGTCGGCGACAAGGAGGCCGGTGACGAGAGATGAGAGATTGACAGAGGGGAGTTGGCCCTGTAGTCGGACGCGTGAGGTCTGGCAGCGTGCGAAGGTGCGCTGGACGTGAGTTCTGCGAGAGCAGAATGTCAGCGAGCGCTTTCTCCTCGGTCTGCGACTCCACTCACAGAACAAGCTCGTTCAACTCCTCGACGTAGCCCCGCATGCCTTCACCATTGCTGTGCAGAGACGTTGTGAGCGGGACGTTCTCAATCCGCCAACCTGAAAGCCGGACGTACAAGAGCGGCAACACCCGCACGCAGACCTGCTGCCATACGTCGTCGACCTGTCGGGTGTCCACGACCGGTTCGAAGGCGGCGGCAACGTTCTTGGCGCTGTACGACTCGAGAGTGCGGAAGACGGGCACGACGGGAGATGTTGTCGAGGGCAAAGTCGGCGTTCTTTGGCCTGGCCGCATGCTTCCCGCCCTCCCAAGTCCACTCAAACTCAGCCGACCGACGCCTGTGCTACTCCCAGCCTGTTCTCCCAGCCCACTCGACCGTCGACGAGTCGGAGCGAAAGACGCCGCGATGCCTTGCGCGATCCGCGAGTTAGATCGCTGCAGACCTTCCGTCACGCTCGAGCTACGCTTCCGCTCGAGCTCCCTGAGCCGCTCTGCGCTCGCTCGTCGCTGTGTTGTCGATGTTCGGTGAGGGGATCCTGGTTCAGAGATGAAGGCGCCTCCGTCGGCGTTCGTCGCGTAGGACGCCATGCCACGCCTCGAGTACCTCCGATAGCACTCCTTCGAGCGATAACAGACGCGAACAAGCCAATCAAGCGGAGTGGGAGCGAGGGAAGCTGGATGACCGCAACGCGGACCTCGGTTCGCCCTCGACTGCTCACTCGTCTGGCTCACTCGCGCTCTTACGGCTTGTGTGCGTTGTCAGCATGCTCAGAACAGCTGTGTCTTCCGCACTACCCCGGTCGGCGGCCGCGTCGGCTTCCTCTCGCGGCGGACGAGTCCTCACGGGTATGCCTCCGTATCCCTCGTCCTTCTGCGGCGAGCTGACCATTTGTTTGCCATGACAGCCTCGCAGACCGCATCTCCAGCGCGGCGATCTATTTCTAGTGCGTTCTGCCGCTTTCGCCTACTATCTCCTCCTCAGGCTAATCCTGCTTTGCGCCCTTGCAGCCGCGCCCAAAGGACCCTACTTCTGCTTCGACATCGACGGCGTCCTCAAGCAAGGCTCGCACGTCCTGCCGCAAGCCAAGGCCGTCCTTCAGATCTTGAGCGGCAACAACCCGCTGAAGCGGAGATACCCCTTCTTGTGTGTCACGAACGGCGGCGGGTCTCTCGAGTCTGAACGGTGCAAGAAGCTCACGAAGGAGCTAGAGGTCGAGGTGCGCTCCTTTCGCTCTTTCCAGCGACCCCGTCGGCTCACCCGCTTTCGTCTGCAGATTGGCGAACACCAAATCGTCCAATCTCACACCGTCTTCCGCTCTCTCGTCCCGCAGTACGCCGACAAGCCCGTCCTTGTCGTCGGCGGAATCGAAGATCGGTGTCGACGGGTCGCGGAGGCGTACGGGTTCAAGCATGCGTACATCCCAGCAGACGTCTTGGCGTGGAAGCCGGCAGTTTGGCCTTACCACAAGTTAACGGAGCACGAATGGACTTACGTCAAGGTGCGAACGCTGCTTCCGACGTCCATGAAGCTGAACTGACGGAGCCTGTCGCTGCCTCACTCAGCATGCCGACTTCTCCTCCGTCTCCTTCGCCGCCATTCTCGTCTTCCACGATTCTCGAGATTGGGGCCGCGACGTCCAACTCGTCCTCGACCTCGTCCGCGCGAAAGACGGCGTCTTCGGGACTTCGAAGAACCCGAAAGACCCTTCTCAATGGACGCCTGGGCGCCAAATTCCCGTACACTTTTCGAATCCCGATCTGTTGTGGGGAAACGAGTTCAGCCAGCCGCGGTTTGGGCAAGGGGCTTTGCAGGAGAGTATGGCCGCGGTGTACAAGTTGACGACTGGGCACGAGTTGCACCGGTGCGTTCGACTCTCATCTCTTCCTTCGCGTTCATGCCCTGATTCTGAGATGCTATTTCGCTTCCCTCGCAGAACAACGGGCGGCAAGCCCACCAACGCAACCTACACCTACGCTGCCCACCTCCTCTCCTCCCAAATCGCCCACCTAACCTCCGGCACGCCTATCAACCTTCACCCCACCTCCTCCTCGGCGCCTTCTCTCCCCGGTCGCGTCTACATGATAGGCGACAACCCCGCGTCGGACATTGCCGGCGCCAACGCGTTTGGGTGGGAGAGTATCTTGGTGAAGACTGGGGTGTTCAGAGGAGAGAAGCGGGAGGACGCGGAACATGTGCCCACGGTAGTGGCGGAGGACGTGTGGGAGGGAGTCAAGTGGGCACTCGAGAGGGAGGGGGAGGGTGAGGCGGTTAGTCGGATGCCGGAGGAGCATGAGACGATCGCAAAGGACGGGCCGAGGGAGTAGATAGAGCATGTGCAGGTTTATTGCAAGCTACAACGCGTATAGAACAGCTGTAAAACGAAGTCGAGTGTCTATTGCACGGAGAAGAGGCGAGCCAGCGCCTCAGAGACGGGTAGGGAGGAACTTGGTGCCGTCTCCGGCGCTCTTGAAGGCTGCGAGTCCGGCGATGATGCCGATCGCCATGAAGAGGAGCGAGACGATGCCCCAGATGACGCCCCAGCAAACTGGGGAACCGCCGTAGCGTCTCGCAAAGACCGAGGCGTCGCTCTCGTTGACCTGCGGAAGGGCAGGTCAGCTTTCGGTTTTGTACAAGTGAGCAGTCGAGTACTCACCTTGCGGAAGATCAGGTCGTCACAAATGTCGTAGATAGAGTATAAGCCCGACATCGTTCCGAGCCAAAGCATGTAGTACCGCAAGGCCTCGCCGTGCGCGATGAACCAGAAGGCGACAATTAGGCCGGTTGCGACGAGGATGGTGAGGATGCTGAGCCTGCGAGTTTAGGGAGTCAGCGACGGACGTTGAGGACCGTTTGGAGGGGCAGGAGGAGGAGGCAGTCGAGTCGAGCGACGAGAAGGCCGGACACACCAATCTCGCCTCGACCACCACAGCGTGATCAAGAAGCATACGCCGACGACGAGCGACGCAATCTTGGAGGCAACGACGTTGAATCCGCAGAAAATGAGAACTGCGCCGATCAGGCTCGACCCGAGGTAGCCTGCCGGGAGGGTGATCCAGCCAACTCCGCCGGCCATCATCGTCACGCCGCCTTCGCGAGGGTCAAGCTCGATCGACTTGACTTTAGCGCCGGTGCAACAGCCTGTTGCGGCGTGGCCGAACTCGTGAAAGGCGATTGTGAGCATCTGCGCAGGGATGGGTCAGTCGACTTCGTGTAATGCTGGAGGTTAGGCCACACCTTCCACGGCCAGAGGACCCAGCGGACGACTGGCAGGTTCCACAGGACAGTGATAACGACAGCATACTGCGGACGGGAGGAAGTCAGTCTGCTGTCAGAACCGCACTACGGCCCGGACTCACTGCTGCAATGACTCCCAGCGTAACCTTCTGCGTGTCCGTCGGCGCCAGACTCGCCCTCTTCACCAGTCGACCGCTCGACGCCGTCTCCAACCCTCGAATCGCCAAGACCCCCTCTCCCGCCGCAGACCACGCTTCGACCGGCAACGACGCGCGTTTCTCGCGTCGCCGTACACGCTGCATCTTTCCCGGTGCATCCAAAGCCTCACGATCGGCTGAGGAGGCGGCGACGGCTGCGAGGACGGTTGAGCCGGGAGCGGTGGGTGCGAGGTCGAGCGGCGATGTGAGGAGCAGCAGCGGTGCTGGAGCCATCGTAGGCGGTCCGTTTGAGCTGTACGCGTGTTCTTCGGCGGCAAAGGCGACTGAGAGAAGAGAGGAGTCGAGGATCAACCGATTTCCGCAGTCGCGTCGTCTTTGGCCAAGGCGGTGCACAGCGGTGGAAGATGGCGAGCACAAAGACTGGCAGAGCTGGCGACTACAGCGACGACGGAGAAGCGAAAGAAGGAGGAGAAACGAGCGGGCAAGACAGAGCGAAGTTGGGACCCCTCCTCGACTGTGAAGCGCAACAGTCGTCGAAGTGGCTTGGACCGGCCTGTATGGAGTGCACCGTCTAGTATATACCCGCGTCTACGGCTTTGTCCACCGCTCCTTCGTCTGCCCGCTCTTGACCGCCCCGTAGATCCTTGCCGCCGCCCGGTCAACCATCTCGTCCATCGACAACTCCTTCGCCTCGAACAACTCGACGCCTTCGATTGCAGAGGAGTCGATGGCGCCGGACTCGACGTCGCCGTTGACAAAGAGAGGGCGGTGCGCTTTGAGGTAGGCTGGCCAGACGCATTTGTCCTGCGGGATGCGAGGATGTGTGTCAGTCTTGCCGCAAATTCCTCCGAACACAGCTCTGAGCTTCGCCCAGAGGGAGGCCGGCGAACGTATGGGGAGCGGAAGCAGCTGACTGACCCAGTAATCAGGCGGATCCCCTGCGAACGAAGCCGCAAAGCTACGGTCAGCGCAACTTTTGGAAGAAGAAGGGAAGCAGGACGCACGCCACAGCGACCCCTCTGGATCCGATTGAACTGATTAGCACACAATGCGTGCATTAACGCGCGCTCTAGCGAGAGAGGGCAAGGAAAGGGAGTCGTACCCGCCGTGTGCTGTTGCAGGATAAGGACGCGTCAGTCTTGCTCAGTGTGCGAAGAACTGAGCCGACGCACATAGCCATGCCGCTCGTATCTTCGCTTCTTGAGCGTCGCGTAGTCTTCTCGGATGAAGAACCGGAGGTCAAAGTTCCGCACACTCTCGGGATCGACGAGCATGAGGAAGCCTTCCGCGATGACGATAGTACTGCGGAAAGGGGACCTTCACGTATCAGTATCGGTGCGCATCAGAGTTGAAGACGCCGAGCCGAATGAAGAGCGCAAGGACTCACGGCTTCTCCTCGTCGTGCTGCAACAACTCCTCGAACCTGCTCCTCCACTTCTCCGTCACCTCCTCACTAATCGGCACCGGCACCTGCTCATTAAGATGATCATGCGACACATAACTCTCCGGCAGTTCTCCCTTCTCCCTGAGTTCCCTTATCGTTTCCCTCTGTCTATCCCA